TTATTCATTATTGTCAATTCAGTTTTTGGTTGAGTTAAAAAATACCTCAAGGAAACACTACCCCATTTCGATTCTTTAATTTCAAATTTTAGTGCATCACCTTCTTCAAAATTAATATGTATTATTAATGAATGTTATTATTATACATAACTCAAACCCATTTTGCGAAAAAACAAATTTTGAGTAAAAAATCTCAAATGCACCTCTATACATTTTTCGTATATTTTTGTCTTTGTTGAACGACTTCCTTATAGAAGGGTCTACTTTAATCAGCTTAATTCGATATTTTGATAGTCAATAATACAGGGTAGACAAAAAAATCTGATGGAAATTAAATTGTAAAAAATGCCCAATCATTTTTTTTTCAAATAGAAACCCCCTGCTTTTACAATTTCATCATCTTAATAATATATATAGAAATAAGAACAGTTTTGTGAAAGGTTATCTACGCCGTAAATCAGTAGTTTAGGAAATATTTGCAAATGCTCGTTTCATATCCCTCCATACGCCTTTCTTATGTTCAGTTCAGCACGGTGAATTATCATGCTATTGCACTTAAAAAATAAAAACCAAGAAAAAAAATTGTATCATTTGCTAAGACAAATCTGACAATACCTCATATAATACATATAAAAAACCAACTATACTTTTTAAGGTAAAGTAGTAGGTTTTCTATTTCGAAAAATAATAAAACTTGCTGAATTAATGATTTATTAAACATCAAAGCTAAACATTTTTTGCGTATATTCATAGTTTGATTGAAGTATTGATCAAAATAGTTGAAAACACTTTTAAAATGAGAAAGCGCCCTAGCGCTCGTCCGGTGACTTGATTTGGCATGATCACATCTAGCCAATCGCTACCGCTGATGGTAAAAAGCTAGGTCATTTCTTTAGGACTAGGAAGTACTTTCCTTCGCACAACCTCCTTACTCTGTTCAAATCCCTGGTAAGACCTAGCCACGAGTATTGTTCCCATGTTTGGGATTATGCCGCCCTGACTATATTGTCCATACTCGATGCTGTCCAGAGCAGCGCTGTTCGATTGATCAATGACACTTCTCTAACGGACATGCAGTCGGCAATCTGGCTCGCTTCTACCGCTATGCAACGGATTTTGCTCCTCAGAGCTCTCCTACATGATGAAGCTGCGCGTTGAGCCTGCCAGGCGGCCCCGCCAGGCTTCTGCCTCCCATCCCAACTGTGTCGAACTTCTCACATCGAAAACTGGCCAGTACCACCGCTCCTTGCCTAGAGTGCCTAAGGAGATTTTTCCAGTTCTGCTAACTTTAAAATCGGATTACAAAGACATCTTCAAGCTCCTTATAGCAGTCGTGGTGCCCTGGTATTTAGGTTTTTGCCTGCGCAACTGCTTGAGTATAAAAAAGCCCGAACTGTATCTTATAAAATTTTATCTAGCTAATATGAACCAAAAGGAAAAGTGGTTGTGATGGGTGTACTATGTCGGGCATCATATAAATTTTTTGGCAAGTGCTAGTGGTCGACGAGTATTATTATTAGAAGTTGTTTGGAAAGTCAAGCGAGCCGAGCGGCGAGATATCTAGCGTGCCGTGAGAAGTGACGACTCGGTTGAGCCTAGAGAAATAGAGATTACATTGTTGTTCCCTATACTATGAAAACGATGTCTTGGCACAGGTGTTCTTCTTCTTTGAGGATGGTATGATCATAGCGAGCTAATCAATATTCATTAAAAATATAATCTAAATAATAACCTGCTCATAGGTCACTGAAAAATAGAGAGAATGTTCAATTGGCGAATGGTCAGGAGATCTAGGTGGCCAACGAAAGAGGTTGATTTGACCGTTATTGATGTACTACTCATGGTGAGTAGAGTGAGCGCAGTAAATGCATTTCAGGTGCTGCGCATAAGGCACATCTCTCTATTGCTGTCAAATGGCTGTCGTCATGACTGTAAACAACAAGATTGTGGTAGGTGGTGTTGATTTTTTTACATTTTTTTTATGCGTAGACGCTCTACGCCATTTCCGACAGCCACAACATCATTCGCGTCAGGATTGGCTTCATACGAATACGTGTAACCCTTACGTAGTGTAACCTCCTATCTCTAGTCTTCGTGAATCTACTCTAGCAATATGGGGACTATGGGGACGGCCATTATCTTGATGGAGAATACGGTTATGTAATTACAAAAAATGGGGTTCCAGTATTTCGTGGATATATACTTGCGCCGTCACACGTCCTCTATTTAATGGCACCCTAAACCGTAACTGTACAGTATGGTGCAAATAACTGCCAAGTGAAGGCTTTACATTATGTCTTTCTCCTACAATCGGGATGAGGAATGGTATAACATTATTTTTAGTGACGATCTCGGTTCTGTTTAGGAATACATCATGGACGGGCACGAGTGGAATCGCCGCGGAGTAAGACCACTGAATACACGTATTCAACCCGAAAATAGCAAACCTGATGCTATATTCCCGCAGGGTTATTACGTAAGAAACTTAAATAATATCAAAAAAATTACAAAATGTCAACTAGCTGACTAAATAGCTAGTGTGCTATTGCTCGCTATGAGCGCTATGAGCGTCACCAAAAGCGTCATCTGTGGAGGAATGACTGAACGACACGCTCAACGACCAGCTGCAGGTCAGTTTTCCAGTATGCTTTGTTGGTTGCAGAATTCCGAATCTATAATCTGTAGCGTATATCTCTGAGAAGCAAGATCGCATCTGGATGATTGTGTGTATTGATCTGCGTGTTCAGTGATATTTGCTATGTTAGAAAATTATTACTGAATATGCTGCCCATCAAGTATATCTATTAGCTCTACCAGACGGGTTATTTGTGTTGTCCTTGCTGAAGAGAGGTTATGTTCAAAGTTATAAATTACACCTTATTTCGCGAATATCAATCACGCTTTGACGTCTACTGAGGTGAACAGCTGATCAGCAAGTGACATTCTTATGTTAGTCTGCGACGTTGGCAATAATGAATCGAGTATCAATCTCGTAAAACTTGTTTGTAGCGTTTTATTTTTTGTACGCAAATGAACTTTGTTAGCAAGTACAAAATGAATACATAGCGCACAAAAAACCGAACCAAAATACGAACAGAACTATGTGTGCTGTGCCGATATGGGGAATTTTGAGATATTACTAGATAATCAGCTGTCATTCTACCGTCATGGGTACTCGTGAAATAGGGTATACGGTTTTCCCTGTTTTTTGCGTTATCAAAAGCTTTCAGAAGCAATACAGTGCCTCACATCTAGGCGCTGATTTGTATTTTCTACTTGACATCGCAAAGTAAATTTCTATAAAATTTAAATAGCTGGAAATACAAAATAATGTAAATGTTATAACGTTTTTATATTTCATAAAATTCTTGTTTGTGGCATATTTTCTCACCTGTTGGTTGTAATATACTTCACCACTCAGCGATTTTTTTTCTTATCTCTCTCATTTTTGAAATTCAGCAAATTTGCATATGTAATTTCCAGAATGCATAAGAAAAAGCGGATGGGCAACTAATTTCTATTTTTGCTTACATCTCAAATAAATGTATTTCAGACAGAATTATCATCAACACAGATTATTAGCGCTCAAATCCTAACTGCACCTATGCACTAACGTTTCCTTTCAGCTATAGCATATAACTTACAGCTTACACCTACAATAATGCCATCTCTGACAGGAAGAGTCATGACGTTTATTCAACACAGATAGCTACAGAATGGTTGCGCATCAAGTGAACAACAGCTAGTTCTAATTTGACATATTGTAGAAGAACCTACATACGAGTAATGTCACAAAAAACCTATATAATGTTAAAAAACCGACATAATATCACCTTTCAAGATACTTCCATAAAATTATCCGAAATATAATGAAAAACCACAGCATCATCTAAAAGTATAACAGTTTATTACAACTCTTTTTCTATTTACTAGTTACAGGGTGTCCTGAAAGTTTGGACTTGGTGAAATGTCTAGTTAGAAAGGTATTGTATATATAGGTATTGTGTATAGGTATCTTCAGCCACCGATTACTTTGATGGTGCAACAGCCACTGCACTCTTATTGAAACATACTTAACTTGTACAAAGGGGTACATCATCATCATGCCGATTTTAGCCACACTTCAATCTCCGAGACTTGTCTAGTTACTTGTTGAAATACTTCTGCAGGATTTTCTTCTACAAGGTTCAATATCTACGTCCTCAGTTTGCACCATTTGGGGTTGTCTAGGTCTCGATCACCTCGATATTCCTGCAAATGACCATGCATCCCTAGCTGTTTGGTCAAGGTATACAAGTCTATGCGAGCCTGAATGATGCCATTTGGGAAAGTGATCTGCATACACCCGTGAAGCTTCAGTAGCATTTTGAAGACACCATAAGTTGAAATCCTGTCGAAATGATCGATGTTGCTGTACGAGTGTGCAATTTTGGTTTTTTGAACCGATTGGTTTACCTACGCTACTGGTGTTTGGGCTGAGTACTGACATGCGTTGTGCCTTCTCACTTCTTATCTGATCGGGACAGATTAGGTTTGGCTCAGATTTGATTGATTTTGTGACTACTAAGAAAAAAGCTTATTTTTTGAAGATCTGTTAGACATGTAAAGGAAAATCCCAACTTTACGGGCACCCTGTATAGTTCAAACGGAGCTGGACTAAATTATCTCCACATTTATCAAAAGCTTGAATTATTTCGGTATTTGGCGGTTAAAAAATCTTTAGAGATGACGTTACAAAAAATTTAGTAGTTCCCAGATACTGCGAATATAACAGATCACCTTCTTGAGAACACAAAATTCGAAAGGGTCAGTAGTAAGGGGTCTTCCTTGATATAGTGTGCCCGTTTGACAGGATAAGATTCAAGTGTTACATGAGAAGTTTTAATTCAAAAATTATGTTACAACAGCAACTTATTCTATAGTAGCTGGAAAATTAGATAAAATATTTCTTGAAACCAGTAATTTCGATCGTGTGATTCTGTATCACAATTCACACTTACATATTTTGTCAGAAGAACAAGTAGACGATCACCCGGCTTGGATCAACATAATTAACCTCAACGATACTCTGTGCCGTGGAGTGAGGTGCGTATGAGAGACGAAAAAAGAGTCGGCCCGACGGGAATAAAGTCCGTGGCTAACCGCGATCGAGCTGAGACTGAGAGATGGGATGGGGCGTCGGGACGCCCAGCGACGCGGCGGCCGATCAGCTGTTGGATGCTGTCGCTGTGCCGTCGGTCGTCGAAGCTGAGCGCCGTCGGTTATATTGGGAAAGAGAGAGCCTGGGAAAATGCTGTTGTGCTCCGGAGTTGTAATACTGCGTATATGAAAGAAAATAATGGAAGTCAGATTAATACAATTATCGGTCCACAAAATAACATTACAGTGGAAATGAGTAAGTAAATGTTAGATATAGAGATAAATGAAAACTGAATCAAAAATATGAATTTCAACCATAGTGTAACATCTGAAACCGGTGTGTTAAGACACCAGTTGTGGGAGGGCTCTCGCACTTTTTGGAGGGCTTTTAGCATTTTTGGGACGATGGACGACAGTGACGTATCTGGTACATTAAAAAACCATACTCGCTTGTCGTTTTGGAGGGCTAGATGTCTTTTTTCCTTCTTTGGGGAACGAGAATACCTACCCCAGGTGGTCCTAGACTAGGGTGGTTTTGCATGGTGTCATCTTAAGATTCGGATGGATTTGTACTTTCTACTTGACATCGCAAAATGAATTTCTATAAAATTTAAATCACTGGTAATAAAAAATAATGTGAAGGGTGTATCAATAAGAACACAATATTTAAATTTAGCGCCATTTTGTCAGTCATAATGTCATAATGATTGTGACATGACAGATCGATAGCAGACAGACGGGAGCTTATGAAAATGAATCATTAGTATCCTAAGTGATAAAAATTATTACCAAAGTGGTGAAAGTTTAATTGGCACGATTCGAAAAGTGCAGCTAATATTCGATCGGAATAACCCCGATAGCATTAAATATTTATTAAATATTTTTAAAAAATGTTTGTTAAATATTTGTAGCGACATAAATATATTTCTTATATAATTATAAAACATTCATTATAGATGTTTGTAGTATATATAATTCATATATTTTTGCGATATTTTTTTCCAAATATTCAGAAAATATATGAGGAAAGATTTTTAAATATCAATTGTATATTTTGATGAAGTATCTAATATTTTTCGTAAATATGTATGGGTTTTCAAGCATTCATCTGATACATATTTTCAGTGTAGATAGAAAATTCTTCATTGCTTATTTTAGCAAAACCTGTAGGAATGCTTATATAAAATTAGGTTTATAAAGAAAATTCATTCTAGATATAATGGTTCAATTTTCTAGAAAAATATTATCAAAAAAACATTCTAAGCCTCTTCTGCATCTTGCAAGTCCACTCCTCTGAAAAAAAAAACTTACTAATTATGAAGTATTATTGAATACATGAGCTGCTTTCCAGTGTATTTATTGGTGCTGAGCATGGTGAGTTAAGTACTCCGAGTAGCTCAACTGGGTCACTGAAAAGCAGCTCTATAATGCACCTAAAAGGACCCCACATGTTATGCTATGAATTCGAGATTTGGTTAATTTTTAAGAAAATGTAGTATGTGATTTTAGATATCTTGAGGAAAAATGTCCATGGGCACAACTTGATCCGTTGAGTAACACTTATTGATTTTGTTGAAATGTGACTTTTTTAGTAGTACACTTTAAGGCTAGTTATTTATGGTCTTATACTCAACTGGCACAATAATGTTTACTAGTCAGATAAATTAAGCTATGTAATTATCAAAAAACTTATCCTTTTCCCATTTCCACAAAAAAAAACACTCAAATAATGAACCACTTGGAGATACACAGGAAGCACGCTATCATAGTGAAAGTCACAGGTAAAATGGCTGCCGGCAAACCGGTGGTCCCAGGCCGACTTGCTATTATCCCATTAGTCTCTACAGTATATTCAGATAAGAGATAGACCGGACATAAACAAGACCACGTGATCATCGAACGCTGTAACATTCGGCAGGGACGTATTAAGAGTCACGCAGTACATATTTTAGGTAGTAGATGCTGCTTTGCGTAACTTTGTAGTAAATTAGCACAATTCGATGTGTATACGATTGGTGATGGATATAGGATCATGTGGGGGTGGGGTAAGAAATATATAATGATGTAAATATACATAAGGGTTTCAAAATTTTCGCTTCGATTTCCAGCTTCGGATGCCGCCTGATGTTTGGTGAAATACAGTCGAATATAATCTCAAAATGGCGTTTAAATTAGCCTAAATTAAAAATAATGGTATATCTCTTAAAATTGCTTTTAGAATATTGATTAGTATATTTTTTGATTTCTAGGTAAATATGTAACCAAATTAAAACGTTCAAAACGTAAAAAAATGTGCATGCTTGAACATTGTCAGAAAGTAGATTCTTGAATAGGTTTTGCCAAAATGGGTTCAAAAATGTCAATAATTAATTAAAAAATACAGTAGCTTTATAATTACTTATAACTTACCGAATTTGATGAACGACATCTTTTATTGGAAAGATGAGCTTGATGAGCTTTCATCATCGCTACTGCCTGAAGCACCAACGTCAATAATGAATGGCTCGACTTGTTCCTCTAAAATATTGTCCAGTTCCCACATTCTCTTTTCAACTTTGTCTTTCACGTGCTTAATACAGTTTTCCCATTTTTGCGCTGTTATTAATTCTAGTGCTTCTTTGAAAAGTCCTTTGAGGTCACAAAATTTAAAAGTTGTATTGTGCTTAGCTATATAATTTTTAACCTCTGCCCATATGAGCTCAATGGGATTGAGCTCGCAATGGTATGGAGGTAAACGGAGCACAGTTTTATTTTGACTTGCTGCCATTTCGTCAATGGCGTATTTTTCATATTCCGCCTTGTGATCCTTGACAATTCTTAATAATTGTACTTTCAGCATTGCTTCTTCATAGTTGATATTTTTCGAGCGGAGCCAATTTTGAACATCAACTTTCCTTGAAGCCGTTGTTGGGACCTTCTTCATTCTTCGAGAATGATAAGGCGCATTATCCAACACAATTACTGCGTTTTCCTCCAAAGTCCAAAGTCCGTCCAAAGAAATATCAAATTGCAATGATGCACACGAGATACGTAACACGTCTGAACCTGAATGTGACTCTGCCTTGATACGACTGCTCTGCCGCTCGGCATAGGCATTTAATTGCGAATTGACCAATGAGGGCTCCTGTTTTACGTCTAGACGGCGGCGTTAGCGTGAAAATCACCCGAACCTTTTGTTTACATCCGGTCTATCTCTTATCTGAATATACTGTAGAGGTCACACGCATATGCGCCGAAGCCGAAAATAATTAAAGAATATTTTCTAAAAACTGGAGATTTAATATTTTTCATTGATTGAAAAGTAAATATTTAATGAATATTATAAAAGAAATATTGTATTTAGAATATTTAAAAGATATTGGATAAATATTTAATAAAAATATTATATTACAAATAGTTATTAAATATTTGTTTAAGAAAAGAAATATTATTAAATATTAAATAGGTATTTAATGAATATTTCGTACTATCGGGGAATGTTCCTACCCCATCCACTGTGAAAAGAATAATACAAAAATTTGAAAGTACTGGTTCTGTTAATGATTTGAGACATACGAGATGAGCTCGCAGCGATCGTTCAGAAGTAAAATGTCAGAGCAGTTCGCGAAAATATAGCCGAGAGTCCAGGGTCGTCGATTCGTCCTTGCGCCCAAGAATATGGACATTAAAACAGCCACCCTCCAGCGTATTCTAAGGAAAAATGTACACCTGAATGCCTACAAAGTCCAATTGACTCCTGGATCCTTGGCCAACAGTATGTGAGTGGTGATTTTGTAGACAAATCATTTTTAGCGATGGCTTCGTCAATAGACAAAACTGCCGCATTTGAGGCACAGAGAATCCACGAGTAATGCATGAGAAAGCTATGCATCCAAAACTTGTGACTGTTTGGTGTGCACTATGGTCTGGAGGAATTATTGGACCATTTTTCTTTAAGCACGACTAGCGAATGGCGAACTTTATCGTTCACTGATTACTCAGTTTTTTGTACCACAATTAGAGACATGGCTCTTAAAGACATATGGTTCCAGCAGGATGGTGCCACATTCCATACTACTTATGAAACACTGGCAGTTTTGCACCAGTTTGCTCCTGGTCGAGTCATCTCCCGGTTTGGTGAACAGAATTGACCGCCACGCTCTTGCGATTTAACACCTTTGGACTTTTGGCTTTGGGGTTATCTGAAGTCACAAGTTTATGCCAACAATCCTGCAACCACCGAAGCATTGAAAGCTGAAATCAAACGCTGTATCAACGAGATACCACAACATGTGTTCAAAAATGTTTCCACAAATTTTATTAAAAGAGTGCGCATGTGCCAGCAGAGCCGTGACAGCCATTTACCTGATGTGCTGTTTCATACATAATTCTATAATCCAATGAATATTTCAGTCGTTTCTTGCGAAATACCATGTTTAATAGAACCTTGGAATATTGCGTCCTTATTGAAACACCCTTTAAATGTTATAGCTTTTTTACGTTTCATAAATATTGCTGTCTGCTACATATTTTCTCACCTGTTGATTGTAATATACTTCACCAACCAGAGATTTTCTTTTCTTATCTCTCTCCTTTTTGAAATTCAGCAAATTTGTATATGTAATGTCCAGGAGGAATAAGAAATAGTGAATGCGCAACTAATTTCTAGCTTTGCGTACATCTCAAGTAAGTGATGTATTTGAGATAAATGAAAATGGAATCAAAAAAAGAATTTCGTCCATAGGATAACATCTGATACCAGTGTGTTCAGACACCAGTTCTGGGAGGGTTCTCGTATTTTTTGGAGGGTTTTTGGCAGTTTGGAGATGATGGACGAGATTTACGTATCTGGTACTTAAAAAAACGATAGCCTCATACTCGCTTGTCGTTTTGGAGGGCTAGACATCTTTCTTTTTTCTTTGAGGAACGAGAATACCTACCCCTGGTCCTGGGCTGTGGTGGTTTTGCATGGTGCCATCTTGAAATTTGGAATTTGGAAATTTGAAAACAAATAAATAAACAAATAACATTACAATGTAATGTTTAATTTACACGCATAAAATTAGAAACTAGATATCATATTCACTTCTTCTGTCAACCGTTGTTTCAAAACCAGTCGTCGTCAATCGCAGTTTATACAAGTGTCGACAAGTCACAACATGAAACCCGCGCGCACCCCCGCCGCGCACCTCTTGACTTTAATCACTTAGAAAACAATAATTGTGTACCTACCAGGCGCGGATGAGCATCTGTGACATTCATTCACACAAACTTGCGAAAAATTTGACTTTTTGATGTACATGTTTTGTTAAGAAATCTGTTTGAGTGTGTCGAATTATTGTGTCTCACTGTTAAGAGGTAAGTTTGTGTATTTACAAACTTCAGTTACAATTTTTATTTAATTTACTAACTTGTTGATTGAGTGGCGACGCGTTCATCATAGATCGGCCACTGGGACTTTTTTACTACATCACAATCAAACCAACGTGGCGAAATAATTTTGAAACGACGAACTTTAAATACCTAATATTGATTCAAAATGTATTTAAAATTGCTATTATAATTTCAACCTGCCTGCAATAATATAGATCTCTCGGTGGCCAATATACTGTTGAATACATTACGTTATTAAGATAAAGTAATGGGCATATAATTAGTAATTACATCTAGGTATTTTGCTTATTTATTTATTACTTATTTGTTTTATTGTTACAGGTGTAAAATGACAGCGAAAAAAGGAAAGTTTTCCGAAGATTACGTTAAGTTTGGATTTACCTTCATAGAAAAAGACGCGTTACAATTACCTCAGTGCGTGATATGTATGAAAGTTTTAAGTAATGAGGCCCAATCGCCTTGAAAGGCATTTGAAGCAACAACATCCTACTCTGGTTTTGAAGATGAAAGAGTCTTTTTCTTCTAAAGCAGAATCACTCAAGCGGATGAGATTGGATAAATCGGGAAGTTATCACACAGGTGTATCGCAGCATCTCAAAGCTTCATTTGAAATAGCTTTTATGATAGCAACGCAAAAGAAACCTCATACTATCTGTGAAGAATTAATAAAGCCATATGTCCTAAAAGCCACGCAGATAGTTTTAGGAGAAGATGCAGAGCAAAAGATCAAGTCTATTTCTCTTTCGAATAACATAGTCATGCGTAGAATCGATGACATTGCAGCATACATAAAGTCACAAATGATTAAGAAAGTAAAATTATCGCCATTTTTTGCCATTAGTTGCGATGAATCCACCAACATCGTTAATTGTGCATAGTTACTAGTTTATGTTCGTTACATCGGCGGAGATATCATTCAAGAAGAGTTTTGACAGCAGGTACTACATCTGAAGATATATTTAATTCAATATTAAATTTTGTTGAAAAAAATGATTTGGATTGGAAGAAACTCACTGGACCTTGCACAGATGGCACACCTGCAATGATAAGTGTACGATCGGGCTTAGCTAAAAAGCTCAAGGAAAAAATCCCGCAATGGTTGGTACACATTGTGTTATTCATTGGCAAACTTTGGCTTCCAAAACATTGCCACAGAAATTATGCCAGACGTTGGACTCGGATATAAGGATTGTAAACTACATCAAGAGCAGCGCTTTAACCTGTCGGTGATTTACTTTACTTTGCGAGGATCTCGATTCTGATCACAAAGTTCTTCTGTTCCATACAGAAGTACGCTGGCTGCCCAAAGGCAACATGTTAGCTCGCATTTATGAATTGAAAGAAGAGGTAATTCTTTTTCTTGAGTTCAAAGAAAAACACGATTTCTTGACAATGTTCAAGCATGACACATTCCAATGGAGGTTGGCTTATTTAACTGACATATTTGACTCCTTGAATCAGCTATACTTGGAACTTCAGGGCAGAAACAACACTATAATAAGCAATGATAATTATATTCAGGGGTTTATATCAAACTTTCAACTTTGGAATCAAAAAGTATCTTCTGAAAATGTTATATCTTTTTTCTCGGCTGTTCGAAGCAATTAAAAATAACATACTGGACGCAAATTTAAAAGCTGACATAAAAACACATGTGCAATCGCTGGAAGACGAATTTCGCCGAGACTATCGCGACATCAATTCAGAGTCACCAATATGGCACATGACAAGAAATCCATTTGTTGTCGATGTGTCACAATTACCAGAAGAAGTTGAGGAAGAATTTCCAGAAATGAAGGTTGATTCGTCCATGAAAGATGACTTCCATCTTTTAACATTAGAGAAATTTTGGATCAAAAGGTTGCCTGGTAATTCGACACTTGCCTCTCTTGCTTTACGAATACTTACTAGATCGTTTTTCTTCAACTTACTTATGTGAGACAGTCTTTTCTGCTCTATTTTTAACTAAAACTAAACAGCGAAAACGTGTTGATGTCGATAGCGACCTGATGATAGCTCTGGCAAAAACAGAACCTAGAATCAACCAACTGGTACAGAACATGCAATCTCAAGTGTCTCTTTAGTACCTACTCTTATTTTTTTCAAATTTTTCGATGACAAGCATTTATTAGTTTATTTAAACTTTTAAAGTTTCTTTATTAGAATTCAAATAAAAGTCTTTGAATCTATATAATGTGCGTTTTTTTATATTTATTGAAAACGTAAAGGGGGACAGGAAAATATAATTTATAGTCCGGGAAGCCTCAACAAAAACAGTGGTTGGGAAACCCTAGGCTATACGGTCCTGGAAAAAGCGTGGCGAGAGATAGATGACTGCAGACAAGCCAAGAGGTTCGTAGCGGGCCCCAACAAACGTCGGACGCACTGGCTAGTGGATAGGGGTAGGGAATCACTCAGCTTTTTGGTAAGGGCCACTGCCGACTGAACAGACACATCCCTTTTAAGGGGTAAAGGGAAATCCAAAACCTGCTCCGTGTGCAGGGAGAACGACGAAACTTCGCTCCACTTTCTGGGCTGTTGCCCCATGTATTGCGGTCTAAGGGCTAAGATATTCGGGAGCTTGATGGCGAAGTTGCTTACTTAGCTGAATGGTCAGACATAGATATAGAAATAGATGAAAATTGAGAAAAATAGATGAAATCCGTCCTTAGTGTAATATCTGAAACCGATGTGTTAGGACACCAGTCCTGGGTGAGTTTTCTCGTTCCTTGGAGGGCTTTTGGTGTTTTCTGGACGATGGACGAGAGTGACGTATCTGGTACATTGAAAAACGGCAGATAGCCTCATACACGCTTGTCGTTGTTGAGGGCAAGACGTCCTTCTTGTTTTGGGAACGGAAATGCCTACCTCAGATGGTGCTGGACTATGCTGATTTCGCGTACTGTTATCTTAAATATCGGAATGACGACTCAGCATGTTGTGGGACTTTCAGTCTAATCATATTAGATGAAAATACCGCTGGCTTGCGAAATAATCGTAAAGTCTGGTTTTATTGCTGCAAGTTGTTCAAGGGGGTATTTAAAACATGGATGCATAAAATGGGTACACCAATTTTTGTGGAAAAACTTTTTATTTGACCACAAAGAATGAGAAAACGTGATATTTGGGATTCAATCGAAAGTGTTGGCAGGAACGAAAAAACCCTTTCAATAAGATTTTTAGGTATTTATGAAACCCACAAAATGAGAACACACATAAAAACATCTGACAAATAGCAAAAAAGTTATGGTTGTAAATCGAGGCAAACTGCAGGTTTTGGCACTTATTGGTAATTCGACGATGGTTTCCCCCAGATACTTGAAATTCTTCAAGTTCATAGGAATCGTACTTCTAAATAACCACAACAAAATTGGAGCAGATTGCTCAAGTAGTTTCTGAGAATTTCTAATTGTTTAGTCCAAGTCACCTTTTTTCAGGCCATCACTACTAGTTTTATGAGCAATATACAGGACTAGTTCAAATGGCATCTTATAGCAAAATACAAAATACACTAGGTTACCTTACCAATATGAATCGCAAACCATTTCGGCAGATAAATGTTATTTTTATGAAAAAGGGGATGGGTTGCGTTTTTTCTTCTAAACAAATTCAAACATTTCGTTTTTGGGAGTAATTTGCAACAAAATATGATAGACACATCCGCTTTGTTTTAAAGTGTGTATAGTAACGTTTTCGAATATCGTAGCGCTTTTGTTCAATTACTCACAAATACGAAATGTTTGAATTAATTTGTTTATAAGAAACAAACGTAGCCTTCGTTTTTGCATAAAAGTAACATTTATCTTTCGCAATGGTTTGTGATTCATATCATCAAGATTAACGCGTGTATTTTGCTATTAAATGCTCTTTGAATGAACCTTGTATATTGCTCAATTAACTAGTAGTCATGGCCGGAAAACAAGTGTTTTGAGATAAACAATTAGAAATTCTCAAAAAACTACTTGACCAATATACTCCAATTTTGGCTACCAAAAACTGAAGTACTAACCGTAATTGTTCTGTCAGAGATAGATATCTTCTGTTTTTGAATCAACCGGTCAAACAGGTATGTTTTATTTTTAGTTCAGTCAGTAGATCAGTACAGTGGCTGTATAGACCAGTGGATTGATTATGAATGAGTTTCGACGGTTGAAATTGATTTCGATGGCGCCTTGTAACGATATACTTGATTAGCTATGATAATTTTGACTCTGCCATGATAATTTGAATATAGAAGATCAATATAATCATGTCAAAATTATCGTCACAAGGCGTTACCGAAATCAATTTCAACGGTCGAAATTTATTTAGAATCAAGCCACAGGTACCTACCTCAGCTGGCACCTATTGCATTTTGACTCAGTCAATGAGCTACACTTCGCGACATCTATGAACAAATCTTGCAATGACTGCTACGAAATCTTATGTATATAAGATAGTTATCTGTAATCATGTAGTCTAGATATTCTGTCGAACTTGTCTTGTCAGTCTATTGTCAACATGTCAACTTTGAGATGTCAAAGGTCAACCTTCAAAGTACACGTCAGGATTTTGCAGAATTTTAATCCAAAATTTTCAATATTGTGCAATAAAAGTAAAATTAAAAAATCATCAGCATTGTGACTACTGACGATATAAAATACCGTTATCCAAGAGTCAATTCATTTCCAATCTTTTAGGTGAGCTACTGTAATATGTGAAAGTCTAATAGATTTTTGGTATTTTTAAAATAGATTATCACAAACCCAAGAAAAAAAAAGGACTGAGTCCTAACACTCTACGAATGCTCAAGAATAATTGTTCACCAGATGATAACTTTTAGATATGACCAACGTTTCTAGTGAGCAGGAATGCACAAACCAATGTCGGTCTTCTCAACATGGGGATATAATCACTGCAGCTATTACAAAAAGAGGCATTTCTGACTCTGATCTTTGCTCTTTCCTAGCATATACATGTTGTCGATGTGAATCTGTGGTAGATTCTGATGGAAGAACTGCTCTACAGGTAGCAGCATCTTGTGGAAGACTGGGCATAGTAAGTAGTTGTTGATATGGCTTGATAAAATCACTGATTATAATATTCAGTTAGGGTGAATATGCCAGTGGTCGGACAGCTTAGACAAAAAAGGAATACGATGTGGAATTACGAATTTTGTGTTTAAGGTAACTAAAACGAATGTTTTTAGATGTAATGTTGTTAATTTTTCGCTAACATTAAATATATTGCCCATAGATATTGTAATTTTATAAAAAAATGAAAAGGTGCTATTTTGCCAGTACTTGGACAGAAAGTGCTACACTAGTTGGCCATCTAGTTTAAAATTGTTGGACAGTATTTGATTGACAGGCTTTAGACAGAACCGTATTTAAGAATTTGTAATAGTAGAATAGAAATTTCATATCAATTGTCATTAAGACTATGAGGAAAATTAATTAAACGCATTTATACTGAATCCATTTAATATATGGGTAGTTTTATCAAATATACATAAAAACTATATAAAAATGAACAACAAAGTAATTTTTTCCTTTAATCTGGCTCTACACAGTTGACTTTAAACTACCATACTGTTACATATTCCAAGCAATTTCCCAACATTTTTCACAGCTTCTTTGACCTGCCTTCACAGTATATATGCAATTTATCTTTTTCTTGGTATCCATACTGGAGGGAAGTGTGAAATGTTAATTCACAGTCTCGTGAACAAATGGCGGGAAAATGGGATGCTATGAAAATTAGTTCAGTCCAGTAGTCAGACACAATATCACTGGCCATTATCTGCATTATTTGTTTCCTTTTGATCTCTGTACACTGACTGGGGCTTCAGTTATGTTTTGGTTTCATGAATTCTAAGAGAGAAGTCTGATAGTCTGTATGATTAGACAGAGAAGAAAATTGTTAACAACCACACCATTCCAGTAGTTGAACGCTTGTCTGACTATTGGATTTTGACTAGCATGATGATCAGTCAGCAGCCACTCCAATTTGATGTCAAAATGTTAAAATAACATATTTAGATAAATTTTTATTTCATGAATTGTGAATGTCTTCAGCATATGGAACAGCATTTATATATTTATATATTGTCAGCTGACGATTCCACTTGCCTTAGAAGTTTATGTCACTTACTACACAACGGACAAAAATTGAGGACTCAAATGCATTCTGTTTTTGAAGCACTAAAACTGTTGTGAATATGACAACTGTGGATATGAAATTTTTGTAAACTGTCACAAATTAGGTGATAAATCTGGTGCCAATCACCTGCAAGTTTAGGGTTTCAGATATTCAGTTTTTACCAATAATAATATTTGTCTGACTACTGCTAATGTCAAGGTTACTGGCACATTCACCCTACATTATTGTTAAATCAACCTTCAAGGTAGTTCATTTGAAGATACAGTAGATGGTTTATTTTTATTACTGGCACTTTATGAATGAATTATTTGTCTAGCAATATACACACAAAATTATTACCTCATGAACAAACAACCACAATATTCTGAGATTCATAAGAAAATTAAGATTAAATATACTAACAATTTACAAAATTGTATTTGTCAGATGAATTTCATGAAAATAAAAATATCTCAGCAAGCTGAATGTGCTTTACAATAAAATTTTGGGTACTGTTGTTTATGTTACTTGGCAAAAGGTTAGAATTTTCATAATACTTATACCTGTAGAAAGCATAATGAACCTACTTGCTGATACAGAAATAATTATATTTTAGGTGAGATGGTTAGTTAAATGTCGGCATGCTGAAATAATCCCAAGAGACATTGAATCTGGCTATACCCCACTCCATAGAAGCATATTTTATGGCAAAATCAATGTAGCTATAGAGCTGATGAAACTTGGAGCCTCAATCACAGAGTGTGACAATGATAGCTTAACAGTGCTCGAACATGCTATGAAGGATGGGTTGAAGCCTGATAGAAGTGTTATAGTTGGTGAACTGTATTGCTGGGGCTCCAACACAAACAATCTGTTAGGTCCTCAGCAAGCAAGGCTTACTCCTGAGATGCTGGACATTTTTCATAAAGAGCATCTTGGTGAGCAGGTTCAGCAGATTTGTGTGGATCAATTTCACACTGTCATTGTCACTGCATCTGGTATGTATATGTATAGTATATGTCAAAATCTGTATGTTTTTGTAATCTCTGCAGCTAAAAAATAGAGTACACATTCCCCTTGAACATTATTCCATCTCTAGAGAAAATGTAGATATTTGATACTTTGATTCCATCACAGAAACTTCAAACTTTGGGCTATCAAGCTTCCCCTCAATTACTTACTCAAAAAAGCAAAATGACCACATACCTCTTGTGTTTCTTAAAAATTTGCAATTATCTACAACAACCAACTTGATTTTGTAGAAGAACTTGGGAAATGCACTTTCCTGAAACATATCTAATGTTTGGTAAATGTTTTATTATAAAATATCTTTCTTATTTATTTCAGGTAAAGCTTATTCTTGTGGACATGGCCAAGGAGGTAGGCTAGGCTTAGGTGATGAGAAATCTGCTGTAATTCCTCACAATATTATGTTCCAGTCCAATCAAAAAGGAGAAATTATCTCATGTATCCAAGCAGCTATTTCCAGATACCACAGTATCTTTCTATGCTCAGATGGAAATGTAAGGAAAAAATTGATTTTGAGCTTCAAAAAAGGAGACATATTGACTATAATGACTGAAATCTACAGAACAAAGAAATAGTCTGCTGTTGTCAGACACATTAAGTCACAAAGGGCAATTCAGAAGCAATCTTCAGAATCAGTATGTTTTTCAAATTTGCCAAATTTCAACACAGAGCAAAAGTGTCTATAAACCCCAAAGAACATATGTGGGCAGCTTAACAAACACAGAAGCTTCACATTAGTACTTTACATTACATTTGATAAATCAGGAAAATGTAATTGATACAGTTATTTCTATTTGAGTAATTCTCAATTGTATCAGCAAAACTGAAAATTTTGAATTTTCGCCAAGCTGGGAGAGTATATATTAGAAATCCCATTGTAATTATTGGTCTGATCTGATATCCTTTATAATACCAAACAACCAAACATAGTATTGCTTGAGGACATAAAGTAGACAACTGAATATCTTGTCTGTCTACAGACTTCAGGATTTTTACTTCTATTTCTAGTGATCTAACATTCAATAGCTTTATGCCCAATATATTTTTTTTGATTTAACATGTTTCATGCATGCTTTATGCATTAAGCTTAAAAGTTAACCTTCTTGATCCCGTTCTTGTATGATATTGATATTCTTCAAAGAAGACCTATATTTTAGAACTTTCTACACTTCTAATTCCTACACACTCTTATCAGTTGATTGAAAATATTATAGAAGCAGTGATCACACTTATTCTGTTACATGTACCTTTAGAACCGAATCCCAAAGTGTAACCTGATGCCCCCTAAAACAAACCAACTGTGTTTCATTTAAGATCTACACGTGCGGCCTGAACACGTACAAGGTACTGGGGCAGATGCCACCGCCTGAAAGATGCCTGGTGCCCAAACCCATCAAAAAGGTGTCTAAAGAAGTGGCTGGTGTGTGCGCTGGCCCATACCATTCGGTGATCTGGGGACCAGAAGCACTGTACACCTGGGGGCTAAACGCGGGTCAGTTGGGACATAAGGAGGGTGGTAAAGGGAAGGATCAACAATTCATACTTATGCCGAAGGTGGTGAATATTGTTGGAGAAGTTACTATATCACAGGTAAATATCTTACAGAAGCTTAGACGCGTACAATTAATGTTCCATCTTGGGCATAGATTAGGAAGTATTGCTTTTTGGAGTGTTCCAAAATTGAAATTCTAACACGCCTACTTTTTTGAAAACTGGTTAAAGCAGTCTTTGACTAAAATTGGAAATATCACACTACATTTTCGACACGAGCACCTTACAATACCCAAGAGTCAGTTGGTTTAACGATTTCCCATATTTCAGGTGATTTTTATAAAGGACTGGCTTTCTGCCCCGCGATTTTGCCCGCAAAGCATGTAGATGGCACCACTTATAAAGTAACCAAATTTGCCAAGCATGCAAGTTGGCTGCCAATTTGCTAATGCCATCAAAAATACAACACGTGATGGGAAGTTTATAGCATTACTTAAAAACAACGTACGAAGTCGCGGCTAACAGCTAGTGCAAAACAAAACATCTTTATCGCTTGACGGTCACAGGTTTATTAGGACGATGGCAGAATTTAGTACTTGTCGCGACCAATTATTGGTTGGGGTTCACACATAGAACTATGCCTATAATCTTCCTCGGGTATCAGTTAGTAAATGCAGAATTTTTTATACCTCTCCGTATCGTGGATTAAACGTAATGCTGACAAACTGGACAGACATTCACATTTATGTATAGAGATGGGGATTTTTTTATTCTTTATTGATTCATACCAAGTGATCCGCCGTGTAGTACCGCCAAGTTCGTCTGTCTGAGCCCGTCTACCACCTACCATGGGAAATCATTGATCTGCTTATTCTCCAGGAAGATGCCCGACCCTATGCTGTACTTGGATTTTGATGCTCACACACAATTTCCATTGTAACAGCCATGCTGCCAAGAAGAGATAGCAATAAATCACTTAGAGATTTTTCTTCCAGAAAGAATTGTTTATTCTTAAACATGGCATTAACCTTCCAAGGAAAAATTACCCGTCAGCCTTTTTTGTAGTTATGGTTAAGGTTTTTTATTCTCTGAATTACATAACCTGCGACATTAGTTGAAGAAGTGGCACTGCTGGAGCCGAAAGACTGGTCGACACGTAGATAGCTCAAAGTTTTAAGTTTAATTGGTTAACAGAGACTTCAAATGAGGGGAATATGGACAGTTAGGAATGGGCAACGCGCTAGTTAAGCTGCGGGCATAAACGATGGTAAACGCATAGAGTAGCTGATCAGCTGTTTACCTCAAAACATGAAAAATAGGTTACCTCTCTATCAGATATATCTTTTTCCCACCTGCGTTTAACAGCTTGGCTCCCAACCACACAAGCGCGGCCTAGCGGTAGCAAAGTCGCTTCCATTGAGTACCTTCTGCTGGAATATGTTAATCGATATTACTACTTATTGGGTAACGATTTTTTCCTTTCTCAAAAGGTTGTTGCAAGTACCGGCGCAACTGCAGTACATACTAAGAAAGGCGATGTATACGTATTACACGAATACTTGTGCCGAAAAATTGCTTCAAAGCAACTGGATGTAGTTCAGATCACTATTGTTGGAGGCAAACTGGACTTCAATTTGCTCTCTCATGAAATTTCGAAAGAATACAGCAAGGAACTAAAAGTGGCCATTTTAATCAGTACAGGCAATGTATTGCTCTGGCAAGAGAGCGATCCTCAACTTTGTAGGTAAGAACATCACAATACTGGCATACGATTTTTTTAGCATTTTGTGTTTTCAAGAGTAGCTGATCTTACTACAGGAACAATACTAAAGCATATGGTAGTAATATTAAAATGGGGATAATCATAGGTCAGTTGGCAGCTCCACTTGTCGCGACCTCTGGATGTTGATTTTTCTATACTCATAATGCTTATTTCTAGTTTTTCTTTGGATCAGTTGCCCTCTATCAAGTCTTGAAAGCAGAAGGTGTAATATGGGTATTACCTTTTCACTCTCATTAATTAGATAGTAGAGAATAGAAAATATTTTCCGTTAACGAATAGTTTTCTATAGTCACAAATACTGCTAGTTTTATTGCAAATAAGTACATAAGTGGCATCTTTGAGAAATCTGGAAGAGTTATTCCGATAACTAAGGAAGTTATAACATGTTCTGTGTTGGGTGCTGTAGTCGAGTGCCTTCGCGTGTCGAGGTTCGGTCATGATTGCCACAGTGGTTCAAAAGTAAGATATGGCCAAAATTAAATTCACCAAATTTTATTGAAAAACAATGATTTCTACGTTTTCCAGGTCGCTGATAATGCATATGATATCCATCTGTCAAGGACCAAAACGGTGGATTTAATATGGTATACATCTTTGCAAAAGAATTTAGGTTTTAGATGTTTTTAGGGCCAGTAATAACAAATTTGATATCGATTGTTCAAAAATCGAAATAACGCGGCTATGTTTGCGAAAAATGGTTTAATCGCCGTCAAAATTAAGTTTCATTATAGATTCTAGAAAAATCAAAACGTCGCGACGGATCTAGTATGACGGCCATGTTTGCAAATAATTGTCGATTGCGTTCAAATTACAGTTTTATATCGTATAATTGCCAAAGTTTCAGTCATCTGTAGCCAAATCGACACTTCTTAACTGGGTGTCTGATAAACATGCTACTATTCCTAATAGAGGGGCCTCTAATGGGATTTTTTAAACAGTATTTGTAATCGTAAATACAAAAGAGAACAACTTTTGTAAATAGCGCAAAGCGTCCGCAGCGATGGTAGCTGGTGTAATGTGACGTCATCACTCAGTCACACGCTCCAGCAAGATTATTCTCCAAATACAAAACTTCTGGATAGTTTGTTTTCAGTACTGTACTTCACTTAGAGTATCATTTTAAGTACGTTTTAAAAAATAGGAAACTTCCTCATTATCAAACAGATTTATCGTTTATGAATTTATTTCTTTTTTCTTTGACAGGTGTATGTATTCAATAAACCGTGCCGTGATAGCTAGGCAAATCCATCTGAACCTGAATGAGCTTTTGTTGGTAACTGATTATGGTGAAGCTTTCAAAGGTGTCATGAAACCAAGAAAAAAGAAGGCTAGTCCAGCTGAAAAGCCACAAAAAGTTATAGAAAAAAGTGCATTCCATAAATTCTTAGAAAAGGATGACTGTATCATGATCACGTTACAAAAGGTCTCGAAGATACATAGAGCTTTATGCATTCAAAGTGACCCTAAAGGAAAGGATTACTGTGTTATACAGGTTGGTAACTATTTTTTTCATACACAGGGTGTTCCTTAATGATATGCGAATATTTGAGGGTGCGAATCTACATGAAAAATCAATGTTAATTTGCTCTATAAACTATGGCCCAAAAATGTTTCCTTACAAAAATTCGGGGTGTTGAAGTTTTATGAACAAAATGGAAATTAATTAATATTTTCAGAACCGCTTCAGATAATATAAAGTTGCATATTTTTGCATTGCAAAAATAATTTTTAGCTTTAACAGTGGCGTGCGTACGGGTATTGACGTCGATATTTTTTAAGAAAAAAATGGTACGTCAATGGTTTTTTGCCAAATAAAAATTATTTTGGGTTCCCCATTCAATTTATAACAAATGATCCTTCTTCTATTGTTTTTTTTTTCGATGCGCCATTTTTGAGTAAAAAATAAATACCGTTCTGTTGTCATCAAATTGTCAGGAGAATTTAAGTGGATTTTTTGTTATATTTTTACCATATTTTAAGTGTACAGGCATTACGTCCCATTGATTTTCCAAGGCGTGTGACCTTTCGTCAGTGGTATCTTCAAAAAATTACACAAAATCCGCAATTTGAATCAATGATTGTGTTCACGGACGAAGCAAATTTTTCGCGAAATGCCATTCAGAATTTTCACAATAATCATTTGTGGGCACAAGAAAATCCCTATGCCGTAACCGAAACCCATTTCCAACATCAATTTTCGGTTAACGTAAGGGCAGGAATTATTGGCAACCACTTATTGGCCTATTCTTCTTGTCGGGGCGACTTGACGGACAGACTTACCTCAATTTTCTTCAACAACAGTTGCTTTTGCTGTTTGATGATGTTCCGTTAGTAATAAGAAACAATATGTGGTACATCCGTGATGGTGCACCAGCGCATTTCAGAGTAGCGGTTCGTAATTATTTACAAACTGTTTATCCATTGTTGGATTGGCCGCGGTGGACCCCAAGAATGGCCACCAATGTCCCCAGACCTCAACAGTTTAGATTTCTTTTGTGAGGCTATCTTAAGACACTAGTGTACACAAGTTCCATTAATACTGTAGAGGAATTAAGAGAAAGAATAGTTTCAGCTTGTGATAGAATAAAAAACACTCCAGGGATATTTCAACGAGTGCGCAATTCCATGAGAAGGAGGGCGGATGCATGGATACTAAGTGAAGGGGGCCATTTTCAACAATTTTTGTAATCATTTCGTTGGCTTTAATGTTATGTTTATGTTGTCAGCTGTTGTTGTTCATTACCCCTGTGTTTAATTTTTCCAATTAAATTAATAATAATTTTGCAAGTTAGACAATAGAACGGTTTTTATTGTTTTAATCAAAAATGGCGCATCGAAGGAAAACAATTCAAGAAAGATCATTTGTTTTAAATTGAACGGGGAATTCAAAAATAATTTTTATTTGGTAAAAATCCATTGACGTACCATTTTTTTCTTCGAAAATATCGAAGTCAATACCTGTACGCACGCCAATGTTAAAGCTAAAAATTATTTTTGCATTGAAAAATATGAAACTTTATTAACTTTCACTACGTACTAAATATCAGTGAAATATCTGAAGCGGTTCTGAAAATATTAATTAATATCCATTTTTTTCCTTAAACACCCCGAGTTTTTGTAAGGAAACATTTTTGGACCATAGTTTATGAAGCAAACTAACATTAATTTTTCATGTAGATTTACACCCTTAAATATTCGCATATCATTAAGGAATACCCTGTAGTATAGCAGTGGCGAAGCGTCCATGTAACCATTGTTACCATTGGTAACAGTTAAAAATCTCAAAAATAAATATGTTATGACTAAGTACTGTGAAATAATTTCATTTATTTGTTCACCAACAGCGATATGTAATAGTAATTCAGTAAATAGCAAATTAGCCCCAGGAAAATAATGCGCCCTATAGTGTATAGGTTTTGCGAACACGATGACGCTGACTCGCCTCGACTTGGTTGTCGGTTGTTACCATTTTCATTTATGGATACACTTGGTAGTCCGTCGGGGACCGTCGGTACTGGCTAGTGTCTGATCGCGGTCGCCCGACTGCGTGGGGCGCTGCGACTATTATGTGGGCTTGTTACTGTTTTTTGATTTGGTTACTCACTTCTCACTCGTTAGTAGCTGTTTTGGTTACTGGCTGTAGTGTGCGTGCAATTAAACATGGATGAGTGTCGCTGCGTAATCGATCAACACTTGAAAAGTCATTCTCCTTGTATAATTTTTAAGAAAAAAAGGAGATCATTAAAAATGGAAGACCAACACCTATTTTAGATAATTGTAAAAAGAAATAAAAAACGTAGTTTGATATTTTAAATTAAGTTGGTATATGGAAACTCTTGGTTATGTGGTTGCAAAAAACATTGTATTGTTGGCGATGTCTTCTGTTTTATACAGAAAAAAATGGGTGGACCAGCAGCGGAGTCAACGATTTAAATAGATTGAGGGCTTTAAAGAGGAGACATGAAATTTCTCCGCGAGAGGTGTAGACAATTTAATTCAGTTTGGCAAAAAAAGAATCGAAAGTTGTCTTAACCAAGCTTTTAGGCAGCACACTTCTAGACACCGTATGTTTTTTGGCAAAACAAGAATTACCGTTCATTTTGAAGTGAATGACTCTGACAGTAGAGGAAATTATAGGGAATTGCTAACATTCATTGCCCAAAAAGATCAAAAATTTTCCGAACATCTTGAAACGTTGACGTTGTTTTTTCGGACGGCTTGGATTAGTCAGCATAAGACGATGAGTTATATCAAGTGCTCCAGACGCTCAGTCCAGGAATGTTTACCTTAATTTAAAAATAGTTTAAATAAAATACCTAAGATAAATAAAAACTTATAGTTGGGAGGTTCAAAATAAACTTTTTTAATAAGATTTTTCACATCTGGTTTTGGTAACAGTGTAGGAAAAGTCACGCGTCGCCACTGCTGTATAGTGTGTTTCTAATAATTTGTTATACCTTGTGGCAGGTAAAATCTGAGAAATCAAAAAAATAAATCTCAGTTTGTCTGCTCAGATTCATGTTTGAATGATTTTGAACTAGGATTCTAGTTATGCTTGATTGTGCAGCTTTTTAAATACAACTAATCATTTTCGAATCTAGTTGAAAAATTCTTCATGATTTGTAGGAGATTTTGAAATATATTAACTATTTTTAAATGATTCTCAATTTTTTATTCCTAATACGATTTTTTTATTATAGGCATATCCATATAGGAACTTCGAATTTCCCGAAATGGCACCATCAGAAGTCAAACAAAACCTGGAATTATGCCTTGAGGAAGCAGATGAAACTGATGACATTCATGACATAATTTTTAAAATTGATAGCGAAAAATTCCCCGCCCACAAATACATAATAGCCAGTTGCAGTCCTTACCTGGCAAGACTGATGGAAGAAAAAAAGCAGAAAGAAATTGTTTTGGATGTAGGAAAGCCAGAAATATTTTGGGAGTTTTTGCATTTTGTGTACACTGGAGATTGTGAACTCACAAAATGCTGTGAAGTTAAAAATACAAAGTTGAGGAAGTTGTGCATTGTGAAGCAAAAAGATGAAAAAATTGAGGAAATAGCGAAGCTAGAGGAAGAAAATGGATTCAAATTTAATGAGATATCAGCTTATGAGTTCTATAAAAAGAACAAAGAAAATAAAGAAAACGAAGAAAAGGAACCGAAGAATTTAAAAAACCCGGTCCGAATGCTACACGAAATGGCAAAAAGACTGGAATGTTCAGAGTTGCAAAAAACACTGAACACATTGGATATGGAAGGATTCATTGTAAAACATAAATACAACTGCAATTATCATAATAAACCTTTGAAATTTGATCTGAATGCTCATCAGGAACTATATGATGTGACAGTGAAATGTAAGGATGACAAGAGTTTGAAGGCACATAAATGTATACTTTCTGCCAGGTTGGAGTATTTCAACAATATGTTTTCTACAAGGTGGAGTGGGGTAAGTATTTTTTTGTGTTTAAAGTTTCGTACAAATCACATAGTCCAGGTGGTCTCTGCACATCGGATTTTTTCCATAATCTCATTCCAAAACGCGCGCTTTTAACTAATATGCATGTTGCCAGGCCCAAAACTGCGACAAAAATTGATTGGACAATTTTTTTAAGAAAATTCTAAATATTGCTTCTTTCGCATCAGTTAATAGACTAATTATATTAGCCAATTTCCCCAAAATAATTGTAAAGTCTGGTTTTATTGGTGCACGTTGTTCAAGGGGTATTTAGAGCTTGGCGCATAAAATGGGTACACCAATTGTTTTGGGAAAACTTTTTATTTGACAACAAGGAATGAGAAAACGTGTTTTTTGGGATTCAATCGAAAGTGTTGATAGAAACGAAAAAACTTGTCATACAAGATTCCTAGGTATTTATCAGACCTACAAAATGAGACCGTACGTAAAAGGATCCGACTAAAAACAAATTTAAACATTTCGTATTTGTGAGTAATTGAACAAATGCGCTACGATGTTCGAAAAACATACGTTACTATACACATTTTAAAACAAGGCGGATGTGTCTATCATCTTTTGTTGCGAATTACTCACAAATATGAAATCTTTGAATTTGTTTCGAAGAAAAAACGCAACCCATCCTTTTTTGCATACAAGTAACCGGAATGGTTTGCGATTCATATCGGTCGGCAAGCTAAACTAGTGTATTTTGCTATAAAATGCCCTTTGATCTAACCCTATATATTGTTCGATAACCTAATAGTGATGGCCAGAAAACAGGTGTTTTAGGATAAACAATTAGAAATTCTCAAAAACTACTTGACCAATCTACTCCAATATTGTTGTGGTTATTTAGAAGTACGAATCCTACGAACTTGAAGAATTACAAATATCTGCGAGAAACCATCGTCGCAACAAGTTGCAAAACCTGCAGTTTGCCTCGGTTTTCGGCCATAACTTTGTTGCTATTAGTCGGATCTTTTTACGTGTTGTCAGGTTTTGTAGGTGTCATAAATACCTAAGAATCTTACGAGTATATGAAGGGTTTTTTCGTTCCTGCCAAACTTTCCTGTAAAGTTGATAGTTTTCTGGATACAGGGACATGATATGCCATTTTCAACCCTGAAAAACAGTAGGTATGTAAAAACGAATTTTAATTTTGCCATTGTACCTAAATACATTAAAGGAATTGCAAAGAATTTTAGGGGGTATTATTATTGTAAACTTTTATTTGTTAGACAATCGCGCGCTCAAAGTTTATTCTATGTGAGTACGAGAGAGATGTAGCTGCTGGCCGCCCCTCCGCTGACTAACTTTAGAGAAAACTTCTAAAACACCTGTTTTTATTCAAGACCCTTTGACCGGAGCAAGTTTAAACAATCATTGGCGAAATTTTGAGATTGCAAAAATTCGTTAAGAGGGGTCCTTTTTGAATAAGGTTATGCAAAAAATCCGAATCAAGAATTTCTGGGCTGATGCGAAAATACTACGCTGAACTAATAGGGTTTTTTTAAACTAAAAAATGTGGATTTGTGGACAGAATGTCTGAACCAAAACAATTTTGTTTACTTTATCTAGTGGGTGTATTCTTGACTACACAGCAGTACTTATTGATAAACTGAAATTACAACATTACATTGCTAAACCAAATTCAAGTACTCATGTGTCTGCTCTCCAAGATACAGGGTGTGGAAGATTGGAGAAAATTTGTTTTTGATAGAGGAAAAATAATAGCAAACTTTCGCGGAGATCAAAAAAATTTCATACCAACATTCCCTAATTTGATCTGATTTTAATGGTTTTTCGACATTTGATCAAATGTATCATATAATTTTCCTCAGAAAGTAGCATATGAAGAGATACCAAGAGACAAAAAAGCTGTTATATCCGAAAAAAAAAATATATATATATATATATATATCTTTTGAAAGTTAGCACTGTACATGATTTGTCAATATCTTCCGTTAGACTGTCCCCCGAGACGCTAACGAAATTCATAATTATCTTTTAGTTAGTGCTAAGTTGAGATCTTATTGCAATTAACATCACTGCCAAAATTCAACATGATCGTTACAAGGATCTTTGAGATATAAATAAAGACCAAGTTTTTTTAAATTTTCTACACCTTGAAATAGTTCCCGAGCTAGCTCTCTCAGGTTCATGGATAGGAAGACGGTGTTACTGCGATATCACTTTATTTACTAAGGTAGAGGCCGATTTACAACTGATAGTGTACAATTCGAAATAAAATAAAATAAGGTTTAAAAACAATGTTAGTACGTCCGTGGGGCTGAGCGACGATATCCGTGCTCCTGCTCCTGCCGAAGCTCATGCTCGTCTCCCCGCGCAACTCATCTTCAAGGTCTTACTACCTTCTTTCCTTGCCGAACCTCTTCAACCTTATATACTGAATTACATAGAAAATGCAACACCGACTAGGAGTGCTGTAATTTTGAGCATACTTTTTTACAAGGTTTAGGTCGACGGATAAATAGAAAGTGATTAAAATTTTAACTCGAAATTTCGCAAGATAGCTGAGGCATCCCTCCTCAATGTTAATAATGTATTGAAGCTCCTTCCTCTATTAGCTACATATTCGTTAAGTCGTCGCGGCATTGATTGGATTAGGATAATTTGATGTCTTCTCAACAAATGGAACCAACACAGAAAAAATCACTGAATATTAAGTAAACATGTTCATATTGTTCGGATCCTGATATGACGAAAAAAGCCTTTACAGAAAAAGTATGGCCTTCGACATTTTATCACCGTATACTTCCATGATAGCAAATATGTTTACAAGTTTTTATCAAAATTCAATAAAGAATTCCGGCTGTGGCATTTTATATGTCAGTTAGTATATCTTGGAAACCAGACATTTTTAGGACACATATTTATATAAACTTTTCCTGTGGAGTTATCAAACATTGTTGACAAACAGGTTTACACCAGTTTCCAATAAGGCTCATTGCTGCAGTCTGAAGCCATTTTATTCATGGAAATTGTTTCAAAGACGTGGGAAGTATGGAGTCATTTTTCTTGACGCTATTTTTTTCAGCATAAAACAAGTGAAGTAACTCTACCCTTCCCCAAAAGTACCGCAGACGCCCTACTCGAGTATCTCTACACAGATACTTTATCCAGCCTTCAAAATAAAGAAATGGAACACCTCTTCAGAGTGCTCATCCTGGCAGATCAACTGTTCGTTGTCAGACTAAAGGAACAGTGCGAATTGTTGCTGTCCAATCTGATCACTTTGAAGAACGCTGTTAATATTCTTGCCTTTGCGCATTCGTATAATGCTCAGAAGCTGAAGTATTGTTGCATGAAATTTATTATTTTGAATATGGCGGCGTTTTTGGAGTCGAGGATGTTAGATGAACTCGAGGATGATCTTCTGAGTGACTTGTCGGATTTTTATTTTCAGGAGAAAGAACAGGTGAGTGTGGAAATAATATGTCATTACCTATAGGCTAACCAAAATAGGCAAATTAAAAAATTCAACTCCGTTGCCAGGATGACAATTTGTTTAAAACTGTTTCATATTGGAATCCTGATTACGTTTAGCGAATCTTTCTAATATATTATACTTCAGAGTCAATCTATTAGTTATACAGGTCATACGCGTCAGTATTGTTAAAACGTTTTACTTATGAGTCGATTGTTGCAACGATTCGGGAGCTACGACAAGATTTCGGTCAAAATAATGTGCCCAGTGTCAACCCCATTAATCAGTTGATGCGGAAATTTGAACAAACAGGTGAAGTTAAAGACTTGCCAAGGTCGGACCGTGTTCGAACTGTTCGTACTCCGGAAAATATCAATAGAGTTCGTGAAAGCGCCCTGAGACGTCTACCAGACATCGTTCTCAAGAACTGGGTATTCGTCGCACGTCATTATGCACTATTTTAATCAAATACTTGCATTTGCGGCCGTACAAAGTTCAGTTAACCCAAGAACTACAGCCTAGGGACAATAATGAAAGTCGTTGACAATACAGTCATGCAATATTGCAGCTTAATACCCAAAATAACGATCTTTGTTGGTAGTTGATAATGAGCGATGAAGCCCACTTCGATATGAACGGATTTGTTAATAAGCAGAATTGCCGTATCTGGGCAGTAGAGAACGCTCGTGTCATCCATCAACGTCCACTACATCCTCGTCAAGTTTGGCGCGGTGTTTGGTATGGAGGTGTCATTGCATCTTACTTCTTTGAAGGCACTGCAGGTAATCACTTACTGTCACTGGCGAGCGCTACCGTGATATGGTGCAAAACTTTCTGGCTCCTCAAATCCAACAATTTAACCTGCAAAACATTTTGCGAACAATATTTCCAGAACGTCTAATTTCTCGATTTGGTGATGTCAAGTAGTCACCAAGGTCACCGAATTTAACGGCTCCTGACTTTTTTATGGGGATTTTTGAAAAATAGGGTTGCCAGAAAACCAAATACTGTAGAACAATATTACGGAAGCGATTGAAAATATTCCTTCCGAAACCTACCAAAAAGTGATGGAAATGTAATCAAGAGAGATCAGGTTTGCGCCAACGAATTCGAATACTTAGGTAGAAGACGTAAACAAAGGATTTGTTTTTATCAAGCATTTAGAGCGACACACAAACTTGAGTGGCTAGGAGTTTTCTGCGGTGTTGTCATATCTTGTTCAAAATCAACAACTGCCTTCACGCAATCAATAGACGATAGCACTGAACAGTGCAAAAATAATCGTAAAATGTTATAGGTGGTGATAACTAAATAAAGAGTATTAGTTTGTCTCCAATAATATCTATTTTCAAATAGAACAACTCATGTGTATGTACAGTTATAAATTGTTTGCAACACCTGCACCGAAAAGAACGTCTTTGGTTTCAGTACCCGAATATATTTCATATTATAATGTTGATGCAGTGTCATCATAGCTACAAAATAAACATCATAGCGATTTCCGAAAGCGTCTTGAGCTATTCTTATTCTGGATTCGTACTCAAAATACATCTTAAATAAGCACCGAGGACAATTAAGAAATATGTATTGTTATATTCTAGTGATATTTCCTGAAAAACTGATATATGCCTACTAAACGTGGCAACGCTGTGGTGGCAAATTAAGAACAGCTGGGCTGATTTCTGGTGTTTTATACTGCTGCTGAAATTGAGGGGAAGCTTTATTTTGTTCATATTGTCATGTTTACGTGAGTTTTCCCTGATATTTTCACAGATTCTGAGGCGTTTGAAACATTTCAGTGGTATATATAGCATTTTGGGCTATTCTCGAAGATGGTGAAGTGTTGCATGTTATTTAACAAGCAGTTTAAGCGCGATAAAAGCAGATGTCTACCCGGGGAAAAATATACCATTTTCGTTCAAGGTCAAATTTTGTGTAAACAGTAATCTGTTGATGTTGCTAACAAACAATCTTTAACATCATATGGGCTTGGCTTCTTCTAGCCTAGTCCGACTTCGTTGGTTTGCGCGGCTTCTAGATGCGGACATTTGTCTGATATTATTTTTCATACATAATTTCTAAGTTTCAATAAAATATTAAGATGAAAAAATGGACGTATTTTATTTCATTTCACAAATATTCAAGATACAAACTAGTCAGCTACATATTCGCCACCGTTTACAACTAAATCTTAAAATAATTCCTGTCCTAGGATTGTTAATTTTAAAAACAGCAGCTTTTATTTTTTTAAATAAATCCAAATTTGAAACATTAAATATAAGTTACGTTATTAGGCGAAAACAGGACTTTAAATTAATAGTACCTAAATCACTTGCAAAGGGTTCACTAATTTATAATCGTCTGAAAATTTACATGTGCTTCCCTAATGCTATCAAAAGAGTCAACAATTCAAATATATTCGGCCATGAACTCAAAAATATTCTAGTGCATAACCCATATTATACCTTGTATGAGTGCTACAATACATTTTCTTGAGATCCACATATTTTAAAGTTATATTCATCGATCTTTCTAGTTATATCTTAAAATGAATTTTGGGGGGGGGGGACGTTAAATCCATATTGATTCTCCTGGAAGACTGTATCCTGAATTTTCTTGTGTCTACCGGCTAGTACGAGGGCCAAGCTAGATATTTTGAGATACACGAAACCTAAAAACTATTTTTCGAAAAATAGTTTGCTTATGTTCTAAATATTCTCTTCCAGCATCAATGCACTTCTGTAACCTGACCTTCCACAAATGAAATGCTCTAGCCAGTCAGATTTTGGAATGCCTTCATTAAAACTGATTAATTGCTTGATCGATTTCCTATTCGGACGAAAAGTTTCGACCAAGCAGAATTTTTTTCAAATTGTTGAAGAGCCGGAAGTCACACATTGCCAAATCTGGCAAATAAGGCGGATGTTCTAGCATTTTGGTGTGGTGCTGGCGTAAAAAGTCTACAGTTAGATGGGCAGTGTGGCTAGAGGCATTGTCGTGATGCAGGTTTGCACCTCTGCAACAACTTTTTTTGAATGAAGATGATCATTCAAAATGGTGTGCACTGTTGCGGATCCTACCCCAAGAGTTGCCTCTATAGTCGCATATTTGCAGCGAGAATCTTCTTCAATTAGCAGCCGAACATTAGCAGTGTTTTCTGGAGTAACACTAGAACATGACCTACCAGTACGGTATACCAGCGAAACACACTTGCCCGGAACGGAGCTTCATTACCAAATGCCTGTTGTAACCGTTCGATACATTGGTGTTCAGTTAAACCGACTTTAAAGTCATAGTAAATCACAGCGCGATAACTCTCTCGAGACAACTCCATATTTCGTCTTAAATTTTGTTTACACCACGTGCACTGTAATACGCTTGCAAATGAACCGACTGCGGCGACTTACTAATGAAGAATTGCTCTTTCTGATAGTGCACTGTTTCCGGTTTTAACTAGTATAGTTAATGCACATCTCAATATATACAGAATGCCCCTCGTATATTAATCTATTTATCGTGTTTAAAAAATAGTAATCTATTTGACATAACGAATAACTTAATGAGATGATTGTCAAACCGGAACAGTATGGCTTTGAGAAAAGTTCGTAACTAGTGCAAGATCCAGTGGCACACGATTTTTCTCTAAATATGAAGAGAGATACCGTGGAAGCGGACAATTTCCAGATGCATGTTTGTATGGATATTTTTTGATATTCGTACGTGTCGAACCTATCTGACTAACAGAGAGACAAATCGATAACGTTTAAAAGATAGTCTCTTTTGAAATAAAAATACGGCTACGAAATTTCAATGTTTCAGGTGTGGTGCCGTGTTATAACTCCGTACTCTACTGCTGTAAGCGACGAAATAGTATTATCAATAGCTAGCGCCTTCCCTGTATCTCTGGACGAGCAAGTTCAGTCATGTAGCACCACGAAAACAAGTCAAAAGGAGAAGAAAAGGAGGTCACATAAATCCAGTACTTCTGAGAAGAGGAACTCTAGTTTTAGTGATCACCCCGATTCTGTGATACAGTTTCCTGATGTACCTGAAACTGCTGAGGTTACTTTGGATATTAGGAGTATCACTTGTAATATTCCTAATAGACTAAAGTCTATCGTTTTAGCAACAGGTATTTATAAACTTACTACATACAGAATGTTACCACTACCATTCTCAGTATGGCATGATTCAAGCAACAAATGGTACAATCATAGGTAGTTCGGGATTTTTTACCCCAATTTTTGCATAGACGAATAAATTATACAAGTTAAGGTCGCATGTCCCTTTTTTCAACTTCCTGTTTGGTGCAGTATTCTAAATCCTTTCCATCTGTTTATTTCATGGTGTGGTGTGTTTGTTGTTATGCAGTTTTTTTCAATCGTAACTATTATTATAGCTCTGAAATTGTACGTCAAATTTCCACTTTTATATTAAGATTGAGCGGGTGATTATTCTTATCACTTTTTCTCTTCGAAAAATCTTTGATTTTCATGAAACCTCATTTTCAGTAAGTTGAGTAAATCACATACCATTTTAGAACTTTAGAGCTGTACTATTATTTGTTAAAAAAGAATCTAATAACATTGTTATCAGGTCATTTCTATACACAGCATGAAACAATCGGACGAAAAGTATGTATTAAGAATAATCCTTCAGATGGGCTGTTGCAAAAAAAAGGACAAGCTACGTTAAGGTTAGGTATTTTATTCTTAGTTATAGTCAGACGCGAGTACGGATTCATAATTAACATTACATGGTACATGGGTGTGTATTTCTGCAGAGGTTACATATTTGGCTAGAGCGACTTTTTGCAAGATGAAGAATTTGCCAGAGGCCACCGAGTTTCTCCAGAGCATTGAGGCATATGTAATGTAACTAAGAAACAGACTGAAATACACTATTCGCAAAGTCTGGCGATCAAGGCATCCGCTAAGAATACACATTTATGAATAAATAACTCCCATACTTCTGAGAATTGTTTTGTTCGAAAACACAATCCTGAAGTACCTATTGGAGCACGTTTTCGAAGTAGTAAAGGCATTATCAGTACTACTAAGATATCCTGAAGTATTTTCTTGCATAACTTCAAAACTTCCCACCACGGATTTATCGGAAACCACTGATTAAAAGAAAACGCCGAGACACGTCAAACGATTTGTCAAGGGAGACAACTTTTTAACCAAAAACTACTTCACCCCCTTTCACCTTCTGCCCTTCAGGGTCATCCCCATGAAAATTTTAAATGTCAAGAAGTATCGAGTAATAGCTTGTTTGAAAGGTCTTTTGAAGTCCTTTATTTTGGCGTTTGATTTTTTTAAATAGGTCGATTGGTTTTCAAGAAAATTATAAAATCTTTATTTATCTTAATTTGTTCAGACAGAAAACAAAAATACACGAAAATATTACTTTTTATTTTAATAAGTGTTCGAAATGCTTGTTATTGGCTAGACAATGATATAGGCGATGTTCAAATTCCTGACGGACATTTTCAAAAACATGTTGTGGGATATCATGGCAGCCTTCGATGATGTGTTGACGAAGTTCATCTTAACTTTCAGGTTGGGGAGTAAACACAATAGATTTCAAATGGCCCCATAGAAAAAATTCTAATGGCGTCAAATCAGGAGATCTAGCAAGCCATTCTATAGGCCCTCTTCACCTTATCCATTTATCTGGATCTGGCCATTGGCGAACCGGAAGAACATAGTGAGGAGGAGCGCCGTCTTGCTGGAAATATATTTCAGCCTCATCAAGTAAACCTGTAGGGTTTCCATCCTCTTCGATTTGGTTTTCAATGGTTTCAGTGATAAGCAGATTGATGGTATTTTCCAATATATCCAAATAAATGTCTCTATTCAAATTTCCATTAATAAACAGTGGCCCAAACACTTTGTTTCCTAAAACGCCTGCCCATACATTATTTTTTTCGTGGTATTTGGTATGCCCTTCTACAAAAGCATGAGGATTTTCATTGCTCCAATACCTGCAGTTTACATGAATGGTATTGTCATTAATCGCTGCAGTTATTTGTTCACAAAACTCAACTCGTCTTCGGTTAACTCTTGCAATATTTTCATTTTGAATAGATGAAATTTATGGAGTTTAGTAACTGTGTATAGAGAGCCTAATAAAATATCAGTAGCAGCAACAGTTTTGCGTAATGAAGTATTAGGATTTATGCCCAAATCAGCCAAAACCTTAACTTGAGCGCATCCAAAACTCTCCGATAATCACGTTTTTTATTTGCAACAAATCCAGTTTGAGTAAATTTAGTAAACATACCTATGCGAAGTTATCTTCCCCGGATGTCTGCATATATTAGAATCATTTCCACTCATTCAGCTAGTGTGTAAACCATTTTGGAAGTAAAATCTGAATCAGTAAATTAATTTTCACTACCCCATTGTCATAAAAGTAACTGACAACAAATTAAATTCTTTCTTTCACTCAGCAACAAATAACTAAACAGGTATAACAATAAATACAGTTCGCACAGGATATCTGTCTTGATGAAAAAAATGTGGAAAAAAATTCCGGTTGTTATTTGGTTGTTGCCACGTCTGATCTTCCGAATTAATGTTTATATTGGTAGTTACCGTATTAAATTATAAACTAATTGTAGATTTAGCAAACCCCAACTGGCAACCTTTTGAACACCTATTGAAGTAATAAGTGATATTTTCGTGTTTTTTTGTTTTCTATCTGGATAAATAAAGATAAGTGAAGATTTGTTCAATTTTCCCGAAAACGAACCGAGTGATTTAAAATAATCAAACGTCAAAGTAAAGGACTCCGAAAGACCTTTCAAACAAGCTATTACTTGATTCCCCTTGTCATTTAAATTGTTTTAAGGGAATGACCCTAGGGGGCCGAGGGTAAAATGAAGTAATTTTTGGTTAAAAAGTTGTCTTTTGACGTGTCTCGGCGTTTTTTCTTTTAACACGTTCACTGCGAACGACGCTGATCTACGTCCGACCGATGTTTAACGAAAGGCGGCGGGCGCGGATCCGCGCTTCTGGCTGATATAAACTCACAAGACTGTGGTGTTGTCAGTTTGTACCGCACTCGCTTTATGTTTGGTTGCCTACATATTGAACATCTTTTTGGACTATTTTACGCGTAGGATCAAGTTTCGTTTATTTTTACATTGCGCAATGGCGGATGATGTGGAAGCAGGTTGTTCACGACCAAAACGAGTGAAAACGTATTGTAACCGTAATAAAGGGCTTACAGAAAAAGAACTGTATGATATTCTTGCAAATTCGGGGAGTGAAATCGAGAATCTAAGTGACTCAGACAATTATGTTCCCAGTTCAGATGGAAGTGAGCAGTCTGATGGAAATATGTCTGAAACGAGTGATGATTTTTCCTGCCCACACATTATTTCACATTATTTTGTTATTATTCTAAGCTTCTATTTGAATATCATTATTTTGTTCTTTTCCATAATAAACTTGTTTTACTGAATATTTGTTTTTGTATTTTATAGTCTGGTCTGAAATTAATTAAAGAAAAATCTTTAATAGGGTTTCAAGATATGTTTCGTGTTACTGCACGAAAAAAAAACCAGATAGAAGAAGAAAATGTATATATGAAATAATTTTCAATTACACAACGCACATCCAATAGGCTTACGACGCGAATCCGCGCTTCGCTTGTGCAGCGCCTAAAATCGTTTAGCCGCTACCGTGAGCGAGGCGCGAGGCAGGTCGCAGCGAACGTGTTAATCAGTGGTTTTCGAAAAATCCGTGGTGGGAAGTTTTCAAATTTTTATCCTGATTCTATCACAAGAACGAGAAGAACAAATACACGTTTTCTTCTATTAATTCAATATTTTCGAATTAATGTTCTTTATTACAGAAATTGTCGAGAACGAAGGTATAGAATCCGACTACACAGTCCTGGGCAGCTCTTCTGAGCTAGGAGCTTCTTTTAACGATTTTCATGATTTTCCTCAATTGAGTAGTCCTCCTAGACCGGTAGGGAATATTGCACTACACAGTAAGAGTCCCCCTCAAAGGACAGATTCGAAGCATAAGTTGTCTAAGTTGTCACAAAAGCAACGGAAAAGGTTGTCTTCCGAGAGCATTGCTCAAAGTCCGCCAGCTCAAGGTATGTGTAGATTAATTCTAAAATATTCTCTGGTGCCCTCGTCTATTAGTTCCATTTGTTTTTAGGATAAAACTATAGGGTGTCCTAGAAATAACACGCTAGAGTGACACGGGAGGCAGATTGGCTTCAGATCAATCATATAAAATCAACATGACCTTCGTAAAAGTTTTCTAGTTTTCGAGATATTCCCGCTTTTAGGTTTTTTCAAAAAATCACTACTTTTTGCCCCTTTTTTGCCTGTTATGGCTATTAAGAACTTCTAACTTATGAGTTTTTTCCTCGGCTACCATTAATACATTTTGTTTTAATCTGAAAACCTTTGCTAAAGTTTGACTAATTACTGTGAAAAAAATGTACCTGACTGAATCGGCAAATGATCTTAACAAAAAGTAACCTATTTAATGCAGCCGTCTTTTGTATCCAAATCACTAAGTAATGTAAAGACCTAAACATGTCATTAACTGTCTCGCTCTCACATTCATTGTACGGTCGGTATCATTATGTCACATTGAAGAACAGAGGTGGTACCGCATGCGCACGGTTAATTTAGTACTGCTCCTTTTGTTAGTGCTACACACGTGTTATTTAGCCCTTTTGCTGTTTAGGTCGTTTCATTCCTTAGTGATTTGGATACAAAAGACTGCTGCACTTATTTTTTATTTGTAGTATTTCGCAAGTATTACGACTTCAATGACAAAACTGGGAATTATTCAATTTTTAGTACAAAGAACCTACAAATGTTATACTACTTTTAAAAGAGCACTAAATATGCTAATATTCAAGATCATTTGCAGATTCAGTCTGGTACATTTTTTTTCACAGTAATTATTCAAACTTTTTTTCACATTGAATCAAAATGCAATTTTTTTTTAGCATAACGTGCTATTTTTGAATGAAATGAATACTCAGTCGTCTCAATCAACTATTAATGGTAGCCCAGGAAAAACCTCATAGCTTAAAAGTTCTTAATAGCCATATCAGGCAAAAAGGAGCAAAAGTAGTGATTTTTTGAAAAAACCTAAAAGTGGCAATATATCGAAAACTAGAAAACTTTTAGTAAGGTCATGTCGATTTTATCTGATTGATCTGAAGCCAATCTACCGTGTCACTCTGGAGTGTTATTTCTGGGACACCCTGTATATTGGAAGGACGAAGTACTGTTTACCTCAACAACACGCTTCGTTAGTGTCTATAGATCCTTAACTTGTACTGCCTCACAGACTTTACACAAAAATATTTATAATCATAATGGTCCGGCTCTATTTATACAAAGAATAAAAAGGCGAAGTGTCGCTAAAAAACGTTTTTCAACCTATTTACAAACAAAAACAAAAACTCTGTAACAAATCGCACGGCCTACTTACGGTGCGATATAATCAGAGATAAAGTGCTGCAATCTTTTTTTTATGGAGTAGCAAGGCAATGCTTTGTATGATTCAATAGCTATACATGGTGGCCCAACGAAAAGATCGCACCCCTTTTTGTGATTCTCCTGGTATATTTATTGAAAAACGGTCGGACACGTCAATTTTGACAGCCCTGTAAGCCTTGTAAACGTCAAAAACTTCCTTCCGCGAAAGTTTTTAATTTTTCTGAATAAAAGGCGAGAGAAAAAATGGACAAGGCAGCAATGCAGACTCTAGCAGAACTGCAGCTAAAATTGGAAAACAAGATGAAAACCCAGCTATGCCAGATGACAGCAGCAACTCTACCAGATGCTGACGACTATCACTGAAAAGCAGTCCCACCAGATAGAGCAGCAGGCGAGAGAAAAAAATGGACGTGGACCCGGAAGGGTCGGAGGATGGTCTGTCCTCCTCCAGCAATGCAGACTCTACCAGAACTGCATCCAAAATTGGAAAACAAGATGAAAATGCCAGCCATACAAAGGAAAAGACAAACAACGGCTAGACATGCGACAGAAGACTTCCCTCCTTTACCGACTCAATCTGCTCCTACATAACACATATTTCACAAATTAACACTCATCCACTCATTGATACATCGCACATAACTATTTCACATACACAGACCTATACTAGAGCTGCACCTTCTGGTTCTGCCAGCACAGCGGCGCAGCAGCTTCAACCAAGGCGCATCACTCCGGTCGTGCTGAGGGAACCAGAAAAGTGGAGAAACGTCAATTATCAATTTATTAGTCTAGGGATTAAGATAGATCGTGCGGTAGCGATTGACGCGGGGACTAGAATCATCCCCAAAACCGAGGACGATTACAGAAAGATAATTCGGCATTTCAAAGAGCAAAATATTGCTCATCATACCTTTCCTCTGCCATCGGAAAGAAACATACATGCTGTCCTACGCGGTATCCCCGCGTCACTCAACGAGGAAAAGATAAAGCAGGAGCTGAACCAGAAAGGATATACCCCTTTACATCTGATCAGATTAAAACGCAGTGGAGGGCACTCCCATGCCGTTGGTAGTGGTGATACTGCCTAAAATCGAAAAATCACATGAATTATTCAATGAAAAAGAACTATTAGGCCTCTCAATTAAGGTTGAGGTTCAAAAGAATAATGAACTCATTGGCCAGTGTCACCACTGCCAGAGGTATGGGCACGCCCAGTTTTACTGTACAGCGCCACCCAAATGTGTAAAATGTGCACAGAACCACTTAACCCATTTGTGCCCCCGAACAAGACAGGAGGTACGCAAACTGCGGGGACGGGCATCCTGTCAACAGTCCAACGTGCAGGTTCACTTCTAAGAGGAACCTACAGGTTATAGCCGAAAGGCGCATTAAATCTTATGCTGAAATGACAGCCAAGCCTTCAGCTCCTGCCACTTCAGCCGCAGCTCCTGCTGCTTTGAACTCTCAACAAGTAGACCTGGCGACCGCGCTCAAGTCACTCCAAGAAATTATTACTCCTCTGATAAGCGATAACACAAACGATCTTTCCGCAGCCTATAGATGGCTGAGTATAATAGACAGCCTGCTTTGCGGAATCGCACAGCAACCCTTTGTTGCGTGTAGCAGTGGATTACACAGTCGAGGAGATACGCAAACATTCCAGGCCGCGACTCGCACTGTGAACAAAATTTAATTCATGTCTAGACCTATAGTATAGTTTTTAAAAACCAAAGACCCAAAATTCAGTTCAGGACAAGTCAAACAATTTATATACTACAATGTAAGAGTTCTTAGATCTATCACACATTAAATATTTACATAAAACAATTCCTTTTCTTTCTCTTCTCGCTCCTATTTCCTTCCTTTCTTTCTTCCTCTCCCATTTCCCCTAAACTTGTCTGGTTTCTGGGCCACCAGACCTGACAGACTGACGACAGACATTACAGTGACTATGACCTAAAGGCTAAGGTCCTCCGGACCGCCTTGAGAAGCAACGACGAGTAGTAGTCAATTTTGATTTCTAGGGGGACGACTTTTCCGATATAGCCGTACAATACAGGGTGATCAAAAATAAGATATTGTGTTACACTTAAATTTTTAAATGGAAGCCCCCATTCTTCAATTTTTAGATTCTCCATGAAGCTTTTGGTAACTTTTGTATAATAAAGTTTATACCTATCTTCAATCGTTGTGAAGCCATTTGAGTTTATAATAAAATTCTAGAAATTGTGATAAAAAGGAATTATATCGTAAAAATAATAATCAATATAGTTCCCATAGTAGCAAGCTTTACTTTGAAATTAAAAACAAGTCTCCTAGTATTAAAAAAAACAAAAAACAGCTTACAGCATACACGCACATTAAAGTTTAAGTAAAAATTAATTTGCAATAAAGAGGTAGGTCAATTTGGTAATAAGTCCATTTACATCCACGCAATAATAGAGATTGTATTCGAATCTATTCCTCACATTTTCAAGCATGTCTTGAGTTATTTGTCTACATTGAGCCGTAATCCGCTGACGAAGATCTTGAATGGAATCTGGCTTCGTACTAAAAACTTTACTTTTCAAAAGCCCCCGGTCTGCCGATCCACTGATTCGGGAAATGGGTAACCAAAAACTGTCGTACTGGAGGCACATAGTACGGCGGTGCACCATCTTGTTGGAAATTAATGTAATTTTCATTGTAATTAACGTCATTTTCTATTATTTCAGTAATTCGTGGCTCCATTGTATTTTCTATCATGTCCAACTACGTCTCGCCCGTCAAGTTTCCTACAATATGATTTCCGAAAATGCCGGCCCAGACATTTATTTTCTGCGATTGTACCTCTCGAAACAAATGTGGATTCGAGTCAGTCCAATATCGACAATTATGTCTATTTACAAAACCACGTAAATGGAACGTATACTCATCCGAAAAACAAATATCAAATATCAGACATGCATTGTTGATTAAACGTTTGGACATTAATTCGCAAAACTCCAACCTCCTATCAAAATCGTCTTCATTAAGCTCATGGACAAGTTTTATCTTGTACGGGTGAAATTTATTGTCGTTCAAAATTCTTTGTATTGTTGAGCATGTAAATCATGTATAAGTAACCAGTCCATGAGTGCTTTGGGTATTGTCAAGTGCTACGTGTTCCAAAACTGCTATTCCTGCGGTTTCATTTCTATCTGGTCGATTTTTTCGATGGCGATTACGGCGAATATTTGACACAGATCCAGTTTATTCATATTTTTCTTATAAACTCAGCCACATACTTAAACAACCGGGCTCTTGCTATGCTCCGGTTTTGGTAATACAGTTTAATTATTTCTACCCTTTCTTGAATATTTATCTCAACTAGGAAGGTAACTTAACAATTTGAAATGAAAGTTTTTCTATGACATACGATGACACTGACTGATGCTAAATGTTCTTGCTGGTATCCATGATTATCATTTTTGCCGTGCATTCTATTGTTATCAGTATTAATTTAGTCGAATTTTAATATTAACTCAACTGGCTTCACAACGATTGAAGATAGGTATAAACTTAATTATACAAAAGTTACTAAAAACTTCATGGAAAATCTAAAAAATGGGGATTTCCATTAAAAAATCTAAAGTGTAACGGAATATCTTAACTTTTGATCACCCTGTATTGTATGGCTATAGATGAAAAGAAGTCCCCCTAGAAATCAAAACTGACGTGTCTGAGCGTTTTTCCAAAAATATACCAGGAGAGTCACAAATGGGGGTGCGACCTTTTCGTTGGGCCACCCTATATATAAATATGTAAGATCTTTCAAATAGAGATGTTGAACATCTAAGGATAACCAAGAGATTTATTTTTTTGTATTTCCTTGATTAATATTCGAGTGTCTGACAAATTTGGTTGACAGGTATGGAGGAGATTGCGTTATGATTACCTTGTGTTGTGTTATTTTTTAAACGGTCAATTCACGATATTTATGTGTCACTTGCTCAAATTTTCTCACCCCACAAGCAAATCTGAGACATGCAATTTGAATATTCTGAAGTCTATTTCAATCTTAGGCCGACCCATAAATACAACCACTTATCCATATTTATCTTTTACGCAACTTCAATTTGAGATCAGTACTCATACTCATATTTCATACCTATGAAGAAATAATTTTATTTCACAAAAACGACTCGCAATAATTGTTAGAGTAAAAATACATATATACAGTGGCGGACAAAAGATTGGAAACATTCTTAGTAATTTTTAAAAGGTGCGCTAATTTTTTATTCTTTATTATTAAGGGCTATTCTTTTACTCTTATAGTTTGCTTACAGTTTTGAGTATACTAATGACAATTTCTGTTAGCTGTGGTACTACAGACTAGTATTAAATAACCTTCATATTGTTTTATGGCCAAAAATGAGTCGACAAAAGTATGGAAACATATTTTTTATTACAAAATTAACTACAATAACTCTACAAAAAGATTTAAAAAATATTGTTTGGCTAATATTTGGTAGCATAGCCTTTAGCATTCAACACTGCCTGGCATCTGCTGCGCTTAGAAGACACCAATTTTGACGTCTGTTGGGATATTGTGCCAAATCTTTTTTATATGATAAAATAAATATTTCCTATTTTTAAAAGTGTTTCTTGTCAGTTGTCTTTTAACATGCTCCCGGAGATGTTCTATAGGGTTTAGGTCAGGGGACTGCGAAGGCCATGTATCATTAAAATTGTTTAGCCTTAACCAGTCCTTTACGAATTTGAGGTATGCTTGGGGTCATTGTCTTGCTGGAATGCCCATCGTAAAGGCATTTCTTCTTCAAGCAAAAGGGATCATGTGTTCACTATATCTTTGTAAAGTTTTTGATGCATTTTTCCAAAAATTTTAACAATTAGACCCGTTCCAGAACTAGAAAAACAGCCCCAAACCATGATGTTGCCGCCACCGTGCTTAACTTTCGGCTACTGATACTTTTTGTCGAATCTTTTTCATATTGGACGTCTCACATATGCCATACCGTCAGCTCCAAACAATTTAAATCTGCTTTTGAGGCTTTTGCACTGGACGTCTATCAAAAAGCCCAAAATCCACCAAGCGTCTCTGCACTGTTTTGACAAAAGGATTCTCGGCACCCTCTTCTACGATTATTTCGAAAATCCGTGCGGCTGGCATTCGCGGATCTTCATGAGACAAACATTTAATGTAGCGTTAAAAAAAATAATCGTTATTTTTTTTCGGTCTTCCGCACGTGGACCGCGTTGCTCGTGATCCGTATTCTTGATATTTACTAATAATTTTCGCAATCGTAACTTTATCATTTTTAAGCTTTGAGAAATTCCAACATTTCTGACACCACTTCTGGATAATTCAATTACTTTGTCTCTTAAATCTTATAAAAATTCTTTTAATTTGGCATTCTCACTGATGTTAGTATTTACCGCACGCAACATCAGAGAATTGCAGAACGAATAAATACGGCAAAACTGAAATGTTTCCATACTGTGGTCGTTACAAAAACTGTGGTATTTGAAAAAAAACGCAGGTTTTTATTTTCAGAGAATTTGAATATTGATAAGATAAACATTGTATTAGTACGGCAGCCAAAGGTAGACTTTAATATTTATATTATCTGTTCCTTCACAAATTTGATTTAGATATATGAAATAGTTCATACTAATGTTAATATTTGTTTCCAAACGTTTGTCCGCTACTGTAAATGCGTTTTCGGATATTTAATTTCTTATATCTATCTTCTTCAGAACACCCCAAAAATCCCTGGAAACCCATTCCTGATATAACTGATAATATAACTCCGAAGAAATCTACTATAAATGACATTATATCTGATGAAAGGAAGCAAAAAGAAAATCTTATGAAGATTACCAGTAAGCTTCTGCTATTTACACAGGTAAGATTTTTTTTTAAATACTAAACTAAATAAAGAAATTGAGATACGTCCTCTACCCCAATCCCAAATGTTTAATTCCCACATTTTTTTAAACGATTTTTGTCCCTAGCTCCGCTACCACTATACATATTTTCAAAAAACTACAAAGCTTTTTCATTCTTGGCATAGTAGTAACCTTGTGTGAAAATTCCCTGGTATTAGCGCACAGAGAGACCGACGAGAATGAGTTACAAGCTTTTTCGTGATGTACAAGGGTATAAATTGACCCCCCCCCCTTTTTTTATATGACCTAGAAGAAAAAGTTGGATATAAAACTTAATGGGTATTCTACGATATATATTTCATATATTTTTTTTGTATACATCTTCTAATTAAAGTGCTATCGAATAAATGTGTATTATTTTAAATGGAATGGATTCCAATACATATATGGTTTGTTAAACTTCTTTTTATTACTTCAGTCAAAAACTTGAGGTTTGTGTGTCATTTACTCATATATTGTTTTCCAGTCCTAAACCAGATTACATAGGCAGCTCGATGCAAACTGGTATTGTCCAACCGAACTTTCGGTTTCGGCCAGTTTCGGTCCAAAATGAGAGTTTCGATTTACTTTCGGTTTTGGCAGAAAATCCGCCGAAAGTGAAACCGAAACTACGTTCGTATGTTTTCGCGCGCCTTCGGGCAAATTTATTCCGACCAAATGTCAAATTTGCTAGAAGAAAATGTTGAAAAATGGTTATTCATGTCATATATCAGACTGTTCAATTATGATTATTAGATTACGTTCTGATGGCCTGTTGCACCAACATTGACTTTGAGTTTTGTAAGATTTTTTTATGTAATTCAAGATAGAAGATAACTCACAAATTATTGGGGAATTCCAGTTTAGGCACAATTCCAGTCAGAATATTCAAAGCTATACAAAGTTTCCCCAAAAATGAAAGTTACTAATTTCATGGAAATAGTGCTTGTTTTTGGTTTTTGAATAATTTTTCTTGAAATTTGTTCAAGGATACCCAAATCATCGTTTAAAATAATATCATGACTAATAAAATCATTATCATTCATGAAGACTAAAAATGAATTAAAATTAACCTAAACTCCAAAAATTGATCATGTAAGTTAAACACAGTTCACAAAATTTTAAACGGGGTTTAAGTGCTTGTCCAGTGGAAATCTGCAAAATAATCTATGTTTCCGTCTAAACTAATATTTTTAGTGCAACATGCCATGAGTTTTTATTTTTGTTTTACAAAATTTTGGAAACAAAAAGGCATTATTTATTTTGTGTTTCAAGAAAAAATGTAGTACTGTTTCAGTTTTTTCACTTAAGTCTTAATAATATTTAAAAATGACTGATTATTACATATTGTATAGACTTTGTTTTTTTTATGTTAGACTGCCATTATTACTTCTAATATTAATTGATAAAGACGAAGTTTGTTTTATCTTACATTATACATTACTATCTAACCTCCCAACCTCTCATATCACACTCTTCAGTTGGAAGTTTCGGTTTCAGGAGAAACTAAAATTGGACCGAAATGTCGGTTTCGCCTGAAATATTAGTTTCGGCCGGACACTACAAACTGGTTCGACCTCAGATACACATTGATTAAATAACACAAAAACGTGAGTTTTTGTCGAAATTAATGGAAATAGTATGATAAACCATATATAAAATTTTTGTGAACTAAAATTGATCTAAATATCATCAAAATTGGCGGTGCTGCGAGCCGTCAAAAGTGGGCATTTTTTCAGACATCCCACTGAATATCTAAACATTTGACAATTGGAACCATATGTTATATAGGATACCAAACTTCTTGTTTTTAGGAGGTCTATCCGAATATGCAATAAAATATAGGGTATTGTATTTAAAAAATACATGTTTGCTATGGCATGAAGCTATGTAGGTGTATAAATTAAAATAATTTGAAAATATGCACCAGTAACAAATCAAGAGAATAGATTTTTCCAGTTTGTTCATAAAAATACTTTCCATTTCCGATGGGACACCCTGTATATATTTCGATTAAGAAAAAAGGGACTATCATTTTCCCTGAAAAACTTTATTTAGTAGCAGTTTCTGAGACATCTGGTATACAAAAAATACATAAAAATCTTCATATTAGAATTAGGCCGTACAACTTTTATATGCAACTTTATCTTCTGGAAGGTCATATAAAAAAGTGAGAGCAACCAATTTATATCCCGACACTCCGTACATGTTATATAAGATCCAAAAAATAATATCTCATTTTCGAATTTTTATTGCGATTTCAATACTTCCTCGCCAGTGGCGTAGGAAGTAAAAAACGTATTTGAAATTCGAAATTAAAACAATTTTAAAAAATGCCCTGGTAACATATCAAGAAAACAGATTTTTTATATATTTTCCAGTTTGCTCAGAAAAAAGTGACTATCATTTTCGCTGAAAATATACAGGGTGTTCCAATCCAAACTTTATTCATTAACACTTTTCTGAGACACCTTTAGACCCCATAACTTTTGTATACAACTTTTTCTTCTGGCAGGACATGTTAGAGGAGTCAATTTATAGCCTTACACTCCGTACATGTTATATAACATCCAAAAAACAATATTTCATTTTCGAATTTTTATTGCGATTACAATACGTCCGCGCCAGTGACATAGGAAGAAAAAAACGTATTTGAAATTCGAAATTAAAGAAATTTTAAAATATGCTGTAGTAACATATCAAGGAAACAGATTTTTGATATATTTTCCAGTTTGCTCATAAAACTACTTTCCATTTTCGTTGGGATGACCTGTATTATTTTGATTAAGAAAAGAGGGACTATCATTCTCCCTGAAAATATATAGGGTGTTCCGTTCCAACTTTACTCATTAGCACTTTGCTGTGAGACCTTGCAAACAAAAAAGTAATTACATGATAAAATTCATTTTCGACAGTATAACTTTTATACACAACTTTTTCTTCTGAAGGTCATATAAAAATGTTAGAGGAATCAATCTATAGCCAGACATGTTATATAACATCCAAAAAACAATATATCATTTTCGAATTTTTATTGCGATTACAATACTTCCACGCCAATGGCGTAGGAAGTAACTAACGTATTTGAAATTGGTGCATTGAAAGAGAATCTTTTTAAATCTGTAAGTCTCGCCGGAGGAATCCGACAGTGTGATTTTATGTTACCCCAAGTTCCAAAGTGACTCCCCCATTGATAACATCATTTTCTTTTTAGATGGAGGATAAGGCCATAGAGGAATTGCACAAGTTTTACAACACGGAAAATGTAGCCGAAGAAATTATCTCGGTAGAAAGGGTGAATATTGGGGCTGTAGCAGCTCCAGTGTGGGTTCCCAAGACAAAATAATGATTTTTTATCAAGTTTTATAGAATTTAGTTAAATACGACTTAAATCTAAAAAATGGAAAACGTATGAATTATAAATTTATTTTTCCAACCTGAATTTGTATCATTTTGTTTATTGTGTTCACTAAAACAATTTATTTTTTTAATTTATTCATAAATATGTTTACAAAATTGTTTTATTTGAATTTGTGTGATACATGATGTTTGATCAGCATTGTAATTAGGATAAACTGAACGTCTGTTGATTTTATAAATGTACTTTATTTATGTAAATAAAATTATTTTTAGATATTTTTTTATTATTTCCCGATGTATCATAACACGATAATCAAATCGGTATGGATATCACATAATTTTCGAAGCTCTAAGACCTTAATTTTTAAATAATTCGTCAAAGGTACACTGTATTAATTTGAATCTGCTTGTACTCCCTGAAAAGGATTCAGTGGCAGACGAAACGTCAGTAAAGTTATTTTCCAACATCTGATTTTTTAATATTGTGCAGCAGAACTAAAACGCGATGGATCAAGAGACAGTGCAGATTTTCATTACGAGAAAAAGCAAACTAATAATCATAATAATGTATAAATACTATAAATGCTTTAATGTATATCGTATGCTAGGTTAACATGACGTCTGAAAAGCAAAAAATACACTGTGCTCGATGAATGGACTATATCCATTCATGGTTAAAATAAATCAAATCTATTTAGGTTCCATTACCATACATAGGGGTAGTTGGGGCTTGGACACCCTCATAATGGAAACGATCACTTGACATTCCACCTTGTTAGTAGATTATTGGTATTATTCAGAATGGCCTAGTGTTTCATTAACTGTTCATAAAAAATAAATTGTTAAATTAAGGCAGGATCCGAAACGATACAGTTTTGGGGTGCGGTGGGAATAATAAGTGTGCTTTATCACGATTTGTGCGTTCATGGATCTAGCTACTTGTTCTCATTCATAATGCTATAAATAGAATAAAGATATAATTCTTAAATTTAATTGGATGTCGGGAACACGGGGTATCACAAGCGACCCATATTCTTCATCAAATTTGGTCCCATTAGAATTTTTTGACTGTGAAATCCACGCCTTAAATTACTTAACTGCGCTAAGTTTTATTCATTTGCAACAACTGGAAGTGAATATGGAAATTTTACCCTACAAGAAATATTTACGCTTTCTTGTATACGATTTTCAAAACCCCATGCGAATCTGCGGTCTGGATGAAAACCTGCTTCATGGATAACTCTGCTGTGTAGATTACGAATATTTGACGTCAACTTGATCCTACGACTCCTAGAGTATACCTAACATCAATTTTCTGTGGGGTAGATCCTTAGGGTCGGACGCATTTTAAATGGCTATAAAATTGGTAATATTCAAGCTACAGATTTTAAAGTTCCGAGTGGGAATGGAAATTTCTTTTCAAAAACTTACAACTGACGTATTAAAAAGAACTTTTTTTGGTAAAGAGCTTATTTCTGTAAGCCCTTCAAAAATAATTATATACCGTGATATATTTCCTTTTTTGCCAGAAGAGAAAGGGCGAAACCAGTTAATCACGGGTAAAAAAACTCCTGTTGTATAATGAGTCCTGGCTGGTCGCCCATCCAAATTATTGTAGCTGACGCTCCAAAGCAATCCAAAGTTTACTCCATATTTTCTACAGGATAGCTGGAGTTTGGTAAATTCGACCACATTGAATTTACTGGAGGCTGTAGAAGCTATAATTATCATGTGCCGCTATCTATTGATCTATGGTAGTTATAACTTCGGCTATTGTCATATATGTTATGTAACCAGAGCTTACCGCCCGTAAACTACAAACTCTGAAAAAATATAAAAATTTCATCCAAAAGCTGCGGAAGTTCATCTTTAGAGCAATAAGGCATAAAATTCACGTATTGGTTTTATTTACATATATATCATTCATTGTTCATTGATACGAGATGCGCGATTCTCAGATATCATATATAAAAATTCGTGATGTTACGTTGGAAACATTGGAAAACTGCGTTTTTTCGATTGCGATAATTAGAGTTTACAAATAATAGTACTAAGAAAAGTCGTGCCACCTGTAAATAGAGTTAGTAATGATACTTTATTTGTACGGTACATCAAAACACCGCATGAGTGAGTAAATAATATGGAAAGAGTAAAGGGTCAGGAACTGTTGATGTGCATTCAAGGCATAGTTTGTCCATCCCTAATTCAAAGTGCACGGAAACCAAGACGTCATTATAAGAAATACATAAAAGGGAACTGTGTAATAGGCATTACACTTTATTACTAATAATATTTGGCTATATCTATGACAACTATAGCCCAGCTATTATGATCGCAGCATATGGTACGGCTATATTTTTCGGCTAAATCGTCGCTATATCTTAGTAACATTGTCTGCAATTTGTAGATACATACACGTTTCAGAATTTCTCATCAATAGTACTACAAAATCAGACAATAATAGCTGACGTAATATATAAAAATAAGTCGGCAATGGCATTTTTGTAATTTCTGTAATCACGGTCGGGATAAAGTTGGTTCAATTTAACGTTTTTATATAAAATCTATGAGTACAATTCAACAGTTTTTATATCCTCTGTCTTACAATGTTTTATAATATGATCTCGCGTTTTTTATTACTACCCTGCTTTTTGTCCGTTTCAATCATGATTAGGAATACTCATACTTTACTCTTTTAGCGTTTGATATGCCGCAGTTGTCAGTTAGCTACTCGTATATATAAAATAAATCAACGTGAACATCAAAATATCCAAGATATAAATCAAATTCAAGCGGATAACCAAATGGAAATGGTATTTACCATTTTGGGTTGGTATTTACCAATCCGTTCAAGCGAGTGTAGTTATCAGTTTGGTTATAAGATCCGTGACGTCACGAATCAGCTGTTATATGTCATAGTTATCACCGCAAAATTGTGGTATTTACCCAACTCAAGAGTAGTTTTATATTTCTGGTTATTGTTTGAAATGTGACAAGTTAGAATTTTGCCGGGTATTGGATATTGTTATTGTACTTAAGCTTCATTTTTGAGAAAAATGATACAGGCTGACTTCAGTTTTACCATAAAGTGGAGCACCTTATTAGTTATACTCATTACGGTTGTTGGGGACACTTTAAATGTAGTTCCTATGCTTAACAAAGTATCCTGTGTAGCCATATACCACAAAAATATTAAAATATGGCCATATAAACTCACTAGATGATATCCACCTGTATACGGTTTTGCTAATTTCTTTTTTCATCATTTCTGCTGAATCAATAAATGTTTTCTTTGACATGCGGAAAAATTTAGAGAATTGAAAGTTATCATAGCTACAAAGCCATGGTTCCATCATTAAAAAAAATCTGAAAAAACATTTCTCCCATGAATATTATGAAAGGTTTCTTATTTAAACTTTCCATATACAGTTGTAGACGAAAAAGCACCGATTATTAAGTGATAATAAAAATAATCAGAGACTATATACGCGCTTTTCTAAAATAAACAACTTGCAACAAAACTGCGGTTAAAACCAACGCGTTCAAGCGATTCGTGTAACTGACGTCATCAACCCGTGTGTCATCTTGAACCATATTATAACCGCGGTACATAACATAGAAATTTTGGTTATTCGCTTGGATTTGATTATACACAATACAAAATGCTATGTGCTATTTATATCACCCAAATATAAATTGTACTTATCTTTTTGTGTAGACGTATGACGCAACATGGACGTTTTGTATTAAATTTTTGATTTGCAATCACTTCCGAATCCACGCGATATAGACGCCAGAGAACTTTGGTTTTATTGATAATTATTCATGTTTAAATTTAATTAGATTACAGCCTTTAGAAAGCCCCATATCACTGTTATAGCCTGAGTCATCTAGACTGATGTGTTACTGGAACTATACAGGGTGACTTCGAAGTTGAGTCATTTATTTTAACAGTGAGTAGATCTGATCAAAAGAAATGTTTTTTTCCTTTACCATTTTTCTGGTATTGAGTACCGCCCTGTCTCAATAATAATATCATGTGCTCGTGTTTGGCAACAACGGATATAATCCGCCTTATCGGTTCATCGCATCGGAAACAAAAAAGAGAAAGAATTTGGAACGATGTTTTTACAATTATTTTATTCAGTTGTATACATACAGTCAGTGTCAGTCGGTAACGCGTGTGAATAGTGGTGCCTGTTGCGTGGCTCAAACGAAATAAAAAATGGCACATGTTTATCGGTTTCCCAATCGAGTGCAACCAACCCCTCGTGCCTTTTTTAATGTAGTACAACGGGCTCGTGAATCAGGTGACTTAAGACCTCACAGGGGACCTCACGATCAAATACAGGTCCGCCCTGAAATACTTGTCGGGAGGATACTATATAAAACAAGGTAAAAAATTTTTTTTATTTTTTTTTATTTTTACACACATATTTTGGTTTATCTTCCTTCTACAATCATTATCTGAAAATTAATGACTCAACTTCAAAGTCACCCTGTATAAAAAATAAAATAAGATACCAAGATTTTGGTTGAAATTTGTACAAACATGGGATTTGATCACTGCTTCTGTTTGCTTCTTGCTGCCTGCCTAGGAATTTGTAGGCCGCTGGGCCGTGTATTCGACCGTTTTGCGCTGTTTTTTTTTTGACTGAATAAATGAGATTCGAATATACATTAAGTCAAATCTGCTAGTGCATTTCCAAAATATCTTGAGGCACTTCGAGATGCTTTTTTCGATACTTGGAACTGCTCCTGGTTTTCTCTTTGGTAGGCCAATCCTATTTGTAGGGTCAGGGACGATGCACGAGTTTCTAAACCCAGTTCAGCCAAGTTTAATAGACCCTCTTATTACCCGGCAATCCGCAGTGTTAAGACTGTTATCGTTTGTGTGTGTGTTTCCGACCCAATAAAATCATATGTATATACAAATTAATTCGACCGAATTACAAGTTATTTATTAGACTATATAAAAAGAGAAATGATTATGAACTCCGGAAATTACCAAACAAAAACGGGCTGTTTGAAAAAGCGTATTCTAATTCAATTCCTAAGATCCCTATACAATTTTTTTCTGCTTCCTCGAATTCCAGATACGTTATGACGTTGCCCAAAAACTTATCGAATTCTTAAATTCATCAAGCCGTTTGGGGTGTAGCCCGTGAAATAGAAATTTTAATGTTCAATCCGCCATTTTAATGTTACGAATTTTTTGAACACCCAATGTCACTCACACTGTCAAGACAAATCTAGAGACACAACGTATGTGAAAATCCATCAAATCGTTTAAGCTGTAGTCCATGAAATGAAAATTCCCATAAACATTTTAAACTTGAAATTTTTTATTAGGATTTGCCGTTTTGATTTTATAAAAGTTTAGTATAACCTGCCTGAGACACTCGCACTGTCAAGACAAATTTGGACCTCATACTTATTAAAATGGATCAAGCCGTTTAAGCTCTAGTAACCTGTGAAATGGTAATTCCAATGTTGTTTTTTTTTATTCAAAAACGGCTATCTTTTATAGAACTTTAATACAGCCTGTGTCACTCGCGCTTCTAAGACGAATCCAACGGCACCTCATATTATGTCAAAAAATCTGGTCTGTAGCCCGTGAAATAGATTTTTTTTATACATATAGGTACATATCTATGTATGTAAACCCGCGTGAAAAACATATCCCTCCCTCTGTGGCAGTCGGATAAAAACGTAAAAAAATATCCAAATGCTTCGACTAAGACACCTTGACTATAAAGTTGATCTGAGCATGCGTCATTCAAAATGTCCATGCAGGAGGTTTAAAAACCTAACCTCCAAAATTTGTTTACATTTATTTGTGAACTGTTGTGCTTGGTGTACAGTGAGCTTGCAATTGTAGTTTGCTTTGAAACAATCGGTTTTTATCGATTGTCTGAGATAATTGTTTTGTGAATTGAATTAAAAGTGTTAAGACAGTTAAATTAAAAGCCGAATACATTTTTTGTTGGCCTGTTATGTGACAATGAGCATATATAAGGGCCAAAACAGGAGAGAGTTTTATTTAGCGTCTTTGCTCTACGATTCTATAGACGACAATAATTTTGCGTAAGTGTATTATTCGTTTTCCACTTAAATTGTTTCACTGTATATCACCAGTCAATTTTCTTGAGGGTACCTACAGTAATCTAGGTAGAAATTTGTCAAAATAACAAACATTCACTTTTTTTCACTACTGTGTTAGAGAGCCACTTTTTATAACAAAAAATTGAGGAAACGATATTGCGAAACCAAACAATAGAACTTCAATTCATCATTTAAAGGTTTTAAACAAGTGTGGACATTGGCTAGTAAGCCAAGTTTTCTAGATTAGTATGGAAATCCCCTTTCCTTATATTTCTAGATGATTTGGACTTAAACAGATAATTCCATGCTTAATATGATAATATATGACAAATACAAATTGTTTATTATACCAAATGTTTTTCAATTTCTTGAAACATTTTTCTTTTCTTGTTAAATCAGCTGTACTTCAACCAATATCTTTCATCAAAATTGTATAATCTCTTTTATCTGATATAAAGTGGCAAAAATGGAAATTTTAGTTGAGGCATGTTTTAAGTATACTGATGGAGCTTCTGTGACAAATCAAAGTTGTAAAAACTTAAATATGATTATTTTTTAGATAACCAGTGTACAGTCAAAATAAAGAACTTGAAAGTATGGTTACTCAACTTTTGCTGAAGTTTGAGAAAATTTTGTATTCTGGGTATAATATTTTTGACATTAGTTTCCCAAAAATTTCAACAAATGCTTTACTTTAAAGTTTTCATTTATTTTTCAGCTTACCTTTCTAGGTAAAAAAATAGTTTTGATTATTGATCAGTTTTGATCTTTAGACTGCTTGAATGTTGCATAAGGAAAATATCTTTTATATTTCCATTATACTTCTCCACTGCCAAATATTACAACTGTCTTACCCCAACTCCCAAATTTAACTTCTCCAAAAAAATTTTTAGAGAATGAGCAGAAATTTTGAAATTTGTAAAATTCAGTTTGAGTGGTAACTCTGGTGCCTTTGACCTATTTAAAAAAAACAAATATTCTTCATTTCTGTATTAGCAGTCTCTTTCATTAAAATTCATAGTAGTACTTTCTGACTTACGGATGGGTCAAAAAATAGCTGTTCTTTCCTGAATCCACTCAATAAGGAATATTGGTACTATTTCATCAAGTAAACCACCTATTTCAAAAATTTTTGTATTTGCCTTCTCTTACTACAAACATTCCAATATGAGTTACACAATGTGCGCTCATTTTCTCAAAATGGACTTTGTCCAGATCAATAAATTTTTATAGATAGACCAATGAGATTGTTTAATTTCAGGAAAAGGGATATCTGGAGGTCATTCTGATAAAAATTGTTTAAGATTCTTGTCGCCGGCAGTGGCTCCAGTTTGCACACTTTGTGTACATTTTTGAGTTCTCAGAATTCGAGATGCAATAGAAAATATTTACGATTTGGCAAGATATGCAGATCAAATTTGATGCGTTTACACTTACATGATGTCCTTGAGCTATAATTATTGCCAAAAGTTGTAATATCATTTAGCTGCTCAGGAATATTTTATGAGTAAATACTTATGCATATTAAGGCTCTTCAAGAACTGTTTTTTCTTTGAAACCACAAATATATGCAATATACGAGAATCAAGCCAAATAGTAATGAATAAAACCATCCTTTCTTTTACTGTAATGAAGAAAATCTTTGAAAATATTTGAGCCAATGTTTAAACCACATTATTTGACAGATATTTCATAAAGCATGAGATTCCTGAGGATCAATTCTTATAAACAAGGGAACAGAGTAATTATCAGAAAGTGGGAGTGATTTTATTACATTTTCATGTTTTCAGGCTGTCGAGAGTGAAGGCCCACATGTTGGGTTGACGGTTTACTAAAGTGTCGGCTACTGTAACAATGACTATATATTGTATATTTATCTGTCTTTCAGGGGCAATTCATTGATTTTTGCCACAACTATACTCTTTATACCAACAACAGCCTGGACGGTCCTATGACACGCCAATTACGCTTGAAACCAATGGTTTCTTTTACTGTATTCTTTAACGTTTTCTCATTAGAAGAGTCCTTCCCCGAGTCATTATCATTTTAAATAGCAGGGAAAACTTGTAGGAATCATGAAACATTAATGATTTAAGGACGATAGGAACATATTATTTTGCTGAAAATAGAGGGATTCATAAAATAATATGATATTATACATAGAAAGAGTGCCTACATTGTATTACCTTTCTGGTAGCTGTTGATGCTTATTGAGTTTATGAAACTTTTATAATTGATATCAAAATCTTTTAGAAAAGCTGTGGAAGGTATTAGTACGCCCAGTTTCTATTGGTTATTCTCCTTTTCAAGTACTTGATCTTGCATATCTTGAAGTGAATAATTTATATTACATCATGTTTGTCTGTATAGTTATAAAATCGTAATAGTACTATCTTAAAACAAGGTGATTTATTTACAGTGCCGTGAAATCCCTAATATGTGAAAAAGGAGCAGATCCGAATTTGATATTGCCTAATAAAGGCATCTCATCCTTCCACCTAACCATTGGCAGTGACTGTACTGATTTTGCTCTCAAAGTCACTCGTTTCATATTGCAAAATGGGGGAAATCCAAACGTCAGGTAAGTGACTTATCTTTCAACAAACTCTTCGAAAAAAAAATGATGTAGAGAATGGGAAACCTACATTGTTTACAATATTTCTGTATCTTGATGGTGGGAATTCCGTTCCCCCTCGCTATGAGAAGCGCATTCAGAATCTCTCCGCTCCACATTCCTAGCGTTAATTTGATATCACTCTCATATTCGACGCACCCGATTTTCTGAGGAAGTGAATCTTGGATCACAGATACGATGGGATTTTTGAAAATTTCCTCAAGATCATAATATCCCAAATAGCACACGTGTATTGACCCGATATAGAAAAAATATTACGGATATATTGACTCAAACTAATTTTCCAATATTGGTGCAAGAAAAAATATGAACATTTGGATATATTGGTACAATATTGATTTGGAATATCAAACCAATATGTCCTGCCTTTATTCACTCAATATTACAATCAATATTGATTGCATGAGGATTTGTATATTGTCCCAAGCAATTATGAAAATATTGTTTCAATGTTTATTTACATTATTAAAGCAAAACTTCTTTTTATTTTAGCTCAACATCAATTTTCAATATTGGGTGTATGTCATATTTTACCTATTTTCACAATCAATGGAAAAAATATTGGTTTAATCGCTGATTTACAGTATTGAGCCAGAATATCTGTTCTTTTATTGACTCAATATTGAAACCCAATATTGGTTGCAAGACATACTTTGCATGTTGTTCCAACCAATTATGAAAATGTTGTAGAAAATGTATATTTATTGTACGCGAGGTAAAGTCCACAACTGTAGCATGAAATGATGTTTTAGCGTTTATTCTGCAATAAATATCGCAAAATAACGTATTGATCCAATTTAGCCCTAAAGAGATTACCAAATATTGCATTTTCGTAAATGTAGGTGATATAGGATAAATATAAGGTTACGAATATTCGCTGAACGATCAATAAACAACATTGAAGCAATATTGATCGACAATATTAGTGCTATGTAGGCAAGGATAATACAAGATTACGCTTTCTTAGAACGAGCCACAGCGCGTGCATGCTTGAAATTAGTAATGGCATACTCTTTGCTCTTTATCACATTACTCAAATTTAGTCCTTCTTGTGTTATTTGGTTGGTTTTCCTATAGTTAGGCCGTCGTAATATATTTTTACTTGTAAGTAGTAAGTAAAAATATTTTACGGGAATTTTTGAAAACATTTTTGAAACACCTGGGAGTCTTAAATTTCCCTGACAGCACTGCCGTTGAATATCAAAAAAATTAGAACATGAATTTCTATTCATTCACTTATCTATTATCAATAGTTTCCGTTTTTCAGTACCAGAAGCACTAGCACAAATCATAACAGTTATTCGCTCTTTTGATAGTTTCCCTCCATTGCAAGTTTCACCTTTTAATTTATGAGTTTTAATGGTAGCATTCTATAAAATATCCCTGTTTCATCTGCATTGAATATGTTATCATCCGAATAATCACTGGATATTACGGGCCAAACTTGAGAAATCCAGTCATTGGTAACGTTCTTGTCAACTGAAGCTGACTCGCCACAAATTTTTCCAAAAACAATGTTGTCTTTTCTTAAACCTGTCTAGCCAACCGGAACTACATTTGAAGTAATCTCCAATCAATTTCCCAAATTATTCAACCTTTATTTGTAGCATAGGTCCACTTATTGGAAAATTATTAGCACGCTTTTGTTGATACCATTTAAATATCATATCATCGACTTGGGGATGCAGCGATAGCCGCATTTTTTTCTTTTGACTATTCGATTTCCAGTCATTTTTAATTTTGTCACGGTTATTCCAAATATTTGACACAGTGGACTTTTTTATAGCCATACGAGCACATATATTTGCTTGAGATGAACCCTGCTCAAGCTCACTAATTATTGTGAACTTTTCGTGTAAAGTGAATGCACGTTTCGCACTTTTCGACATGTTTATAACATATACAGTATAACACTGGTGGCCAAGTTTGAATGCAAACTGCGAAGCCAAACCGCCGTAAACGATTGCATCAGCTAAACCTGCTTCGGGAAACTACCAAAATAGCTCGCAAATAATGGATTAAAATAGTCCGCAATAAGCGAGGGTCTATTTTAAGCGAGTCTATAATATCCGAGGATTTTACATGCAATTATTTATAGGACCTTAAATTGTGTCCATTATATACGGGTTTCCATTATAAGCAAGTTCATTATGAGTGGATTCCACTGTATTTCCAAATAGTAAACTACCGCTTTTATCACTTTATGATCCGTTATAGATAGATACATAATCGTATAATGTTTTGTCTAAAAAGGAAATCGTATGATGAAACAAACGTTAATAAGTCATCAAGCGAGTCGAAAGCTTCGATTCTGATTGAAGCACTCATATTTATTTTCTTACAACACATACACACATATATGTAGTGTACAATCAGATGACCTGTGACGATCCTATACTACTATCTGGACCAAACCAGTTATAATATTGAAGAATGGCTTCTAGATTAGGTTGTCATAATCAAGATTTTTTTCAACGCTATATTTATAAATAGCAAGTTGGTCCATTAATAATGGACATTGATACGGGATATAAATAAAACGCATCCGAGAATCTCAATTATGTGTATTACATGAGTTACTCATTACAATTATACGCAGATATGTAGCTTAAAAAGTCATTGAATAACATTAATGTACTTGATTTGTGCATAATAATAATGACCTTTCCAGGATACAAACATGTCAATCTAAATTGTTGGTAGTTATAGCTCAGTAACTTTAGCGGTTACGGCGTACTTTATTATTTGTTACGTACAGTTGCAACTAGCTACTACGAGCTAGCGCTACTTGAAGTATAGCTGAGCCTTGTCTGTTGTATGTGAAGTCACGTATGTGAAACAGGTAATGCTGAGCTGCGCTTGCAAGCGATATTCAGCAAATGAGCAATACTTCACGCAGCACTAGCTTGTATCAGCTAGGTTCAAATTAAGAAGCCATTGATGAAAACTGAGAATAATATAATGGAAGCCTCAACAGTAAATCGTGTGGTATTCAAAAGGAGTGAAGTGCATAGTAGGGCGTACCAGATCGATCGCCGCTCACGCGGTGGAGAAAAAGGGCAACATCGTCGGTCTGATAGTCGCGTATAGGCATGTGTCTATATGATGAAATCTATGTCATGTCATCGACCACCCAGCGATTAAACAAAATAGGTCTTTCATATTTTTGCCAAACATAAAGTTTAAACACCCCGTATCTCTTTATATTGTTCGCAGTGGATACTTGGGAAATGCGGGAAAACACGGTTGAAATAAATACACGTCCGTTTCCATCTGAGTGTCAAGTCAACGCACACTTTATTTTATCTCACTTACAATGACAACTCACAATTAGTTCGTATGCTCAGTACACATGTGGCCTAGATATACTCGTACATCATGGCAATGTGGCCAGATAATTGTATTTAGACCTAAGTACTCAACAATGGAAACTAGGAAATTCCGGGCTCATACTTATCTGATTTTTTTTCACATTGTGCTGAATTTGTCCTTGACAATATTCTCTAACATCCTGTAATTTAGTATTTATAATAGTACTAGATTTCTTTATCTGATTATTAAAGGTTACATTTTATATATTGAGTATTCCAAAATGACATGTTTCAAGGTCCGACGATGGCCTCACCCCGGTTCACATCGCTGCAGCCTGGGGTCGCAACGACATCTTGCGGCTACTGTTGGGTTGCGGAGGCGACCCCGAAGTCCGAGATTCAAACAGGCTCACTCCCATTCACTACGCTCACAAGGAGGAGCACAGAGACTGCCTCAGACTGTTGGCGCAACATGTGCAGCACAAGAATGAGGTGCTTTTCGCTAGGAAGGATGAGGGACCTGACGGATGCGTGCAGTTTCACTTAGGTAAATATGCCCATGTTTCAGTTTACGAAATCATTTCATGCCTTACTTATTCACATTGAGCACTTTCAGCCAACTTAATGTTAAGAGTCAAATCTGGGTGTCAGGTGAAAACTGCCTTCAAACTAACAAAGCCATACCATTCCCATTCAGGGTAAAATTGCAGCACCGCTGGGTCGCTTTGGTGATAGGGTTATTATTCAAATCTGTCAATATGACATCCTTTTTTGTCTTCCAAATTTGCCTCATTTTCCTGGAAATGTTTCTTTTTCGTGCACCATTTTTTTCATTTTGTGCGTGATATCCTCAATAGAATGAAAACTGTTCTTTGCAATCTACATCTTAATGTAAAGCTTGGACTCGGAGCGTTACGTGTTTTCGACTATACTATACGGCATGAAGCCGTGGACTCTAACAGAAATAATAGATTATCATCAGTCGAAATGAAGTGTTACCGCAAATAATACATGAAGATCTAAAACTAATCTGAACAGATAAAAGCAAAAAGCTAGCATAGTTTGGACACATAATGAGGAAAGATAAATATCAAATTCTCCAGGTCATAATGCAGGGCAAATTAAAACAAAAAACGGCCACAGATCATGGACGCCGGATCGAGCGGCCACAGTGGTGACCGGCAAGGGTATCACGTATCTTGAAAAGTGACATTATGCCGATTTTTTTTTTGACTTTATGCTGGTTGTTTTGACATTATGTAGGTTTTTCTACAAGACGTTATCTTAGCACTTAGTTGTACGTGTTGCCTAAACGTCATGAGGCTTGTTATCAATCTTTGGCTCTGATGTGATGTAAAATCTGCTTCTGAGATGGCATTACTGGAGGTCTAAGCTGGAAGTTGCATGTGTTGTTGATAATTACATTGGGTTCTTGTCTCTCAATTGAGATTCAAAGCATTCTCAGAAAATGAGTTCTCCAGAGCATTCGACGCACTCTACCGGCGCTAAAACGAGTGAATTTCTAGAGAAGGTTTCTAAGTAGAAGGCTGATGTGAATAAATTCGTTTATCTTTTAATTTGTATTTTTTGTGAATTTAGTTCGGGAACTTTTGAGACATACTGGGTACTCTGAGAGGATGTGTGGTTGAGTGGCAGAGTAGCAAGTCACATCCGCATGCTTGTGTGTATTTTGGTCTGCATGTGTAGAAAATCAGTAATATTTGTCATGTGAGAAAATTATTCCTGAATATGCTGCCCGTGAAATATATCTATTAGCTGTGCCACATCTAGGCGCTGATTTATATTTTTTACTTGATATCTTAAAATATATTTCTATAAACTTTAAATGACTGGAAATAACAATTAATGTGAAATGTACTAATAACTTTCTTACTCAATTATACAACATGTAGTGCTAAGATAAGATGTTGTAGAAAAACTTACATAATGTCACTAAAAAGCGATATAATGTTAAAAAACCGACATAATGTAACTTTTCATGATACGTAATACTCCTGCCTGGAAAAGCGCATTGCGTCTTTCTAGAACCTATTACGTTATATACTTGGCTCGAAATTTGACGTTTGAAGTTTGAAGTTTTAAGGCCACTTCTTCTCTTTATAAAAAATAAAATCACTCGGAATATACTTTTTGCAGCAAAAATAATGATACTTCGTCGGAATACAAAATTTGGGGCAATATATGCCCCATTTGACGATGAAAATCCAGAATTTTGAAATGAAACTTGGTACACATTTTATACTGATCAATCATATGATGGCGAGTAAAATCGTGTGAAACTACGAGTATGAATGAAAGTTAAAATTTTATTGGATGGATGCACAGAAATTGCCCACATGATTGGCTATCCCAATAGACGTCATCTATCACGTAGAGATACACAAAAGCATAAATATATATTTTTCAGGCGCCAATCTATTTTTAAACTACCGTGTTTACTACTTCTTCAATGTTCACAAGAGTAGTGTTACTATATAAGATAACCATAAAATAATCTGGTAATTAGGTAACCCCAAGATAAAAAGATCATGTTGTTTACTGATGTTGGTTTTTAGAATAATTTTTTATGGCCGGAAATAAAATTGCTGCTTTCAGATCAACCTCGTGAGAACCTGGTTTTTCTAGTTACTCATGTTTTGAGATATTTTAACCCATCAGCGAGGGATATGCATCAATAACAATATAATCCATGCATGTTTGACAATAAAATTTCTAAATAACTATATTTATTATTCTTTTGAGGATGAAGCTTCACTGAGAAGTAGCTTTTCTCTCCTTAGGTAAATAATGATAAAAAAGCTAGGTAAATAATAATGTCATTTAAAATTCTAATCTGCTAACTTCATTATGTCAGTTAGATAACTGAACTTTATATTTCGAAATATTTGAAAAACATGAGAAATAACTAGTGCTTGGTATAGCTCTATATGTAGCTACCATTCTTGAATCTATACAGGGTGTCATTTAGTCTACTCACCTAAATATTACACAAAGTACTCATCCTAGAAAAAAATTTCAAACAAAAGCTGTAGGGTTTCGAGTGGATAAAATGTTTGCCATGACCTTCAGAACGACCTCCAATGTCATTTTTTGAACCTCAAGGTTTTTATCTAAGTCACCTTTGGTTGACCCTCACAAAGCTCACGCCTGTGCTGTCGAACATTTTTGCAGACAGCTGTCGCATCCGGGTCAGCGAGGCAAATATCTCTCAAAGGAAATGTGGAGATAAAGTCTCTGAGCCCTTCCCACTCGGCATGTCTGAAATATCAAATATTGCGGCCTGGGCGAGTTTCTGCCGAAACCTAACCTCCACAACACCGTGGTCTGAGTTACCCAGGGGAGACAGGACAGGATGCGTCATCAGAAAGAGATCCGACTACTGACGTGTGACGAAACGCGGAAAAAAGTAGGACTCATCACCAGCTGGGTGAGTTCTTGGGTAATAGGAGGCTTCAACATCCCGACCTGCTGCATCGGTCTTGTTTGAGCCCAACCAGAGCTCATTATGGGCATTGAAATCACCGAGAAGAACTATCTCTGAAGCAGGGTATTTGATGTTCAAGAAGTCGATCTTTTCAAGTAGGTCATCCAAGTGATTGTCCGAGGGAGAGTGATAAAGGCTGCAAATACATTTGGGGGATGTTTTGAAGTTGAGGCGAAGCCACAAAATGTTATTCCTTTCTCCAAATAAACTTCTCTGGAGTAGGAAAGACTGCTGTGGACAAAAGCCACAACTCCTTCGTTCTTCTTCCGATTGGAGTACACCTCGAAATTTGGGAAGCTAAGATGTTGTTATCTCGAGTCCACGCTCCACCCGGTCATTCCGAGAATAGAGTGGATTTACGTTCGCAATTCTTAGAAATCGAGGGATCACCATTAATTTCTGTGTTGTGAAGGAATAGAGAAAATAACCGACTGCGTAGCTTAGGTGCGGAAACATGTAGACATTCTTAAGACACCCTGGAAAAAGCTAGCGGGTGGTACCCTTCGGTCAACTGGTCCTTGTCTACCACCTTCTTTTTGCCTGTTAATAGATCTAAAATGGCCCGCTATTGTTTATTAAAATACTTCACACTATATGTGAGTCTGCCTAACCCTTTCTTTAAAAATTCAAATGATAGAAACAATTAATATCTGCACATCATGGTACTAATGTAAACATTATTTTTACAGACAAAATCTTGGTCAACAACGGTCAACACATAGGAGAGTATGAAATAGTAGAAGACCACAAACCTGACAGTATTACACCATCAAATTGCAATTTGGGCGATTTGCCTCAATCAAATCCAAAAGAATTTGTTATGAATTGGTTCAACAACCATATAGATGAAACCTACGAAAAATTTTTAGATGGTTTGGATCCAAACGGGAGTTCAGATAACTTCCAATCTTTTGAGAGTTCCATAGATGAATCTGACAATGACAGTTATAGGCTGTCGAAGCGATTGAATATCACTTTCCGCAAGGCTTATACAAAAAGGCGGAGAATGTCAAAAACTATGAAACCAGGTAGAAAGCTAGAATTCAGCTCTAGCGAAAATGAGATGGAAACTCCCAAGAATCAAGATTTAGATATAGTCAACTCAAATTTCACCAATTTCAAAGAAAGTTCTGTTGAAAGTGGCATTGTCAGTGTGCCTAGTCCCAAACAGATCAAAGACTCTTTAAATAGAGAACAAAAAGAGAATATGGCATGTAGTAGTTACAAATATTGTAGCAATGAAGCTAAAATAGCTGATGCGCAGCCAATACCTTGTATAAAAGTAGAACAGGCTTGTAGCGGTTATAAATCGTACAGTATTGAAAATAAACAGTGCCTTGGGAAGCTTATTGGCAATAGTAGGAGTGGATATAAGTCTAATGGCGCCAAAAGAATGACTTCAAGTCCTTTAGAGAAAGAGGTGGAGCCAATGCAAGATGTAACCCATGTTATAGCTAGCCAAAGTAGTGGTTACAAATCAAGCACCTCGGAAAATAGAAATGTAGCTTTGAATTTAGTAGCTGAAAACCAGAATGAGGTAAATCGCACATTTAAAGTAACGACTATTGAAGAAATAAATAGAGAATCTCAAAGAAGAAGTACGAATACCACAGAGAGTTTCAAAACGTGCTCCTTGTTAAGTAATAAGTTTGAAAAGAATATTTTTGAGATTACGGAAGATCTGAGTGGTAATAGTACGTTGAATAAAGTGAAGACGGATCAGAATAACAGGAAGAGTGAGAGCACAGTTTCATCGGAACAGAGTTTTGTTAGCGTTTCTGAAGTATATAGATATGAAGACACGGAAGAAGGGATAGTTTTGTATGAGAAGAGACTACTGAAAGCACCAAGGTGAGTTATTTGGTTTTCAATTTTTACAGTGTGATTCAAAAAGGGGTGCAATGTTTCTAGAACAGAACATACATTCAAAAATGTTCCACCACTAAGATACAGTGTGATGTAAATGTATATGCCACTGATGAGACTGATTTAAGATAACACGCTATATATAACATATAATTTGAATATTTATTTCAAGGTAGAACCGATTTAAGTTTTTTAACGTATTGCACCTCCTGCATTCAGACCAATTTATCCTCAAACGTAAGCATCATTCAAGAGGCAATTGTAAAATCGAGTATCTTATTACAAAATGCAATTTCAAAAAATCAGTGGTGTAGAAAATATGTTTTCCTCTGTATGGGTCAAGATGTTTGTACGCAAATTGGTGTTCTTTGAGCAGCAAAAACTTTATCTAGTCTAATTTTTTACTCATTAGATCCAAATTTCTTCAAATCCAGTGTCATTTGTGAACGCAATTTGAAGCTTACTTTTATCATGTTGCATAATTACGTAATTTGAGAATACACTTGAGGAAATGAGAATAATAATACATATTTGTGTTATCACCATGCTTATCTAAACCAAAGAGTAGTTGTATAAAGAGAAGATAGTGAAAATGAAATTAGTCAGAGATAAAAAATGACTCCAAAAACATGGGGTTCACAAAGTAGCTGATGATATAGTCGGATATAAAAATGGTGCTGCTAGATAGACAATCCTTTTTGGATGCATTTATTGACCATCACTTATAGTGTACAAAAGTACTTTTGTTTGGACATTTATTCATGGTGAGGAGATTTATCATGTATTAGCAGCCTGCGATATACAGGGTGCACGGAAAATAGACGGAGATATTTTAGATGGTGATTCCTTGTTAAAAAATATGAAAAAAGTTTCTATAAACAAGGGTCCGAAAATGCAGAGTTTTCAAGATACAGGGTGATGAAATTAAAAAAAAACAACTTTTCAGAGAAATTTCGCAAACAAAATTACGTGAATAATTCTGATGTGCAAATGTCAAACCTCTATGCAGAAATGATTTTTTTCCTAGGCACTTGAGCGTTTTTCAGCAAAAATTAATAAACCATTTTCCAGTGACTTGCAATGAAATGGTTTTTATTTTTTTTTTCTCGAAAATGAAGTGAGATACGAAAAAATGCAATGAAGTTGTATTTTTAGATGCTTAATTAAACAACAAATACTAAAGTTACAAAAAAAGGCAGTGGCATACACTTTTTTGCCAATAATATTTGCTAAGGTGCCCCTCGGGATGCCACTGGACCTAATGATTTTAATCAATATAGGGCTAAATTAGCCTCTTAATACAACAAATAATATTGCCAAATTTTAAGAGAATCGAGTAAATATATTTTAAGGTATTAATAAAAAAAATCAAATGTGTCCCCATGTATCTTGAAAACTGCATTTCCGGACCCATGTTTACAGGAATTTTTTTCATATTTTTTAACAAGGAATCACCCTCTAAAGTATCTCAGTCTATTTTTCAAACACCCTCTATAATTTTCATTCAACACACTTTTCGCGATAGAAGTTATTCCCAAAACCCGCAATTTATCACATAGCCTTACTTTAGGGGCCCTACGCGGAATACTACACGATTTAGTTTAATAACAAAAAAAGAAGGTCATCTTGAAATTCAAAAGAACTGAACACCATTCAGCTCAGCATAAATGTAGCGTTTTCTAATCTTTTTCTGCAAAGTGCAAACACCACCTCGGTGCATAGAGTCATCTATGAGCGAATTGCCAAACCAAGGATGGTCCGCCCATATCGCTATTTTTTTTTGTAAACCACTAATAGTCCAAGAGCCGACCGCAATGTTTTGGTTACATCGCGCACTGATATGGTATGTTAAAAACTAGTCAAATCTTATTTTGATGCTAAACAATCAACTTGCCGAGTTTGTTGCTTATCACGAAAATACGTAAGATGTGACTAGTTTTGATCGTATCCTATCAGTACGCGATGATGTAACAATAAGTTTGCGATCTGATTTCATACTATAATGTAGATGACTCCTAAAGAAATGTTACCGACTGGCGGATTATAAAGACATCCCACGAAGTGTCTTCTCTTAATATGAACCATATCACTAGCATCCGTAATATTCTTATCTTCCGATATCAGAAATACTTTGTTTATATACTGATAATTCATCAAATACCAATTTATCTCGATCCTGACGCATGCATTTTATCTGCCTCGTAAACTAAGTTCGATTTTTCTTTATTTTCAGTGATTGCAATGGTACCATAATGACAACATCGTCCAAAATGTCTTCCCTGCCCGAGTGTTTCGATTACGATTCGGACAAATTAAGAGCTGAATTGACCTCGCACGGGTTCGCACCTGGACCTATAACAGTTACCACCAAGAAGGTTTACTTGAAGAAACTGTATCAGTTGAAAAGGCATGCGCCTGTTGTTGCCATCAATCCTGTTGTTCAGAAGAAAGGTAAATATATCCATCATGTATTAGTGTCAGTTAAAATGGAGAGTCTTAACTGACACAACCTTACCAACCATGTCTTTGCATAAAAACGCCCGCCTTCTGAAAGTCACATTTGGTTATACGAGGTCTGTCAATTAAGTGATGAGTTTTTTTTTTAATTTTTTATTCAAATATTACAATTGTATTTTATCACCCATACTTCCTTCTGGAGCCACGCAGTGCTGGAGAGGGTTGTTCTACTCATAGCAGTGATGGAACTCCGATACTTCGCCTAGGTCGGTTACAGCCGTTTGAGTGTTTTCGACTGTCCCAAAATGGGTTTTCTTGAGGTGATTTTTCAACTTCGAGAAGAGAAAAAGGTCACAAGGACTCAAGTCAGGCGAATAAGGAGGCTGATAAGCTACAGGAATGTTTTTACTGGCCAAAAACTCGTTTATTGACAAGGAGCATTATCGTGATGCAACACCCAGTTGTTCTTGATCTATAAACGGTGGTGTGGATCAAATTTAATTCTTCCCCGATCATTCGGCCATGCCTGTCAATCGACAATCTGAACGCACAAGATCCGGGATTCTGTTGATATTTTCATCGGTTCTTGAATATGAAGGCCTTCCTTTTCGTGGTTCATCGTAAATCGTATCTCTCCATTCTGAAAATGCCTTAAACCACCGAAAAACTTGGCTCTTGACCAAGCATTATTTCCGTAGGCCTGTTTCACTGTGCCCAAGTCTGAAACAAAACCTGATAGCACACCGTTGCTCGAAATTGATGTGATTCATTTTTAGAACACAAAAAAAAATCGTTAGGGACAACCAAATGACTCGAGCGAGTTCAAACTTGTACTGAAGACGGATCACATGTTCCCTGTCTCACTTCCAGCGTTGTCAGATCGAACTCCACGTTGCCAGTCTTATCACTTAATTTAAAGACCTCTTAGGCATCAAAATATCGCGGTCTATTCGGCGTGAACGTATCCTAACACAAGTATTTCTTCACTATAAAGTTTTTACGGATTCCATCTTTTTTTTCATGCATTTTGTTTAGTTCGTTAGTTCGTTTACTGAAATAGCTGATTGTCTACTTTCAAAACCTAGTAACTTACTCCTGATGACATTTTCCTTTATGAAAGTGTCAAACACTAACAATAAACTGATATGTTCTACATATGTATACAGTTTTTTTACATTCAGTTTTAATGAAGAAAATCTTCCGAAGCAGTTTTAAATGTCGGTAAGATCTCTTCGATGAACCTTTTGGTCAATTTCTTCCACCTAATTTGAACCGACAATATTATTATTCTTTCCAGTCTTCTCACTGGAATTAGAAAAGACACTACGTGACCCGAAGTGGACCTTGGACCTCGCCAGTTTCAAATCCTTAGAAGAAGTCGTAACAAAAGATTTCGCTAAACCTGAACCCTCCAGAAAATGGAGAGAGGGCATCAATAAAACTTCCTTCACTTACCTGCTGCTCGATCCAAGGATATCGGATAACCTGCCGTGTAGATCGGATTTACTTGAGCCCAAAGATGTCTGGAAGATTTTCTTGTCTTCTATATTTTATGTTGGTAAGTATAATAAACAGAAATATGCAATTCACCTTCAATGCACCTCACTTTCACGTAGTGTAGTTTTATTAAAATACATAATTTGTATAATATCAAAAAAGGTGGGACAGCGAGGCAGGGAGATCAAGTACTATTTCTATAGAAACTTTTTTTCTGTTCGTTACATTATATTACCATTATTCTATCTACGTAGGGTTTGCTAATACAATAACGTTGTTTTGTTTTTTAATCACGTTTTTTTGTATGTTTTTGAAATCATTTTTTTCTCTTGTACTTTTTGCAAGGTTGCACCAGCATTGTTTTTTATTTCATTTTCTTGTCGCATTTTCTTATTTTATACATGAGAATATGAGAATTACGAGTTGCGAGAATTTGTCAATACAAGAGACGCAAATACGTTTGAAGCAAACATGTCTATTTCAACCGTTTCGATTTATGCACATTTGCATATAAATCCATTGTTGGTCTCCTCTGTGAATACTTAGTATCCCGACTGCTAAATGGGTCGACCATTATGGTGGTGCATTATCTGTGCGTTGCGCAGAATGTCGAGCAGAGGCGTAGTGGTCTTCTGGATCGTCGGACTCCTCACCTACTTATTTCCGCCAAGCGAATACGTTTCGAGCAAATTTTTAATCTGGACAGTACAATGATTCAGACGTTGGTCCCACGATTGCAAGCATCCCCTTAGTGATCATCAGCTGCTACTCCGTTCAACAGTATGATTACAGCTACTTCTGAATAGCAGTGGGCAATATCGAGGCTATAGGTGGCTGCAATAACGTAGGGATACCTGTTTTCGCCAAAACCTGTTGCACAACGAAAGTACAATGGCTGAGAATTTGTCTTTTCAAAAAGTGTTTTTTTTGCTTTGCTTATTGACGTATCTTCTTCAGCCGCTTCAACCACTGCAACACGCGTTTTCAACATGCACTTCATTTCCATATACCACTTCAATTTTCTCATTTTACTAGAAATCGAATCACGACACGTTGCTTGTAGTCCCCTCTTACGACGAGAAAATGTGCACTGGAAAAATACATGAACCAAACGTGCCACGACTTCAACTTTGAACTGAAACTGAAAGGAGGACCTTCCATCTCTATCCTGATGTTGTCGAGTAACTCATTATTGTTATTTCCCTTGTTATCACTAATTCTTGGAACTCAATTGCCACACCTCGTGCATTAGAATTTCAATGTTTTAGTGATAAAGGGCTTGTTAGCATACATCCACAGCCGTGATGGCCCATATTGCGACAGTTTTGCCTATTAAGGCAGATTTTTATTTCCCTTGCCTAGTAGCGAGGAAGTTATATTATATTTTTTAGATATTATATGACATGTACATACATCACGAAAAACCATGTCACTCATTTTCGTCGGTCTGTCTGGCTGTCGGTCTGTATGTCCGCTAAACGTTGGCTCGTCTATAACTTGAATAGTATTGCTCGGATTTGGATGATATTTTTGCAAAATTACTACTACGTCAAGAATGACGGATGAAAAATCTTTGTAGTTTTTGAAAATCGGTCCAGTGGCGGCCAAAAGAAAGACTAGAAACGAAAAAAAAATTGCTCAAAATTCGCGTTTCACGTTTCTGAGGATCATCATTTTTGAAAAAAATTTTAGAGGTTAAAATTGGTGGTGAGGATTGTAACCTTAAGAATTGTCGTGCCTTTTAGGCGCATTTCACACATCGTATCGTATATTTGTCCTTAAGATAGAAATGTTTTGTATATAAAGTCCACTACAAGCTGCTCGCTCAGCTCAGCTGAGGTCAACGATGTCTCGGCGATGTAACAATTCTGACTACCAGGGCAATATAATTTATTTAATATAAATAATTAGATAGGGTGACAACATGATGGCTGTAGATGTTCAGGTGTGAAATTAATTAGTTTTGTGGGATGAGAATCTCATCTGTTTTTAGTAACTTTTCCTCAAGCAAATAATACCAGGGCGTACGAAAGTTGTTCTCGATTATGTAAAAAAAAATAATCTCAATACTTTTCTCTAATCTTAATAATAATAATAATAATAATAACGTCTTTTTATCTGGGCGAAATTTAGCTTAGGTGTAAGGGTTTGCATATGCAACCAATAGTAAGCCTACCAGAACAAAAAGAAGTTGCAAAAAGCAATATTTTAATTTCTTAACGATGACTTTCTATTGCAGGCAAAGGCAAAAGATCCCGACCTTACTCCCACCTTTATGAAGCCGTGGGTCTCTGGCGCCAAGGCAAGCTTGACTCAGACAGCAAAAAACTAAAAACCATCTTGGACATATGGCGAGACGACTTGGGAGTGGTCTGTCTACACATTTTCCAAAACACCATCCCTGTTGAGGCGTACACTAGGGAAGCAGCGATGATCAGTGCCTTGAAGCTGGAGAATCTGACGAATATGAAGGCAGGAGAGTTCTATGGGACCGCGTCAACTTGGACGCAGAAGCAGAAAAAATTGTTGGGGGTGCTTTTGTTGTATAAGGCAAAAGACATATTTTTGAGCGAAGGGGAAAGACAGCTCTATCCGCAAGATATTAAATAGGTTTCTTAGCTCAGACGGGCATTTCACATGGGTCAAAACTTTTTTTTGAATTAACCACTCATTTCACATTATCCAAATTTACATTTAATTCTACTCAGGTATTACTGCGTCACGTCATAGACCTGCAACTTAACTTACGGCTCATGTTGACTATTATCGCACTTTAGAAATGTAATTTTGACATAAGTTAATTATTATATCCCGATAATTTTATAAAGAAAAAAGATTTTATTTTAAACTGCATGTCTTACAATCGAGACTTGATTTCAAAACAGATTAAACTGATAAAAACACAAAGTCTTTATTATACTTTTTGCGGATGAGCTCTTTATAAAATCGTATTCACCATAATGTATTTTTTTTACATTGGATAAAAATGCAATGACTATGTCTAGTCTTATTATATTGACTACTATGTAGGTTTTGTTAGATATGCGTATATTTTATTTTTATATAAACGAAATGACTTAGCGATATCATTTATATTGAAGACAATAAAGATAGAATGTATATTTGTAAAATCGGTGTTTTATTTTTTGCGACTACAAAAAAATGTAGTGTCAAATATCTTAACTTGAATCTTTCCCACATAATGGATATAGAAAATAGCGTCAAGTAAGTTGACTGTGTGCTTCCACCGCAATGCTGTCATTAGTTCGTAAAGGATTATGTTAGCCTTCTGAGAAAAAGTTAGCTACGAACATACATTAACAAATTGTCACGTGTCAAAATCACGTAACCTTTTTCTACTATTTTTATAGCTTACCAGTCATCAGAATTTCTCTTTATTGATTATAGAGTACCGACTCCTAGGCCAAACACTTTTTAATGATTTTCTTTAGGTAAATTTCATAGTTTATTGATTGTATAGTTTCACACTTATTATATCTTTTTTTCCCAGCGATTCAGTATTGTGTTGAATTTTTTTGAACATTATAATGTTATAGTATTACTAACAACTATTTAAAAAATTTCCTCTTAAAATATCGTTGGTCCCTCATAGAGGTGCCAGCGCCACCTTGTGATTTCTTTACGCACTAGCCTTATAGGGATATTTGGTCCTATCAAGATACCTTCTTTACCTATCGAGATACCTTCTTTTCCTTTCAAGATACCTCGTTTAAAGATTTGGGTGAACAGGCTCGCCCAGTACTATTTTTCTTTTCTTCTTTCCGTTGAGGTTTTGGTTGTGCGTGGGTCGTTTCATTGGTAATAATTTCCAGATTATAGGATATTAACGTCCCAAACACCAGATTATGGAGTGGCATCCTTTATTGAGGACCTTACGTTTATCTGTGTTGGTTTGGGTGCTACCCCGTCCATTTTATAATGGGATTCTAACCTTCAGCGTGGGAAGGCATTGCAAAGAACCACCATTCACAGTCCTCTAGCTTTGTTTTTTAGCTGCCTTGTAGGTTTATTGCAGCCGATTTTGCTAGAAGTCGCCCCTTCCCCTTGACAAAAAAAACCTGATGTGAACAGGTAAAATATATCATTTTAATTCGGTATTTTATAGATATTAATATATTGATTATTGTTGTCTGAAATTCTTACAGTGTACTTGATTTTGTTTGGTATTTTACGTATTCAAATATAGGGCAGTGCCTACATCTACATGTCACCTCTTCTTTTGGGCTTACTACATTACATTGATCATGATTTTGATTTTTGAGCAACCATAACTTTATTTTAGAACAAGGTATCTTGATAGGAAAATAACGTATCTCGATAGGTAAAGAAGGTATCTTGATAGGAAATCAAATTTTAAAAAAAGGTATCTTGATAGGGCCATAAAATTTCTGAGTTAGTCGTTAGTAATACTATAACATTATAGTGTCCAAAAGATTTCAACACAATACTGAATCGCTGAGAAAGAAAGATGTAATACGTGTGAAACTATACAATCAATAAACTATGAAATTTACCAAAAGAAAATCATTAAAAAGGGTTTGGCCTAGAAGTCGGTACTCTATAATCAATAAAGAGAAATTCAAATTACTGGTAAGTGATCAAAATAGTAAAAAAAGGTTACGTGATATTGGCACGTGACAAAGTGATCAAACAACTCTTCCCCTAAGAGAAATTCTTGCGGGTGCTCAGACCGTTGTTATGACTAATCTCGCGTGGATGACGATATTGACTTTTACAGCATACAGCACACAACCTACTGTGATGCACGGTCGTCAGCCGGACGACGGCGCACGTATTGACACGCGACTGAGGCAGATTATTTGTGTATTAAGTTTTAAGGGTAAATGTACGGGGAGATCTATGATGAGTGAAATACAGTGCAACCTCTTTAATCGGAACACCTTGTTGCAAGCGGCCGATTAGCTGTAGGAACAAAAATAGCACATAATTTTTAATAATAATAAAGTAAAAAAATGGGTTATTTTATTAATAACACTTTTTTCAACGAACAATACCTACATATTTCTTGGAATATGCGTTATGTAATGAACAATCTCTTAATAGGTATAGGTATTTACATATTATTCCCCATTTGTTGAAATGTTAGCAAAAAAACTTGTAATTTTTTTTTGTTTGGCACTTTTAATTTTCAAATCCAGTGCCTGGCTGCAAAGTTCTTGGAGTAAAATTATTCAATTATCTGCCACATTATTTTGAGATGCCAATTCTAGACAAGTTATCGAAGGCTCGTCCATGTTTTGCCAAATCCGATTTTATATCTACAATTTCTTCATTATCTGAATCGTCGCCAATTTCTTGAATTATTTCGTCATCTGTCAGAAGTACATCACCTAGTTCATTTTGACCAACAGCCCACTCTTCAATTTCATTGTTTGTAAGAGATTCATCCAAAATTTTACTGATTTGTTCATTTTGAAATGCAGTTAGTTCTTTTGTTCTTTTTCTGCTATAACTTGTCCAGATAGTCTTGCCAAGAGAATTTCATTCTCATCATCACTCTTAGCTGAATACATTTTGGCCTAAGACTTTTTTATTAAATCCAACTTGACATGTTACCAAGCTTTAGCCAAGGAGAAGATAACGCCTTTTAAATGGATGTTTTTTAAAGTTTCGGGAATATCGGTTTCAAAATCCCTAATCTTTTTAAGTAAATTTTTCCTATAAAATAATTTCATACTTTGAATGACGTGCTGATCCAACGTTCCGATTAGCGAGGTTCGTTCCGATTATGACGTTCGATTGTCTGCGTTCCGATTACTGGATGTTCCGATTAAAGAGGTTGCACTGTATGTTTAATAGGTGTGTAGAATTACTGGAGCTGTTTGGGAAGTTTGAACGATTGTTAGTGTTTTTCGTGGTTGGTTTTTCTCTGTCATCACTGGTCCGATTTCCAGCAACTACAAAGCTTTTTCGTCCTTGGCATAGTAGTAACCTTGTGTAAAAATGTCATCCAAATCCAGTCGGTATTTTTCAAGTTATAGACGGGCCAAGGATTACCGAACAGACAGACCGACGGAAATGAGTGACATGGTTTTTCGTGATGTACATGTCATATACCTAACATCCAAAAAACATAATATCTCATTTACGATTTTCTTCGTGATTGCAATATTTCCACGCCAGCAGGCGTGGGAAGTAAAAAGGCAGATTTGAAAGCATCTCGTAGTTATTAAAAGGTCCGCCGCTTTTATATTCAAAAAGTTAATAAAATTTCATAAAATAAGTGTTTAAAAAAACGATAAAAAGTCCTAAAACTAAAAATTGGGTAATGTTCACTGCTAAAAACAGGAAAGCAACACTTTATAGTCTGCAAAAACTCAAACTGATCAAGTAAGAGAGTGAAATATTTAAAAAAGTACGCATATTGTTAATGACGAAAATAATTGTGTGCCTGGACGCAACCTACTCACAAGTTTGATATAGGGTGGGCCAGAATAACATGTCAATATCTCGCATACAGAACACAAAACATTACTGCAAAATGGACCAGCAAACAGTCTAGGACTGATCCAGGTACTGGCCCACTGTCAAAGCAAAACAGAGCACATTTTTATAGCCGTCTACGGATAATACAATTTGAACCAATTCATTCCAAAATGACAAAACAAGAACTATGGGAAAAAATTAAAGCACAATATGTTTCTGTAATTAAACTTCAGCTTAAAACCCATACCCAGATGAGAAGGACAACACTGGAGGGACTCAATTATTGTTGCTCCAAAAGAAATTTCGTAAAAATGGCAAGTCCGTGAGAACGTGGTTGTGCAAGCGATAAACAGAGTGTGGAAATAATCTACATCGACAAAATGGATCGTTTTTGGGAAAAATCACTCTTGTACAACTCTTATCAAATTTGGTATTAGATCCAATATACCGTTACATCATTTCGTAAATTATTTATCGAATTCTGATAACAGATACGAAGTCGCGACCCGGAAAACACAAGGATATCATTTTCTGATCATTTTATTGAGTTTTAAATTTAAGACAGATTGTTTGGGTAATGGCTGCGGTGTATATTGATAGAAACAGTATTAAAATAAGAATTTTTCCAATAACCGCTGGTGTTATAGAAATCAAATAGGAGTACGTATGATATCATATAACTAGTTTGATAATTTATGTATAACTTTCATATATTATATTGATGGGACTCCATAAAACTTCTTATTTCATTTTTATTACAACATTTCGATAGATATTAATCATATCTTCCACAACAAAAAAATTAATGATGATGGATCCCTCGAGTACTAAGAATTCCGGACGTAAACATCGAAAATAAAGCTTATTTCACGCACATCTGCGGGATTAACAGCAACATTGATGCTGTTGATCACTACTTGCAATCCAATCGTCCCATCATGCTGTTCTTGGCGGAGACAAAAATCTCCGAATCTGCACCGATTAACCATCTTAGCTTCCCAGATTACGAGGTGCACTCCAATCTGAGAAAGAACGGGGGAGTTATGGCTTTTGTCCGCAGCTGTCTTTCCTGGTCCAGAGATGTTTCTTTGGAATCAGACCGGAAGGACATTCTGTGGGTTCGCTTCAACTCCAAAACATCCCCCATATTTATTTGCTGTCTTTGTGGCTCTCCCTCAGACTATAACTGGAATGACCTACTTGACTCCCTAGCTGTCAAGATAGACTTCCTGAACATCAATCACCCCGTTGCAGAGGTAGTTCTCCTCGGTGCTTTCAATGCCCATAATGAGCTTTGGTTGGGCTCAAACAAGACCGACGCAGCAGGTCGTGCAGTTGAAGCGTTCGCTCGTACTTAGGGGCTGAAAAGCTTTGCAGATGGCTGGCTGACTTTCACTCTGGCCGCAAGATATCCGTCGTAATTGATCCCACAACGTCAATGCGGATGTTTCCCAGTGACTGGTCTTGGCTCCGACACTGTTCCTCTTCCTCATCTCCTTTCCTGTACGATCAACCCAATCCACAGCTTTGCTGATGAAAGCACTGTAACATGCAGGAATTCAGAGTGACAAGCCAATCTCTGCCGCTGAGCTGGAAAAAAAGACTAGCGACGACTTCCTCTCTGACGAGAGACCTGGAGGTCATCATTGCTTGGGGACGCAACAATCTTGTACAGTATAATGCTTCCAAAACACACTACTGTACCTTAACGAATAAAAAGCGTCCTAGCGCTTATCACGTTTTGATGGATGGCCGCGTTCTGCCAGGACTTGATCTGGCACGAACACATCTTGTCGATGACGGTAGTTGCTGGGAAAAAGGTAGGTTATTTGTTTAGGGCTAAGAAGTACTTTTCTCCGCATGACGTTCTCACTCTGTACAGGGCACAGATAAGGCATAGCCTCGAGTATTGCTCACACGTTTGGCGTGCTGCCACCCCGACTACATTATTTATGCTCGATGCTGTTAGAGGAGGGTTGTCCGACTGATCGGCGATGACTCTTCTTTAACAGACAGTCTCGGAACCCTTTCCCACCGGCGGACCGTGGACGATCTAGCTCCCTTCTGCCTCTACACCAACGGGCTTTGCTCCTCAGAGCTCTCTTCCATGATGCCGCCGCGGGCTGTGTCTGTCAGACATACCTGCCTGACTTTGCCTTCTCATCCTAACCATGTCGAACTTCGTAACTGGCCGATACGACAGCTCCTTTATCCCGAGGGTGTTGAGACTTCGGAACAATCTACAAGAGGAAGCTTTTCTCAGTTCTACTAGCCTTAGGCAACTCAAAAATCAGATTAACAAAATTTCTTTTTGATCTGCATAGGAGCCGCGGTATCCCGGCATTTAGAATTCTGACTGCGCAGCTGCTTCCGTATCAAAAAATATGATGATAAATTGATATTTTGCGGCGATCGCCTGATGGAATTTAGAATGACGTTATTTGCTTATCGTATCTTCCATTAAGCAGTTTTATTTGATACCCATATCATAGCGTGAACGCCATTCAGCGGCGGCCCCTATATTAGATATAGATTGACGTCACTTTGCTTATTATTATGGTTTCCACATCAAACCTTTTCATTTGTTACCCATACTATATGCCTGACTATGGTAATTATAAATCGCCATTTAATTAGATTCCTTTATAATATGCTAATTATTTGCTTATTGCATTTCCTTCATCAAACCCATTTACCCATATCATAGGGGTCGCTGAAAAAATGAAAATCGACAATTTACAGCGACTGCCATATTGAACTTGAAATGCTTATTGTGTTTCTCTCATCAAGTTCTCTCATTATATACCCATATTATAGGGATTACTATGTAAATGATGAATCACTATTTTCTATCATCTGCCAGATTGGATTCAAAATGGCGGTGGGTAATTAATTTTGTATTGTCACGCAAACCAAAAGTATGAACAAAATTTCAGCTCAATTGGTTAAGGTTAGCTGGTGCAAATACAGTTCCAAGATTTGTCACACACATACATACAGGTAAAGTTAAATAAAAGCTTGTAATTTGCCAGTTCGCCTCTAACAAAATACAAATCAACAGAACATAATATGAAAAACTGTATAAAAGTAGACCTATTCAAACGGTGGCGAGCGCCAACCAAGAAAATAAAATAAGTTTATCGCTGAAAATATTGGAAATTTGTAGTGAAAGTAGTTCCTTATACAGTTGTTTTAGAACACTCAGCCTCAAAAATACTCATTATTTGTAGAAAGTACTCTTAAAGTCACCAATTTTACAGATTTTCAGCAACATACTAATTCAGTTTTGAATTCTCCTGGTTGGTGCTCGTAGAAGTAGGATGTAAAGACTCGGTTTTTATGATTTGTTTCCCGAAAGTATTGATTAATGTAACATATTTTACCTGAAGATGGCCAACGTAGTGCTATATTTTCGCATCCAAATAATTATCAATGATGAAATGAGATACCGTCGCGTCATCTAAGAGAATTTGTCATAGCTGTTTCTCCGTTCACTATGCAAGGGTATCCAAGATACAGCTTAGATTAAATTAGGAAAAAATTGGACTCTTTCCGGCGTATTTACATGCCGTTTAGAAACTCGTAAATATTTCATGGCTTACTGAGGTATTAGGGAAAAATTAAAATTTAGTCAAATCGTTTTTATTTTTTCTGAATTTATTTTACGGAATATCAAAAAACTAATAAAATTGTTTCATTAGAACTTTTTAGGCACTACATAATGGTGTTCTTAAATGTTGTGCCTGACGTTTGTTTTTCATAAATTGTCATCAAATTTATTGGTCCGTAAAAAGTACACCCTGAATCTGATAGCATCTTTTCTACGAATTCAACGATGTATCACATGTTACATTTCTTTTCTTAGTTATTAAAGATAAATTTGTTTTTTTTATTTTCTTTTCCTAATTCAACCTAAGCAGTATTTGCTACAGGTATTGAGATCCCCCGCATAGGATCCTTATTTTGAACACCCTGTATATACTTTTAAAAGGACACCATCTCATAGATGGCGCACCTATATGCTTAGTATATATAGAAACAGCTGTGACAAATCTTCATAGATGACGCTAAGGTGTTTCATTTTCTCATGGATAACACAAGAATATAGCATTAGAATATGTTGTAATCAATGCTGAAAGTAAGAGTATTTGATGATGCAAAAAAATGTCGTCTAAGGGTTTAGGAGTAATGCGAAATACATTAAATTATAACATTATACACTTCTTTAAGATACTGGACAAGAAAACCATAACATTGATACCTTTTAAAAAGTGTTACTATTGAACAATCCGATAAAAACTAACTAGAATTCAAGTCAAGTACATGCAGACCGAGCGGCGGGGTCAATGGCAATGATTTTTCTTTTGTGATGACCCCGACCAGATAACTCGTTTTGTGGGGCTTGGACACTTCGTTAACAGGCGTTTAAGCTGTTACAATAAAACCATCCGTGAGATAAGATTTCAGTGGGTGGTGCTCTAATGTATCTATTTTGTTGAAATTTAACTGTGGGTACTTTCCAGATGCGTATGTACCTAATCGTTTTGCGATAATACTTGTTGTTGAACGCAGTATTGTGAGTCTGCCAGTGTCTCAATAGCATCATGAATAATCATACATCTAATTTCCTAGTCTTAGTGTTTATGGTCTGTATTCTGGGGAATGTGTTGGGGTTGGACAATGGTCTGGGGTTAACGCCACCCATGGGTTGGATGCACTGGCAAAGGTTTAGGTGTGTGATTGATTGCGAGAATTATCCAGATGAGTGTATAAGGTAAGTCTAACGATAAGAAAAATGAACGGCTAATAATGATATTGATAAGCTGATAAATCTGCAAAAATTGGAATATCGGATGCTTGAAACAAGATATGTGCAAATATAAACACACACACAGCAACGCTAGTTGAGCGGAATCGAATATAGCAACAGCCTAGGATCCACTGTTACTCGAATCAAAGGGCTTCACAGACGCTCAAGCAAGCTTAATGAGGCTCAAAAGATACAGAAGTCCACGGCTTTATTGTAAATAAAAGTTGAGTCGAGGATTCAGAACCGGTCAGAGTTATAACATACTAACAAAAGTTACACGTATCCTAAAATATTATCTACTTCTTCCTTTTATTCCCTCGCAGATCACAATTTTCATCGTAATCTATTGTTAGAACGTACATGTAAACGTTTTTGAATTTTAAAAACCTGTTTAAAATAATAGACACCTCCACCTCTTCTTCATAGAGACTGCTGAACTTTCGAATACCCTTCATTTTTCTTCGCAACGGTTTCCGCTTTAGGTTTACCCGACCCAATGTATTCGGTTATAATCGTTACATGGGTTTCTTTTCAATTCAATTTTCGTTATATTGTTTCTAGACCCGACGTCTTTGTTTTGCCTCTGATGTCTACATGGTCAATTCTTATGAACTTACATGGCATGGAGGACCGGACTTATGACCAGACCACCCAGACTTATTAGTTACGCAACTCCAGTTAAAAATTGGTCAATTGAGGGATGTAATCCAGCAACGATTTTCTTGTATTTCAAATCAATGAGGAATCTATGGACAATATTGGAGCCTCAGGTGTTACCTTGACACTGGAGGTAGTCCTTGTGAACAGAGTTAAGAACATCCTTGCAATAGTAGGTGGTAGACGGTCTCTGACTGTCGTACGCGGAGGTACCACCCGGCGGATCTCGGCCAGAATGAGTGCATGCTGCATGCACACGTGTTCCCTCGCTAGAATCCGTGTGGCGCCCCCACTTTTCCCTGTATCTCCCTATAGCCCCACGGTATCCCATAGGTGTTTAGACCTTAGGCCTTCGTGGTAGCTAGAGTATAAAAAAAATTACGAAAAATTTGGTGGCTCTCTCGCTCACTTTAAAATGAAACCGCTTTACTGAGAATCGTTCGAGAATAAACTAGTCTCAGAATAGAATTCTTTGAAATATAATCTTCATTTTAGTGAAACACTGTTCAGATCTATGGCTGATCGTATGGTAGAAGACGGATATTTGGACGCTGGATACGAATATGTAATGATAGATGACTGTTGGGCATCCAAGAAAAGAAATGGCAATGGGCGGCTAGAGGCAGACCCACAGAGATTTCCAAGTGGAATCAAGAACTTGTCAGACTATGTGAGTGAACTAGAATCTGACTAGAATATTTCAAACTCTGACATATTTTTCGACACAGGCAGGCACCTTCACAACTGCTGTGACGTCGAGCACCATAGCAAGCGTTCGTATTCATGAGGGGCTTTAAGACTGTAAAGCTAAACCCAGATTATGTAGAATGGAATGTCTTTCATCATAGTTCTTGGGAATGTGACATTTCAAACATTGCATTGCGTTTTTTCTTTCCAGATTCATGGAAAAGGCTTGAAATTCGGCATATACGGCGACTACGGTACTTACACGTGTGCAGGTTACCCTGGTAGCAAAGACCATCTACAAATTGATGCCGATACATTTGCAGAATGGGGCGTGGACTATTTGAAATTAGATGGATGCCATATTGATTACAGGAATATTGAAATAGGTAAAACAATATAGAGAAGGAGAAAAGCATTTTGAAAGAGTTTGAGAGACCAAACCATAAGAAATACCGTGTATAACTTTGAGGTATCGATTTTAGAAGTGTCTTCATTCAAAGCACCCATCTTTTGTAAGTGAGGATGCTTATTAACACATGCATCCAATGTTGTTTCTCTGACATATTGTTTATTCAATTTCGTGAACGAATAAGTCATTTCTCACTCATCGAAATTCAATATATGGAAAGCAAAGATATACACTTCTTTTGACGTATATATGAAGCAATTAAGATGTTTTTCTTACAGCCTTTAGTTATTTCAAACCAAAAGTACTCAATACAAAACGATATTTTTAGGATACATTGAGATGCAAAAGTATTTGAACAAAACCGGACGTCCGATTATGTTTTCTTGCAGTTGGCCAGACTATCAAGAAGAACAGGGAGTGAAGGTAAAAGTAAAATAAAAGTATCAAATTCTGTAGTCGTGTCCACACATAGGGATTTTTGACTTCCTTCGCCACAGGACGAGGAAGTATTGTAAATCCGAAAATTTTTAAAAAAGAGATTGTGTTGTTAGATGTTATATGACATGTATATCGCAAAAAACAGTGTCAATTATTTCCATAGGTATGTCTGTCTGTCCGCTAATTCTTGGCCCGTCTATAACTTGAGAAGTACCGCTCGGATTTTGATGAAATTTTTACACAACGTTGCTACTATGCCAATGACGAAAAAGTTTTTTAGTTTTTGAAAATCGATCCAGTGACGACGGAGCAAAAAACAAAAACGGTGGAAGAAGGATCGACCAAACTTCGTTTTTTGACGTTTGAGATGGTTCAGATGATTTTCAGAAATTTTTTTGTAGAGGTTGAAATTTGGGGGAGGGTATGCACCTATTAGCCATATTTCACATTTGCCTTTAAAATTGAGAATGGCAGAAGGATGTTTTCGATCCACGTACTTCTACTATCTAAGCTCACCACCCGGCAAACCGGTCCTGCTGGCTAATTTAACTATGAACGAAATTATCGATAACTCGCTGCAGCGGAGCCGCGGAAAGGAACAACCTTCCCATGTAGGGAGGGTCTATGGACTAATTGTATGGACCTGTTTGACTGACTTGATCTGTTTAATTTCTCTGTCTACTTGTTCGCAACTGTCGTTTTTCTTAGACGATTTAAATTGCGCTGAACTTAATCCTTTTAGAACTGACGACGGCGTTGCGCAGGAAGTGCAGAGTCAACCTGCTTGACGCCATTTTTTATCAATAATAAAGATATATAAGGCTCTAATGAAGGCCCTACGGACCACTCTGATACATAATAACAATGAGCATTCAACATAATAAAAATATCTTTCCAAAATTTGATATACTTTTTTCCAAGGCCAACTACTCTGCTCTGCAAGAAACATGCAACCTCTGGAGAAATTGGAAAGACATTGAAGATGAATGGGCTAGTGTCACAGGCATCGTGGATTGGTTTGCAGAAAACCAAGACCGTTTAGCACCTTTTGCTGGTCCAGGACATTGGAATGATCCAGATATGGTAAATATAGTGAATAGAGACGCTACAGTATTTCATTTTATCACTGATAACTGTTTGGACACGGAAAAATGGCATTAGGTTGCCTATCTCCAGGTAGAGTATCTTAGTCAATGGAATCTACTTTAGTCCGATTCTATGTTAAATCAGATGAATAGTTCACGAAACTTTTCAAAAATCCTTTCGTTTCTTGGATAAATTCAATACGAGGGTTCCGGATCTGAAATTACTTTGGCTCTGGGATCGACAAGGTACACCTGTCATTGCTTATATAGATCAAAGTACGAAATTCAGGATTATTTGATTAGTTACTTCTAGGTTACGACACACTTCACACTACCATGAAAGTACCACACACTGCCTTCGTAAATTTTAACAAGATTTCTAATTATTTAATTTCTTTTTTGTAGTTGATAATTGGAGACTACGGACTTAGCTACGAACAAAGCAAGGCTCAAATGGCGATATGGGCTATCATGGCAGCTCCTCTCATAATGTCTGTGGATCTCAGGACTATCGAGCCAAAGTTTAGGGACATACTTTTGAATAAAGATGTTATTGCTGTCAACCAGGATCGGTTGGGGATACAGGGAAGATTTGTTATTAGGGTAAATCAGTTTTAAATAAAAAGCGAATGAGTCTCATGATAAAGCATAGTCTGTGATAGTTATTCTGGACAATAAAGGTTGTTTTCGTAGACTTGCTGCTATGGTAAACTATATGAAATCTTGTATTCTATTGAAACACTTCTGCTTGTAAGCAAAGTTCATGTCTTGAATAATAATTTCACTATTCGCAAAGTGCTGATCTATGTATTTTTTTATTTTTAGAAAGAGAGAATCGACATATGGACTAAGCCAGTGCTACCCAAGGAAGAAAATACTAATTCCTATGCGATAGCTCTTATGAGTCGAAGAGTTGATGGATATTCTTATAGATTAAACTTCACATTGTCTCAACTGGGGATTAAGAGTCCAGATGGATTCATACTAAAGGTGAATATTGTTTTATCTACACAGAGTAATTAAAAATAGTTACGATAATAATAAGAAAGGGTAATATACAGGGTGTTCCATAATTATTGCGACAAAATGATAGGGGTTGTAGAGGGCATCAAAATGAACAATTTTTCCTTATAAACCCCTGTTCGGAAATATGCCGTTTGGGCTGCAGCAAAAAAAAAAGATCAGTTTCTTGAAACAGCTTACCTACAGTAATTGCTCAAAGTGTCCTCCACCTTGCTCAATACACAGCTGTGCACGATTGTTCAATGATCGGCGAACTCTGTGGCATACCCCCGGTATGTCCTGAACATGTGCGGACGCGGCCATCACCCTTCCCAGTAGCTCTTGTTGGTTGGGAACAGGAGTTTCGTACACTAAAACTTTCAGATAGCTCCAGATGAAATAATCCAGTGGGGTCAGGTCAAGTGACCGCGCAGGCCAAGGCACAGGGCCACCTCGGCCTATCCACCTATTTGGAAATTTGTCGTCCAAATACTGCCGCACTTGTAAAGAAAAGTGGGCTGGGCCGCCATGGTGTTGAAACCACATGTTGGCTCTTATATTCAGTGGCACATTTTGTAATAGTTCCGGTAGCACATGCTGTAAGGATCGACCATAAGCATGCCCATCCAAACGTGGTGGAAGCAGATATGGCCCGATGATATGCTCGTCCACAATGCCGCACCAGATGTTAATTGAAAACTGATGTTGGTCTCTATGGATGGCTATGGCATGAGGGTTTTCTTCATCCCAAATGTGACTGTTATGGCTATTAAAATAACCGTCCTTTGTAAAACAGGACTCGTCAGTGAACAAAACGTAGCGACCAAAGTTTGGTTGCCTCAACTCCTGCTGCAGCCACCAACGACAAAAACGTCGACGCGGCAGATGGCTTGGACTTTTAAAAGGTGGTACGGGTGTACGATAACAAAAATGTAAACACAGCAGGCTTTTTTTACAAACCGGTGAGACCATGAAATGTGCTAGACGAACATTTTGCAGCTGGTGAATTTTTTGTTTCTCCTATGAGCTCTTAAGGTAAAATTAACTGTAGTGCTCAAACGGCATATTTACGAACAGGGGTTTATAAGGCAAAATTGCATATTTTTATGCCCTCTACAACCCCTATCATTTTGTCGCAATAATTATGGAACACCCTGTATAGATGAAATTAGTTACACAGGTAATGTAGCCTTTTACGACAGTGATTGAAGACAGAAAATAGAATTTTAGTTATTACAATTATTGAACAATCACATAATAATGTTGTTTTTTTTTCTTACCAGGATCTGTACCATCCGAATATCCCTCTTAAGGAAATTGACGATGAAGAGCATATCGTCGTCAGGATAAAACCATCAGGTATATTATGAATTACATCCGTCAGTTCAAAAACCACCTAAGTCAAAGTTTCCCAAAATATTTTTTTTTTCTGGAGTGGAGGTATATGACTGGTTCAGAAATAATCCACGTAAATCACTAAATCCTGAATGCGTCATTTCAAAAACATTACCAAGACCCTTAATTTGTTTTCTTTTTAAAATTATGTGCTATATGGAAAAAATATTCGCTTTGCCAGAAATCACTTATTAAAACCATTGACTCAATCATCATCATTTGTGCAACTGAGAAGGTACTTCAGATATACGTTAAATATTGTAAAAATATGTTCGTATAGACTATCAAAATGCAATGTCACGCTATCACGCACAACTCCTATCTTGCACAATGAATTTTTTAAATACATTTTTCTGTCTGCTAGTCAAACAAGCACGTCAGTTTTTCTACAGAGTGTTTCACACAGACTTATCAATATTTATCGGGTAGAAAGTACGTCCAAAAATAACAAAAAAAGTTCGTATAAATATGGACAAAAAGTTGCTCCACTACCGAGGTAAATGGTGATGAAGTTATATTTACGAAATAAAAAAAATATATCTATTCAGTGGGTAAAGTTACGTAGTTAGGATGTTAGACGTTCAGTGAGCACATCATCGGCAATAACAACACAGAGTTTCCCGGCTGAAACTAAACTGCTGCCGTAGAAAATGGGGTACCTGGGCCCTTAATAGAAAATACTTTCTACGCCACTGGCCTTTTCCGAGAAAAGAAGTGCATTTTATAAGATACCATTCAATTTTCCATAAATTTTGTCTATTAAGGAATTTAGATCACTCGTTTTGGAGATAATTAGGTATGAATATTTGAGGTAAAATCCCAAAGTATCCTTACGAAAAGGTTTATCCTCCCCTATTCTGGAAAAACCGTGAATCTTGATATTGGAAACAATATATGGCATGTGAAAAATCTATAATTAAGCCCTTATAAATTTAGAAATAATCACGAACTTGTAACAAATGTAATGTTTGTTATTATCGTGTTTAGCTCTCAAAAATGAATATGCCGGAAAAACCAGTGCCGTGTACAATGAAGGTTTGATGAATGGTAAGCTAATACGCTGTTTATTGAGGATAAGACACGCATATTGTTCAATTAAAGTTGTAATGAGGTGCTATAGCTTTCTTCACGTCCCATACAGTATTTCCAATATCAAGCGTCACTGTGTTTTCAGAATAGGGAAAGCTAAACCTTCTCATAAAGATACTTTAGGATTTTACCTCAAATATTCAAACCTAAATATCTCTAAAATGAGTGAACTGACAAAAATTCCTTAAGTGACAAATGTTATGCAAAATGGTAAATTATAAAATGCACTTCTTTTCTCCGAAAAGACCAATGGCGAAAAAATTATTTCCTACACTAGGGGTCCAAGCACCTCAGTTTCTACGTTCCTGATTTAGTTATTGCTTATGATGTAGTCACTACTAAAATCTTAACTCAGTATCTTTACTCGCTCCGTATAAATTTTTTATTCTCAGTTTTGCACACAAAACCTCACCACTCTGTCTCTCGCTAGGGGAACATCTTTAAACCCATTTCATGAAAACTTTTTTGAATGTACTTTCTTCCCTAGAAATGTTGGCACGTATTTCTGAAACATCTTGTATAACTGATTGTCGATTAGTTGTTGAAGAAGGTTGAACGAATGGTCTCTCACGCTGATTTGGTTGCAAAGCTGGAAATTCGGATACCCCCGTGGTGTTCGCTGAGCCCGGGTTGGCCCTATGTATGTTAAAGATAATGAAACATCCAAAATTAAAAGATGTGACATGCTAATAAGTCAATATTCAAAAGTAATTTTCAATAATAAGTAATAAAAATATTATTAATATGATTTTTTACTTACTTGCACACAATATTTGTTTGTTTTTCTAAAGATCATACCCGCTTCTCGTTCGTCTGTCTCCAAGACTAGACCCATACCGTACTGCTGAGTTGCTAAAGAGTGCGAAACAGCGCTGTCCGCAATTGGTCATGGTTACAGAGACATAAAGCAAACATCTCCACTTCACCATGTATACCACTAACCCTACTTCTTGCTTAAACCATATAAACGTCTTTGTACCACGCTAAAAAAATTTCGTATTTTTGCTTTTTAGGGGGAGAAATACTATTGGCCACAGCAAAGCCCAGCAGTGCATCAGTAACAGTTGAAGGCGTATGAGAACATGATATTTGCCAAAAGCTAAGAAAAATTATTGCAACTCTTCTGATGCATTCTCTCAGATGTTTTAACATGAAGCACCTTTATCATGTAAATTGTGTACAAATATAGCATTGTCCTTAATATATTCGTTTTGCTATTTTCTAGCCTTTAACCTCAGCATCCTGTTTAAGTAAATAATACACGTTTTTGATTGACAAAATGTAAAGGTATTAGTAGTAAGTGGTATAATTTACACTTTAAATATAGTTATTAAAATAAAAAAAATAAGCTCCTAAGCGTGTATCGACGTTGTACAAATGTTTTAGTATCATGTAATATCATGTAGTAGTACCTACTAAAAGTCATGAAGAATTTAGTAGAACATTGAGACAATGAAGGGGAAAATTGGGTACAGCTTTATTCAGTAAAAATAATTATATTGTAGTGTTAGTCAATAAGATTTTGGGTATAATTTCACTGTAATTTTTTAAACGTAACCAATGTCCTACGTACCATTGATCCAAAGTACACATCAAACAGCTTTTTGTGGATGCACCGCCATCTCAAGTCATTGATACATATCAATAAGCCACTAATTAGCAGATCAATAAAGAACATATTCTTTCAAAACTGGCAAAGAATTCGTATTTTCACCATAACAAATCTGTTTTCGTTTAAAACGGCCTATCCATGGGTAAATCACTCATTGTTATGGACATTGATTAAGGTATTCTACCTGAGGATAGCCAACCTAATACTATACTCCCGCGTTAAAAAAATTATCCGAGATGAAATGATATACCGTACCGTCATCTATGAGAATTTGTTACTGCTCTGCTTCTCCTTTTCGAAGAAATTAGAAATCTACTTAGAAAAAGTTGGTGTTTCATAGATGACGCTTCAGCCAAATATATGTTATATGCTAATATCTTCCATATTTTTTCGAAGCGCGAATGTAGAATTAGGCTATCCAGTGAACATGATGACGCCAAAATGACGTCATTATTCTGTCACTTTTGGTCGGAAACGCCATTGACTAAAAAATGACGTCTTTATTGACCCCATTTTTATGACATTAACAAGACGTCCTTTAAGAGGCTGTCTGTCATTTTGACGTCTTTTCTAGGACAGTCAGTGCTGAATAATCAACACTTACCTACAAAGAAAATATAGACTTTTAATGAACAGTAAGGTAAAATACTGGTAGATATCCAAATACTAATAATCATGTTATTGTTATTTATTAAAAGTATCAGGAATTTTTCGTCCAAAAATATTTTGTTATCTAATAATAATATTCCGTGTTCAAATATTTCAAATTTCCTTCTTACATCGTGTTTTATTCCCGTAAATAACAAATGTATTACAAACTCCTCTGTATAACAATAAACTCGAGCAGGTAAAAATTCAAATCTTGGAACGGTATATATCATTCAGCCGAACATCAGCGAAGAACCACAATCGTGCTTGGCAGTGAGGTCAAGGCTCGACCGGTGTCCAAGCTCCATGCGTGTTCGCAGTGGTTCGGCCATTTCGTTTTATAAATCTATGGGGTTGACCGAAAGCACGATGGCTTCGTCGTCTTTAACGTACATTAACATTGTGGACCAATTAAATAGGGACGATTTTATTACGTCATAGTCAATAAGGCTTGGGTGACATCCAGGAAACAAGACGTATTTTGGCCTCCTGTGAAAAATCAAAGCGATTTTGATAAATTGCTTCAATATCAAATTCTGAGACATCGGAGGTCTGGAACGTGTTTGAGATAAAATGGTGTTTTTTATTTCTTTATTAAAATTAAATGCTCTTAAAAAATGTTGGAGGTGGTAACGACCTTTCGGAACGAGATCGTCTTTGTATTCGGTCTTTTACACGACATACTATGACGTCATGTAATGACGTCATCACCACGTCATTTCTGTTGTTCAGCGTACGTCAGTAGTGCCCTAATAATGGCGACATTATGTTCCCCGATAGCACGAAATATTCATTAAGTATTTATTTAATATATTTAATAATATTTTTATCATACTTAAATATTTGTTTTCTAAATATTTCAAATACAATATTTCTTTTACAATATTCATATATATAAGAAATATATTTATTAGATATTAAAAAATCTGTCGCTACATATATTTAACAGAACATTTTTTAAATATGTAATGCTATCGGGGTTCACTGGGTAGAATACGTTAATCAATGGTTATTGGTCTGGAACCAAAATGTCTATTCACCGTGTCATTAGTTTTCTTTACTCTTAGATTCGTGTTAAGCTCTCAGCCTCTGACAGCCAGATGAAAATGATGTCTTATGAAATAAAGTATGGTAAAAAAATGTCGCTAATCAGTTGTATATCGTTATACATTTCAAATCCTGGCAACCGTAATTTTTCTAGATAATATCCCAAAATTCGATATTACGAGTGGTGGAGTTGCTATCTTAATAGGAAAAATACCAATAATGATTTCTTACATGACTACTATAATTAGACCTAATTGTACTATCGCTGTAGTTACCGCATACATGTTAAACTAAATTAGGGTTATACAGGGTTCGACAAATGACACGTTTGTGTCGGGAGTACATATCAAACTAAAAAAATCGCAGAACCCAAACGAAGACTTGTTCCATCAACAGACTCATATATGTTGTAGAGACCTCGTAGAAGTACATGTTTATGTCACAGGGGTCACAAGGGCTGATTCCTCAAAACAGAAAATAATCTCAGAACCCAAACGAAGACTTGTGCCACCAACAGACTTTTGTATGTTGTAGATATCTCGTAGAGGTACATCTTGATGGCATAGCTTTGGGAAAAATCAGGGGACTACAGGGTGATTCTGCGCGTACAAGGCTTCACTGCAGAAAAAAGTCGTAGAACCCAAACGAAGAATTGTGCCACCAACAGACTCATGTACGTTGTAGAGACCTCGTAGGAGTACATCTTTATGGCATAGCTTTGCGGGAAATCAGGGGACTACAGGGTAAATCTGGGCATACCAGGGTTGATTCCTCGAAACAAAGAAAAAATGGCAGAACACAAATGAAGAATTGTGCCACCAACAAACTCATATATGTTGTAGAGACCTCATAGGAGTAAATCTTTATCGCATAGCTTAGCGAAAAATCAAGGGACTACAGGGTGAATATGGGAATACAAGCTATACCATAAGGATGAGGTATCTACAACTGTTCTGAGTCTGTTGGTGGCAGAATTCTTCTTTTGGGTTCTGCGATTTTTTTAGTTTTATATGTACTTCCGACACAAACGTGTCGTTCGACGAAGTCACCCTGTATAACCTTAATTTAGTTTAACAAGTACGCGGTAACTACAGCGGTAGTAGAATTAGAACTAATAGTAGTCATGTAAGAAATCATTATTGGTGTTTTTGCTATTAAGATAGCACACTATAGTGCCTGTTCTCGTTTTGCCGTTCACTCCACCACTGGTGATATCGAATTTTGGGATATTATCTAGAATATTTTGTGCAAAAGCCTTATTTAACATGAAGCAAGCCTCAGTAGCTGAAAACACCATTATTCTAGCATATCGGCGATTTGAGCTTACTACTGAACTGGTCGACGGTAATTTCATCATATTCCTATCTAAATCTGAACTTCAGGAATGTTCTCCTTACTTATTTTTTGAACAGGTTCTACTTTGGGAGCAGAAATTTGGGAATATAGCAGTGATGCATAAATACTAACGTATATTTTAAGGTGAAAATGGTAGTTGAAAATTTCAAGATGGTGGATGGGCGTCATCTTGTAACATTTTTTCAAGTCGAATAGGAGGTAATATAATACTCTTTTTGAAGATTCTTCAGAGTACTTTATAATTCTAGAGTATACAATCACTATCTTTCAAACTGGCGGACTGGCAGGCTGTGAAAGTTGAGCGTCTTTGTACAGTGAGCGATTATAATTCAACAACTAATCATCAAAACATTATAGTATGTATATTAGATAAGATGTATCTTTTCAAGGTCATTCTGATTGTTTTGCGGTGTTGACATCAGTGGACAAATTCTTGGATTATCTGTCACAGTACTGCCAACCACACAACACATTCTAGCTAGAAATAATTAGAAGTTTTTTGTCTATTGCGGTTTTGATTTTGAGGAGAATCTCATACACAGAAATCATATTGTTGGTTACTGAAGTTCTGTCAAAGTTCAATACTTAAATTGCAGAGTTGTTCAATATAATGGGAAGCAAAACAAGGCTGACATCATGGAACTTGACGTCCAACTTGGCAAAAATTAGAACAAGTTCTAAGTTCGCGTAGACATCTACGAAGAACTTCATAGATTTATTTGACTTCAAATTCCTGTTCTACATTTTTCAAATTTGGCCATGAACTCAGTTCATGAAGAAATCCCTGGATTTATATCAATGTAAAATCGGTATATAAGTCTAAATAGGTCAACACTTTTCGGAAAAACCAAACGCCGCACTTCGCCGTAGAACACCCTGTATATTGTGTATCTGAGGGTTCGACTTGACCTCCATTTGCCTGTTTTAAGTAGGTGAACAAGTGCTAACGCCACGGCGAGAGTAGGCCCAAGTTCACGGTCAATAACGGCGGTCATTTAATGCTAGGAGTGTAAATAATCTACGTAAAATCTCAGGGACGGATGTTATACAGGAATGTTCACGTTCAACTTCCATATATTGTTTAAAAATTGATAGAATCTTTAAAATCGGTTCAGAATGGATCATAGCAGTTACGAGAGTACCAATCAAGTCATACATAGTTTCCCCTATTTCATACTACAACGTAAACAGATTTGAATTTTAGAAAAAAATAAGCTTTATTCCTTCAAAGACTTGCTTGGTGGTTAGTTTGAATGCTCAACCCACAGGCTGGTCTGTTTTACATACGGATCTCAGTCTTAAGTTCTATTCCGGAGCATTAAGTGAATGACATCTAGTACAATTTTCTCGGAAAAACCATGTCATTAAAATCGATAAAACTTTACTTTTTACTTCCCACGCCCACTGTCGAGATGAGATATTATGTTATTTGGATCTTACACATATATGATATGTGCATCACGAAAAACCATGCCACTGATTTCCGTCGGTCTGTCTGTCTGTCGGTTGATCCCTGGTCCCTTTATAACTTGGAAAGTACTGCTCGGATTTGGATGAAATTTTTATAAAAGGTTACTATGCTGAGGACGAAAAAGGTATGAGTTTCTTTTATCTCAACTTTTTGATGTTAGTATATTTATATGCTCCCAACCTCGGCAATTCTATGCACCTATTAGACATACGAGATCTGTATATTAAGTGATGAGACTGGTGACGTAGCGTTCGATCTGGCAACACTGGAAGAGTGGGCTTAGTTGTCTGTAACGATTTTTTATGAATCAGTTTTTTCTATTGCGTTCTAAAAATGAGTGACATCAATTTCGAGCAACGGTATGCTATCAAGTTTTGCTTCAGACTTTGACATAATGCAACGGAAACACTTAAGGCATTTTCAAAACGGAGAGAGTCGACTGAAGGTGGACCACGAATGTAGAAGGCCTTCATCTTCAAGAACCGATGAAAATATCGACAGAATACGGGATCTTGTGCGTCAAGATCGTCAGCTGGCAGTCAGAATGATCGGAGAAGAGTAAAATTGGCCTGGATGTTACATCACCATACTGCTTCCTTACCTCACAGCAATGTCAATAAAGGAGTTTTTGGCCCGTAGAAACGTTCCTGTGGCTCCTCAGCCTTCTTGTTTGTCCGACTTGAGTCCTTGTAACTTCCCGAAGTTGAAAAATTACCTTGAAGGAAAACTCATTTTGGAACTGTCGAAAACATTCAAACTGCAGCTGAAGGCTATTGCTGAATCCGAGTTCCAGTACTGCCATCTGCTATGAGGAGTGGGATGATATCTTCAGCGATGTGTGGTTTCAGAAGGAAGTTATTGTGAGGATGACAATATAAAATTATATTTGAATTAAAAAAATTAAAAAAAAATCAGACTCATCACTCAATTTACTGACCCTGTATATCACACATTTGCCCTTGAAACAAGACGTCGGAGAAATGTTTTTGGTACTTGTGTTCTTCTGTCCCTGGCGGCGTGCCGGTGTTGGTAAGTGTTCTGGTATTACCGCCGCGTCTGACGGAGTTAGGTATCGGGGAGATGCGACGTTGCCAGATGGACTACCGGTTTAAGTTACGTAATGCAGGTGCGCGACACTATAGCGACGTCACCAGCAACCATAGCCAAATCTGTTAAAATATCGATTTTGGCGTGTGTCACCACTAGCCGCCACGTCAGGAAGCTGCCATATATTTCAAAAGGTTATTATGCCTACGGATGCTAGCGATCTCGCCATGGCGTCCCGATGAGTGGGGGGGGGGGAGAAGGCTTTAAGAAAATGACGTCAAGTAACACGGACCGCAAAGGAGTGGAGGAGAGCTTTGCGCTACGTACGAGCCCCTTTCCACTTCAGTTGGCCCACTTCAAGATTTGTACCAAAATATGCCTTTATAAACTAAACTACTTCTAAAACAATTTATTTTCTCAAAAACATTTTATATATACTCTAGTCTTAAAAAATGCATATTTGAAATCACTTAGACCTAAAACTAATAGAACATCTGAACAAATAAACAATGTGCGAATAAATGTGCGAAGTTAACAAAGCAACAATTGAAAGATTACCATTGGGTAACATCACTTTTATTTTTTATTACGGCTGAAATTCTTTGGGGCATAGTGTTAACCAAGTTTTGGCAAAAATTTGGTCTTAAACAATCCCATATTTCTTGAAGCTTTTGTCTCAGTTCGGTGATTGTACGAGCAGGATGTTGTCGTAGAACCTTTTTCATCTCGTGCCACAAAGTTTCAATAGGTGACAGATCTGGACTGCTAGGAACCCATTTCAAAAGTGGTACATTATTTTCTTCCATCCATTTTAGAGGTATGGCACGCTGCACCATCTTGCTGAAACACAAAATCTTGACCGGATGTCAAACATTCTTCCATCACTGGTAAAAGCGATTCTTCTAAAATTGTCAAATATTTGTTTGTATCCACATTTCCATCAATAAAATGAAGTTTTTCTACTACTTTTGATGACGTACTGCCTCAGACCATAATGGATGCTGGAAATTTCACTTTTCTCTTCAGACAGTCAACATGGAATGCTTCATTTTTTTTTGCGAATAACTCTACTGCGACTGACACAAACTTCGAATCGGGCCTCATCATTCCATTGTATTGCACACCATTATTGAGGTGTCCATTGTCTATGTTCTTTAGCCCATCTAAACCGATTTTTCTTTTGCAGTGGAGTTAATAGTGGCTTTTCTTTGGCCTATAAACAAGTTGTGCAACTTTAGGGTTTTTCCTTCACTTATATATATATATATATATATATATATATATATAAGAAAACTTACCTTGCAAGTGCTAAATCTCAGTTTGTGGGCCTCGCTATGAGTTGTGGACCTCGAAATTCTCCTTCCAACAGCGTCACTCCACAGAGCACTTAATTATAAATAATTGGCACGCCTGTTTTTCACGATTATTCTTCTTAATGCTCTTCGGTCGACATTTTTTTCACATATCGTGGCTTAATATTAACTGTACCAGTTACGTTATATCTTCTAACAATATTTCTCACACTGTACCGCGATAAGTCTAACAAAGTTGCAATTCCTGAGTTTGAATTAAAAAATTTAATTATCAGTAACCGAATTTTCTCACTAATAACCTCTCCTCTACGCATTTTGAAAACCTTAACTACCCAAAACTATTTTAAACGTATTCTGACAGCTGTGAGTAATAAAAACAATTGTCATGGCTTTTATTTTTTACAACCTATGCGTTATAGACTTATTTTGCATTGAAATGAAAATAGGTTGATATGCTGTAATTGCAACATATGTTATTTTTATGCTGCAAATTTGATTCAGGAGTGATAAAGTTGGTGTTTTCTACTATATATTATCAAAATATTCATTGTTAATATTTTAAACCTATAACACCCAGCTACATTTTTATTTTTTGTGTTTGATAAGAAAAAACTAAGATTTCAATAGTTGGGCCAACTGAGGTGGGAAGGGGCTCATACATACATGTCGGCCTACCAGGAAGCCAATTATTAGAATAATATTGCCCTGAGCAAATTGACACACAGATAACTGGCAAAGATCTGTTTTTATAAGTGCTCCATTTATGTCTGGCCGCTAAATAAAACCATAGAAGTTTGAAATAAGGTTTACTGATACGATGTTTCGGTCACCACGGTCGTCTTTTTGTTTATCTGTCTTCTAGATGACAGCTCGTTTGTTTTTTATTTTATTCATCATATAGTGTGCTGCTACAACATTCTGAGCGGTCCTGTACCATGCGAAGCCGTCATTGTTTAAGATGGGACCGCGTAAAACCAGCAAAGTCCAGGACCGCTTGGCGTAAGCATTTTACCTCCCAAAGGACGTCCCTTGCGAGGAAATAGTATAAGGCATTACAGTTTGGCGGTGAAATGGCTCAATTCAAAACATATGCGCATTTGAAATTCAATAACACAACAAAGAAAAATCCTAGAAGTAAAAAAGTGCAAATTGTTGAAAATGTTTAATTACTGATTTAGTTATTTTTACGTCCATAAATTAAATTAATTGGCAATTGTTTCATTACTGTCGCTTACGATAACATTTACTAGAACATAATTCCATTAGGAGGCATTGAAATAAATTTAATATTTCCTTACTATTGTATTGTTCCAGCCCCCACAAATAAACATTACAAATCAAGACTTTCATGAGATCGTAATTCACCTAAAATAATCAAATTGACTGAAATAAGGGGCTATAAATGTAGAAAAAGTGTTTATTTGTGTCGATGCCATACTGTACGAAATGAAGACAGAAATATCTTGTACGTCTTGAACGTTATTATAGCCTGAAGATGGTTCGAATTCGGCGCTTTTTTAAATATGTTTGGAGGATAGAGAAAAGACGAGGTAACCGAATTTCGACTATACAAATTAATTTCTACGTCGCCTTACCGTCACACTTACACAACCGATTCCATCTAATTTATATATCGAAATTAACATGGAAATGCAAACATTATCATAGCGGATCATATGTATGATACTATGATGTCATAATTAATATCAAGAGTCAACATTCACTTAGGGTCAGGCACTCCCTGTCTGAACATTACGTTTTTTGTCATCTGATATTGTCTCACAACATTCCATTCAACATTATCTGCGACCAAAGTCCACATCCCTGAATTGGGTTGATGCCGGAAAGGAGTTTTTTACAACACGGGATAAAAGTGTACCTTATATTTGAACCATCGCAAATGCCTAAGACTAAAACAACTATGGGTACCATGGGGCTATAGGGGAAAGGGGGCTGCCACATAGATTCTAGGCAGATTGGTAATGATCCTAGAATCTTGCAAGTAAACTCTTAGGCTCACGTCTGGACAATGCGCCATGCGTCTCATACGAGGTTTATAAGTTAAGTGATGAGACTGGTAACGTAGCGTTCGAGGCGCCGGGCTTCAGACTCGGACAAAGTGGAACAGAAACTCTTGCTAAATAGGCCTACGGAGATACTTGTCAAGAGCCCAGGTTTTTCGGTGGTTTAGATATTTTCAGAAGGGAGAGTCGATTGAAGATGAACCACGAAGCGGAAGGACTACATCTTCAACAACCGATGATCATATCGACAGAATCCGCAATCTTATGCATTCAGATCGTCGGTTGACAGTCGGCATGATCGGGGAAGAATTAAATTTGACTCACCACCGTTCATCAGAACAAGAACAACTGGGTGTTGCATCACCATAATGCTCCTTGTCACATAGCATTGTCAATAAACGAGCTTTTGGCCAGTAATAGACTATGATTGTTATATGAAACAATATTTGTTAATTTTATCTCTTGCTGGCCGCTCTCACTTTTAGCTGATACGTCATAGCTGACTTTGTAATATTATGGATAGGAGGTCACACAATCTGCACCAAACGAAACAACTGTTATTATAAGCACAAAATTTATTAAGCCAAAATATGAACCAACCGTAAATACAAATCAACAGCAACCAGTAAATTAAAACAACAATATATATTCATAATTCATAATATAACATTCTTCTTGAAAATGAATAAACATATATCTATAAAACAATCTGTCGGAGTAGACTCTGCTTATTCTAAATAAGAAATAACAAGTGTATCCAGTTAATAATTTGACTTATAATTATTTACATTTTTCATCATACTGCAATCACAAAAATGAAAGCTTTCACTTTCTACATACTTGGAATCATGTTTTCTATTGAGAGGCACTTATATCAAATTCAGCTCTCACTACTTTGACTTTGGTATCCCCAAAAATTACTCAAAGAACTCAGCAGTATTAATATGATAATTTAAAAAATTATACAGAGTGAGCTTCTTAAAATGAACTACTTTCATAAGATAAAACAAGTGCATTAAAACTACTAAAATGTGTAATTGACGTAGTGAGTTGAAAAAACTGAATTTTCAGAAATATTTTGCTTTCAAATTAAGCATTTGTCGAAAGTTTTTTTTATTGAATACAAATAAGTTGTTCGGCCGAAAAAGAATGTTTCACTTTTTACATACAACAGTGCAAAAACTGCTAAACAGACTGTACTGGCGCGACTACAAGTTGGTATTCTTTATTATGACAAAATGAAAAATGAACTAACACTTTTAAAAATTCACTTTGTGCATCCTGAAATTATGGATTAGTACGGAAACAGCAAACAGCAAACAGTTTATAAAATCCTATTTTCATATTTTGAGTTTATGTAGAAAAGTTTAATATTCTAGCACTAAATAGGGACATTTACTCGTTTCGCAATAGCTTGTGTAAAGACAGGCAAAACACCCTGTCATGCACAAAGATATATATACAACCACCTCAAAAAATGTATATTCATGCATTGAGCATAGTTCAAAAGAACTACATTCACTCAATCAAGTTTGATTCTCGTTTCTCAAGTGAGAAATGGCTAGTAATATACCCAATCTAAGTACAAAATATTAATCCCAGTATAAGACTATACCCTGCATCACTTAGATTGTTCAAAGTGAATTGTACTGATTTCCTACAAAAGATTTCATTCTACTAAATGTGACCATTTGTGGTATCAGGTACCCTTTCATAGAACCTTCTTCGTTTTTCATCTATCTTTGTCAAGTAGTACGTACCTGGGAAGAAATGCTCGATACAACCTACTGGAGTATATGGGGCTTTATGAGCAATTTCTTGTTTTAATTCTAGCGCAGCCTCAAATTTGTGAGGTTGTACTTTCTGTCTTGAATTCAACAAACATTTAATTTGACTAAGATTCGCAGCTATTTTTTGTAGGCTTTCGGTATCTTTACCGACGGTTATTGAAAACATGGAAGACACAAAGCCTGAGCCATATGAAAACGCCAAAATTTTATGACCTGCTAATTCAGAAATGTTCTTGCTTATAAGTAGAGATGCCAGACACCCATAGACACTAGGAGTATACATGTTGCCGATTTGACTTGACATAAACAAAGATGGTTTCGTTTTAGCAACGAAAGTTTCTTGGCTATGAGTCAAAAAGGCTTTTTCTACATCTCTATCAAAATACGAATCTTCTAATTTGACGTTAGTAAATTGTTCGAGACCAGGAAATTTCTGCGACCTGAGTTCTTTAGGCGTAAGTAAGTAATCATTGAGATCCAATCGAGCAAGTGATTTTTGAACTAGTTTACCATAAGGAGAATGGAAAATAACCGCATGAAAATCGTTCAGATCCACGTTCTTTCCTAGTCTCTTAGCGACGTTCTTACGATAAGATTGATAGCAATTGTCTACAGCACTAAGATAACATTGGACACTCAACTTGCCGTCAAAAGCCGGGAACTCTGACGACAAGTCTGGCTTGTAGAAATCGTAAGCGTGCTTAACATAGGTCGATCGGATTCCTCTGTCGAATACCAGAGGAGCATTGGGGCCAATGAGCATGGCTACTGCTCCAGCTCCGCCAGTTGGCCTGGCTGGGCCTTTGGCGTAGACTGCTATGTCTGCAGCAACTGCCAAGGCATACCTGTGATTCCAAAAGATTTGGTAATGATTTCATATCTCATAGCAATAGGGAATATGCATGTTTTTTTTGTATTCACTTCCCATTTCATTTACGTTACTATACGAGTAGTACCGTAAACATATATTCCATTCATGAAAATAATCAAATTCAAGCGAATAACCAAAATTTCTGTATTATGTACTGCGGTTAAAATATGCTTTAAGATGTCATACGGGGTGGTGACGTCAGCTACTCGAATCACTTGAACGCGTTTGTTTCAACCGCGGTTTTGTTGCAAGTTGTTTATTTCAGAAAAGCGCGTATATAATTTCTGATTATTTTTATTATCATTTAATAATCGGTGCTTCTTCATCTACAACAGTGTATGGAAAGTTTAATAACGAAACCTTTCATAATATTAATGGGAGAAATGTTTTTTTTTTCAGAAAATAATTTTTAATGATGGAACGATGGCCAATGGTTTTCTAGCTATGATAACTTTCAAGTCTCTAAACTTTTCCGCATGTCAAAGAGAACATTTATTGTTTTAGCAGAAATGATAGGAAAAAGCGATAAAAAAAGATATTGTCTAAACTGTGGTGGACATTATCCAGTAAATTTATAAGGCCGTATTTTAATATTCTTGTGGTATATGACTACACAGGATACTTTGTTAAGCATAGGAACTAGATTTAAAGTGTCCCCAACAGCAGTAATGAGTAAACTAATACTTGCGTGCTGCAACTGAAAACAGCCTGTATCAAGTTTCGCAAAAATGAAGCTGAAGTACACAAAAATTCTAACTTGTCATATTTCAAATAATAACCAGAAATATAAAACTACTCCTGAGTTGGGTAAATACCACAATTTTGCGGTGATAACTATGACATATAACATCTGATTCAGGACGTCACGGATCTTATAACCAAACTGACAACCACACTCGCATATATGCATCGGAAATACCAATCCAAAATGGTAAATACCATTTTCATTTGGTTATTCGCTTGAATTTGATTAATGACTACATTTATTTTAAATTGAATATTTAAAATTGCAATGTTCAAAACTCCGCTTTTTTGGAGCGCTTCGCTGTGACGTCATAACTTATGGTATGTCATTTGGTTGTAAACTGGGTTAGGATACTGTCGAATTTTTGACATACGGTATTTTTCACGACTATCCATTATACAGCTAATTATCTAGTGATATTTCAAAACTCCCCTATCGACAAATGATACATAATTCTGTGGGATCCGTCAACGCCTGTAGACACATCCGTACTTTGATGTGTTTTTTTGTATGCCACAGATTCATTTTGTAATTGCTACCAACTCTTTTATTCAGAAAACTTGTACAACTATTGCAGGAAGTCATGAAGTGTACTCAACTAGAACAATGCATGTTCGTGATTGTGAACTATTCAATTTGCTGGTTGATGTAATGTGCAAGATCAATTCCGTTTACATCAGGGTTGTTCAAACAAGCTGTATTCATTACAAATTTTTATAAAAGGTTCTGCACATACTTAACCTTTATTTGAACTATGTTACAGTGATGACAGATAATTAGTTAAAGAAACACATATCTATGTTATTTTTACAGTTAAAATAAAGCTACTTCAAACGACAATGCAGCCTGTTCTATTGGTTTACCTTGTAATTAATAAAAAAAAACATTTTTTCTGTTCTTTGTACATGTTATTGTCAAAATTCCCAATCACTTTAAAGTATAATCCATATATGTGAACAACAGTCTGAATATGGTCCTGAAATTCATTATTATCAACATTACAGACTAATACAAAGATGACGCTTTTGTGATCAGCTGTTCATCTCAGTAGACGTCAAACCGTAATGAATAGTCGTGAAAAATACATTACCATCAATTTATAATCATTTATAGGTTATACATTGTTTTTATTACTAGAAACTAGATTCAAAAGCTCGAACATAAATTGACAGGATGACAATAAATGACAGTGAGAACAAAAGCCTGCCACTTTGAATCGAACTGACAAATCAATAAAGGGTTGGCGCCAACAGTCGCAAATGGTGACTTCATGTCAATAGTGTTGAATTTCGACATTTTCCATTCTATTTTTTTATTCATTAATACTCGTAATTTTATAGCGCTTAAATATAGAAAAAGTTTAGAGGTGTCATTTTCAATAAATACTGAATAAAAATAACTAAGTGATATTGGAATCACACAGATATTTCCTATCATGGCAATAACATACTATGGATTCTTATGTAAGAGAGAAAACAAGAACTTTCTAAACTAAATGCAATTATTTTTGCTTCATATTTATAAGATAAATTGAGAATTTTCAATATTTTTTAAATGCAAATTAAATGTTGCCTTTAGATGTCTATCTATAGTGGGACTTGACATCATGGTTCTCAAAAAATGTTTCTCAATAGTTCAGAAGGGGAACATTTAGGTACCAGATTTCACTAGAAAAGCATTTGCTGTCAAGTTGACAAGATTACAAATGCACATGTTTGGATTATCAGGAAATCTTAAAATATTACCCATCATTATGCAAAATCTCCATTTTCGTCTCCTGTTATTAAAAGTTGATGAAACTTTGTACACTTGTCTAATTCAGATTACTTAATTCGACTATGACCATTAAAATATCGTGGAGTGTATCGGGACCGATTTAGAGACAAAATTGGTCTTTTAGAACCAACCCCTTGTAGCTCCTATCAAAGTGACGTTAAATTCGGAATACCCCCGAGTTAAGCCATCATCTCATTGGAAACCTTAAATTAATATGAGACTCTGGTGGACAAACATTAAATTTCTGTCTCCAATTGTTAGATGTGAGGGAAACCTGGTGTAATTAGGAAATTAGGGGCATTAAATTTGATTATGGCCATCAACAGATGACGAAGTGTCATAGTACCGAATTTGCGGTAGAATATTGATCACTTTGGCATAGGTCCTGATAAAAAACTATATACATATCAGATCTGGAATCTAAGCACAGATTTACCCAAGAAATGAGCATTTGGCTAGATTACTGATACACAAGAGGTTTTCAAATAAAAAAGTAGAAAAGGTGCATTGATGTAACTTGAAAAAAAACATAATAGGTTATTATAAGAAGGTACGTCACATGGTACAAAACTTTTAGTTATATTTTGGTCCAATACTATTTACCTAAATGTTATGCTGACTACTGAAAGTATTACGTGATTTATTTGAGAGAAAAAGCAGAAGGAAAATGATGACTGTGTGAGTACTTTTTGTAAACTCAAGTATATAAAAATGTATAATTAACTTGATCATTTACAATTTATCTAAAGTACATGATGGCAATATAATCTATACAAAAAAGAAACAACAAATAAAATAGTTGACATTGGAAGTCAAGTGGAACAATAGACAACTTCCTATGAAATGAGATATTTCAGAAGTAAGCTGACAGACAAGGACATGTTGTTATATTTAAAAATGAAGAAAATATATTTTGAATTATGACAAAGAATGTAAATAAATTAAGTATTATCAAAAAGCATAACAATTACTTGTAAAGGATATTTTTTTATTTATTTGATTTATCTGGTATTTTACTGATTTTAACATCATGTAACATTCAGGGAAAATATGTGTTCAATATTGAAATCCACAATTATTTAAAAAAGCAAGTGTTTATCCATTAAGTTCCATATTATGTGATATTTGTTGATAAATATGAAGACAAATATTTGAGATAAATGTTATTAATAACTAATATAAAATAAGGAAAATGTTTAAGAAATAAGTTTTCAATATAATACCATAAAATTCTAATAGTACTTTAAATAAGAATCATTAACAATGTAAAAAAATACTTTAAAACTTAGAGGAGACCTGTGGGCTTCTGCTATACAAATTTTGGATGTTATCATTAGTTTTAGTAATTTGCAGTATTTGAGTTACTGCTTATTTTATATTAGTATTCATATTAGTTTCTTTCAGTAAAGGATTTATTTGACAAGTTTTGATCCATATAATCATGATTTGTGAAATACATGATCAAACTACTGTACTAGTATTCTACATACCTTCCATTCCAATTTGAAGACTCCACCCAGGCAATAGAGTTGAACAGAGCTGCTGTACCCCCATAACAAGCATTTGTCGAATCGACCCCTTCCAAATCAGTGACTCCATGAGGCTCAAACAGCTGCATTAAGACACTCTTCACACTTTTGGACTTATCCAGGATAGTCTCAGTGCCCACCTCCAGTCTTCCAATTTCTTCATGTCTAATGTTATTCTTCTCCAGGAGCTTTTGAACCACAGTTAGGCAAAGAGAGTGTACGTCCTCTCTGTCGTTACAAAAGCCCATTTTCTGCTGGCCAAGCCCCATGGTGTATTTACCAGGTGCGACTCCATCGAAGGTTTCAAGCTCTGTTTGGTCGACGTATTGGGCAGGGAATATCAATTCCATAGCCAGGATACCGACGTTCTCTGGCCAGCAAGAACTCATTGTTGTCGAGTGCGACTTGACTAGGCAAAACTGAAAAGAATACTGAGCGGCCGTCCGAAGACGTGGAAGCGTTAAATAATTTCACCTTTCCGCCACCACTCGCCGCGCATTTAAATTTGTATTCGTAACATTTTTAACGGTTCAAGCAGGATTTCATTTCAAGACTACAATCATCACATAACCCACATTTTTAAGTACATGCTGTGTTGCCACATCTTACAATGACCTTCATGTGTACTTCTTCTATACAAATCCAAGTATATTCTAAACTCATAAAACCCTTAATAATGTATCATCTGTTTGAAATATCGAAAGTATGTTGTCCAAACATCTGTTTTTAACAGAAAGTGACTACATTATTATTTAGCTGCTGATACACATGGCAATGCTGCAAATCACATAAGTATTTAACAGGGGGACAGAGGAGGTTAAGTTGATCCGTCATTTTAATTTCTTGTTGCCAGATTTTTCTCTGTAATGATTATTTACGTAATTTACAGGATTTGTTTGAGTCCTCCGTGGGTTCTAATGTCTATCCAAAACAATAACAGGCGCGTATCAGAACGTGATCAGCACGTTTACATATTTTAAGAAACGGGAAGTATAACTGTTTGTAGCGGGCCAAGGTTGCGTGAATTATTAACTAACCAAGCCGGTACCGAATCCCTCAGAATGTAAAATTTCTCCACTCAAAGTTAATTTAAAGATAATATGCCTATTAAATATAGTTCCAGATTCAACTCAGGAAGCTTGGAAAGGAGATGAGGGTAGCCAAGACCCTTCAATAATTACAGCGCTCTGTGCCGACCCTGCAAGATTATGGGATTGAGACTATAATCAAATTCAAGCGGATAACCAAATGGAAATAGTATTTACCATTTTGGGTTGGTATTTACCGATCCGTTCAAGCGAGTGTAGTTATCAGTTTGGTTATAAGATCCGTGACGTCACGAATCAGCTGTTATATGTCATAGTTATCACCGCAAAATTGTGGTATTTACCCAACTCAAGAGTAGTTTTATATTTCTGGTTATTATTTGAAATGTGACAAGTTAGAATTTTGCCGGGTATTGGATATTGTTATTGTACTTCAGCTTCATTTTTGAGAAAAATGATACAGGCTGACTTCAGTTTTACCATAAAGTGGAGCACCTTATTAGTTATACTCATTACGGTTGTTGGGGACACTTTAAATGTAGTTCCTATGCTTAACAAAGTATCCTTTGTAGCCATATACCACAAGAATATTAAAATATGGCCATATAAAGTCACTAGATGATATCCACCTGTATACGGTGTTGCTAATTTCTTTTTTCATCATTTCTGCTGAATCAATAAATGTTTTCTTTGACATGCGGAAAAATTTAGAGAATTGAAAGTTATCATAGCTACAAAGCCATGGTTCCATCATTAAAAAAAAATCTGAAAGAAACATTTCTCCCATGAATATTATGAAAGGTTTCTTATTTAAACCTTCCATACACAGTTGTAGACGAAAAAGCCCCGATTATAAGTGATAATAAAAATAATCAGACATTATATACGCGCTTTTCTAAAATAAACAACTTGCAACAAAACCGCGGTTAAAACCAACGCGTTCAAGCGATTCGTGTAACTGACGTCATCAACCCGTGTGTCACCTTGAACCATATTATAACCGCGGCACATAACACAGAAATTTTGGTTATTCGCTTGGATTTGATTTATGTCTGTACGCCCAAATCACCTTCGGTGACAGTCAACCTCCAACCTGGCAATGTCTCGGCAAAATGGTGAACTACGCCGCCCGACCCGGAGAGGGACGTTCCGGATCGCTATGCTCAAGTTTGAAACCCACGTCTCGTTCAGTTATATGTCGGCTTCGGGATTACACTGAGAGCAGCTCACTTTTGGTGAATATATAGAGAAATGCCTCTAGATGTCCATTCTCCTACTTGTGCTGAACTTGTTAGTCGCACGGTATGTATTCACCAATTAGCGTCGAGCTGCCTGGTCTCCCTCTTACGTTACCAAAAATCCATAGTATAATGGCAAAAAAACCTAGAAAATGTCATCTTGTTGACGAAGTAGGCCAGTTTGTAAATAGTTCGTGTCGCGCTTGCTACAAGTAAGCATGAAGTGAATGGCAGCTAGTTACAAGTTGACGTCTTGTTGGAAAACCTACATGATGTCATAAGAAACCTACACAATGTCAAAAAAAAGCAATAAACTGTCACTGTTCAAGGTACGTAATGACTCTGCTGGAAGGTTGAGGTTGAGGTTTGGGCTTAATTTTTTCTCCGATAAATGAACTATACGTATAGTGTCAAATTGACTACGGATTCGGAATCTACACCCCCGATTTACCCAAGGACATGAGGATTCGCTCAGATCTCAGATACGCAGGGTTTTTTTAAACTTCTACAATAGGAAGAACCTGAAAATATGGTATACTTCGGTAATTTGGCGCTCTCAACACGATCTTGAATTAGTTGGAATCTATCGGGCTGCTGAAATTGAGGTTGGAAAGTGCTTAGCTAGCAGGGGCAGATTTAAACGCCGTTCATAGGGCCGCTGAGTAAAGAGAGTAGCGATAGTAATGGTGGTGGGGAGGCAGGACCAGGCAACTAGGCCAATTTGATTCAGGCCCGTATCGTCAGTCGTTCCTATAATAATTGTAGGACGCCTTTATGGCCTCCTTGATTTTCATAGTATTTTCTCTCTTTCAGAAAGGTTTGAAAATTTTTTGCTGACCCCGTAGTAACAACTTTGTTCCACCCCACGTTCCATCTACTGCTAACCGATTAATCAATCAAATCAACTAGCTTCAGCACTGCAATATGTTGATCTTGGACAAAAAATCAAAGTATGGAATCTCAACTATGACTTGACAACGCCGCAACAAAAAAGTAGTTTCTGTTCTGTCCACTGTTCTGTCAGTTTATTTATCCCATTACCCTTGTCTAGATACAAGTTTGTTTTGTGGTCCCAAACTCCCAAATAAGTCAGTACTGTCAGTAGTTTTAGTTATTGGGTTTTTGATATTTTGGTAAATTTCGGATTTGCATTGCCTTGCAGGTTTTCGTAAAGTTTGGCTTCATGTATGGGACATCCTGCTGTCTCCAAAACTATAATGTGTTTAGATAAAAATAGAGCAGTATCCTAGTATTTGTGTCTTTTGAATGTCATCAAGTCATACAAAACACCTGCAAGATGAATGAAAACGAGGTAGAAGCAACTCACGTTACCGATGGTTCGACTGGGTCTTCAAACAAGGATATATCAGAAACTGGAAGTACACCAAACCCTAAAACTTCTGAAAATGGAGCTGAATGTTTGCATTGTCAAGATAAGCTGGAGAAGGAAGAGATGGATGAAATCATTGATACAGAGTTTCCAAAAAAGGCTGAAAGTCTTTCTGAAGTTCATTTGAAGACGGATACTGATCACTCACAAAATCCTTCAGAGTCTAAGAATAACAGTATTTCAATTTCTAAGGATGATGAACACATGATAAAATTTAAGCAAAATGATCATAAACAAAGGCACACGTCTGATAAACATATTTCTGAGCCTTTCAGTAAAGAAAATGAGATTAGGGATTTAAGGGATGACGATATTTTTTTTGAAACACTTAAGATGAGTCGTGTTCTTGAGGACAGACTTACAGAAATACCTGGTGCCTTAGAGTATATTAAAAAACTACACCATTTAATTGATAAACATATAAAGAAGATACGAAAATTAAGGAAGAAACTCAATGAACAAACAACAAAGAATTGTAAAGACTCTTTTACACAAACCGATGTAGAACATCCAGTTTTGGCAGTATCTGTATCAGAGGTTGCAGAAAAAGAAGTGAAAATCGAAGTTGAATCAAAACCAAAAAGCTTAGCAGAAGATATTGCTGAAGCTGCTGAAATGGCCGTTCAGAATTCTGGATTTGTTTATGAAGAAACATCTGGAATGTATTATGATTATAATACTGGATATTACTATAATGCAGTAAGTATTCAAGTTCAGAGAGTTGAGTAACACTTAGTACTTAGAGAGGCACTACTAGTATTTTGTTTAATATATCATATTGATGTTAGGGGGCATAGCCAAAATTGAGACAATTTTTATCATACTGAAATGGATGCTAAGTTGTCATTATGTATACAAAACTAATAATTAAGCAATAAAAAAGCCTCAATTAGGTACTGCATGTTGTGTTTCTGATATACTAACTTGTGAAATATTGTGCCTGATTTTTTTTGTGGCAATAGCATATACAAAATAATGCAAATATTCTTGAAATTAGAAAAACCCACCAAAGTTGTTCAAAACATAAATGAATGAAATACTTATATATTTAAAATTGTAGTCTGATCACACAAAGCACATGTAATATACCCTAGCCATTCCATATCAATGTTGAGAAATAATCTAGAGTAGGTTAAACAAGATGCTTTCATCCGTCTGACCAAGAAAAGAAGACCGCCAACCCTGGCCAGCTGTTTTGTGCTTCTTAGCGACTCATCAGCATAGCTATTAAATGGGAACTGCGATCCATGACAGTTCCAACTAGTAGTAGTGTTGCATGAACCTCAATGGTTCGATTCTGATGCGATAGATGGTGCTTTGTGCTATCTCATGCTGATAAACTGTACCTCCAGTATAGATTATCATTGTGATGCTTTCGTTTGTTCATCCAGAGATAAGAGACCAAATCTATACCATGCTGATGAGTAGCTAAGAATCACGAACAGCTATTCTATGGTTGGCTGTCTTCTTTTCTTGGTTGGACGGATGAAAGCATCTTGTTTAGCCTGTTCAGTGGCAAGTAGAAGCCAATCTAGAGTAGATTTGGACTTCAATAAGATATAATAAACAGAAATTCTTCGTAGATAGGAACATTCTTTGAAGTTACTCCTAGTTATACCTAAGGGTAGGGTACTTTCTGTTGATGTTAAATGATTATAATAATTTCTGTAATATCATGCTAGAAAAAACCTTTTCTAGATGTTAAAATTCCTATAATGTGTTAATTTCCTGTTAAGCACATAAAATGTAATTCTTTCAGACATATATTTCTCTGATGTTTGTTTTATTGTTTTCTCCTGTGACTCCATGCCTGCTTCAATGCTTTTTAAAGTTGAAGAATGAAAAATCATGAGAGTTGGTAGAGGTGGTGGATCAGCATCTTGCATCAAAATCCATTTCTTTTGCATCCTCAGTTGTGTCTTATTCTCTGCATATTTTAGAATTATGTACATATACTGTTGGTCCTAACCTAATATCATCCAGCTATGATGTTTTCAGTAAATTTACTTTTTTCTAATTATGAAGATTATATTGATCTTTTGTAGGAATATGGATTATACTATGATGGATCTACAGGCACGTACATGAACTACAATCAAGATACACAGTCATATGAGTTTCACTCCCAAGTATGTGTAGCTGATAATCGACAACCTGAAAAGAAAACCAATCACCAAAAACGTAAAAACAAAGGAAAGACTGCAAAAGTATGTCCTAGTATTGAACATTGACATGTATTCCAAAATCACCATGCTGCAAGACATAAGATGCATGCTTAAATACTTATATGCTTAGATTTACTAGTGCTGACCTTGGGAATGACTCTGTTCCTGATGTTGAAGGACATTTTCTTGAAGAATGAAGTCAGAATTTAACATTAGTTGATTGAAACACATTTTCATGTTAAATTTCTCAACTTGACTGTCAATTGTCCTTGAGTCAATGTCTAAACTCTAAGCTCATCACCTACTGGCTTTTATAATCCCAATTTTTTTTCTAAGGCATTCTTGAAATAAGATCTATTCAAGGTTATAAACCTATAAGAAATAACCTTGAGTTTTGACCTCAGACTTGAAATCAATCATGTAGGTTGTATATGATTGTAAACTTGCCCACTCATTATCTTATATTCAAGACAGAATCAGTTATTCTCTTGGAAAGCTTGATACATTTTTTATGATCCAGATTTTGATATTAATACTGGTTTGTTTGTTCTGTTTCAGGTAAATCCAATCAGTTGTGACTTGAGCTCCTTAGAGCAGTCCTTCAGTAGATTGAGACTACATACTCTACGCTCAACCGCGTTGGGTACGTATGCACTCAGTAACACGTTGTATTATTTGTAGGAACAATCAAAGAGGAAGTGCAAAGAGAACCAAGAGGGATCTGGGGAAGACGATGTTGAAGAAGGAGAGTGTTCTGACAGCAGTGCGAGTTCTGATATGGATGATGCGTCGTCTGAGCATGAATCTGATTCTAGTGGTAGTTACCTCAGGTTGATAGTTGAGATGTTTGATAGAGTAAAGGATTGTTTTATCATTTCATGTAGGCTAATACCAAAATTGTATTTTTTTTTTAATTTGCACGGCACTGGTGAGGATTATTGTAATCGCGAAAAATTGAGAAATTATGATTTATAGATTTATTGTCTATGAATGGAATTTTTAACACAAGCCGAATAAGCTGTAGTTTTTAAAATCGATTTGATGGCGGTGAAAATACAGGAAAAAAGACAAAATCAGAATCGCACAAATGTGGTTTTCATTATTTCGAATGATACAGAATTATTTTCAACACTCGCATCTGTGGGTATCCCTGCGTCGCGCGTCGGGGTCTGACCGATGGGTGGCTGGCGAGTGACGACTCTAGACATAGCAGTTTTTTTTGCCAGATGGTCGGTACTGCCTGCAGGGCAAGGGAGAAACCTCTAGATTGCACAGTTGTCAAATGAGTGGGGATTAGGACTAATTGTATGTTTTGTTGACTTATAAATTTTTTTGTTAAACTCGTACATGTTTGTAGCAAATTTTTTTAAGAGCGGCTAACTTGCGTTAAACATAATCCTGTATGAAATGATGGCAGTGTTACATGGAAGATGCAGAGTCAACCTATTTGACGCAATTTTTTTATTCAACACTTTTAGTTTATATTCCTACCGTTCCTCAAACTAGTTACAGCCTGTAAATTCTGAAATTTTGACGTGCCTGTAATGCCTGGGGTCTTTTCAAACTTTTTATCGGAATAATGAAGCATATATGATGTTACATAACGTCTAAAAAGGGTTTTCTACTCTGTCTGAAATTTAAAATTGAATAAAACAAGTTGTGTGCGACATATGGTGGAAACTTTAATTGCGTCTTAAAGTACATTCAATACCATTACATTGTAAAAATTACATCATTCAAATGGCATCCGCGCCTTCGTTTTCAGTACTCGATCCGAGAGGTCCAATTTTGTAAAACTCTGCCGCATAACTCAGGCTGGATCTCACCAATAGTTTGAGTGATGTTGTTCTCCAGTTGATGAATTGTTGTTAGTTTGTTGCCATTAACCAGCTACTTAACGAAACCCCAGAGAAAAAAGTCGAAGGACGTTAAGTCACACAATCTTGGCGGCCATTCCACATCGCCTCTTCTGGAAATATCGTGTCCTAGAAACTTTTATTGTAACAACTGCAATGTAGTGGCCGATGTGTGACACATGTTGCGCTGTCTTGTTGGAACCACATGTCTGTCAGGTCCATATCATCCAATTGAGGCCATAAAAAGTCAGTTATCATGGCCCGATACCGGGCGCCGTTGACAGTCACCGTCTCTACATTCTCGTTTCAGACTAAGTTTTTCCGGAGACTTTTGATACTGTTGTGGATTACTGTCTCCCCAAATACGACAATTTTGTTTATTCACGAAGCCGTTTAACAAAAAATGTGCTTCATCAGTGAAAATGATTTTTTTTGCCAAAATCTGGATCCGCTCCCAACTGTTCCAGAGCCCAATCAGCGAAAGTACGATGCCCTTGTCTTTGGGTAAAATTCTCCAAGTCGAGGTCGCAGAAAGGCCAATTGCTTGTGCACGACGCCTAATCGAAAGGTTTGGGTCTTCAGCTACACTTTCGGCAACAGCAACAATATTCTCGCTTGAACGCGCTTTTCTGCGTCTTACAGGAACTGCTCGATCTGCAACCGAACCGTCCTGCTCGAATTTGGCGATAATTCGTTGCATTGCTCGCTCCGCTGGACGATTACTTCGGCCGTAAATATTTCGTATCGCGCGAAAAGTTTGACGAAAAGAACACGAAGTTATATAATATATTTTAGCAATTGCGACGCGAGCTTGCGCAGTGTAGCGCTCCATGGTAAAATGGTGACTATGACTGAACAAAAACATCGAGGAATGATAACCTTGCCACCTGAAACGTCAGAGCAAGATGTTGCCAAATTTCTGGCATAGATATTGAAAAACTCTTTACATACAGCACGTAAAGAAACGTTAGCCGAACTCAAATAACATCAAGAGCTTTTTTGATCCCCGCATTTTTGTTATTCAAACACTAGGTTTCTTTCTAATTCCAAATTATGTAAGATTGATTGACATACTTAAAATAATCCTTTACTTGGCCAAACGACTCTATTGACAAAATCGTGATAATATTCATATATTTATTTACAGAGATAGCAAAAGCAGCACCTTGTATGCGCGTTATAGTGGAAGCGACTGAAGTGCCTTCATTGAAGGTCGGATCACTCTTCATTATCACTCGAGATGGTGGCACTTTAGGAAGAGAAGGGCACCATTCTGTTCTTATACCGGATGTGAACGTTAGCAAACATCATCTCAAGTTTACATATGACCAGACGGATGGATGTTATTATGTTACTGACCTAGGTTAGTTTGATTTCGTATAGGATACGAAATTAGTAATGCAGCACAAAACGCCTTAAATGTATCCATTTTAGGTCCAGAATAGGTTTGAATATCGCCGACGTTAAGCGTACGACTTGAAGGCGTTCATTAAAAAACTTCATTTTAACGACATTGTAACTTCTTCAAGATATCTGGTTCACAATAAGAAATGTCAAACAAACGTTAAACCCTTTCCAAGTACAAAATATGTCTTTATACAGGGTGTTTCAGTTTATTGTTGCATAACTTTAAGATTCGATAGAACATTAATGCATAAACTCTATATAAACATGGGTCGAAAAATGCGTGGCTTCCGAAATTTTCTTTCTAAAATAGGTTTTTTTAAATATTTCGAAGAATATTTGATGTATAACAGTGAAAATTGGTATACAAGGGTTTTTTTGGTACGAAAAAACGAACCATGGGCATAGTTTTACTGTAGCCGCTAGAGGGCGCTCTCTACTGTACCTGGAGTTTATTAAAATGACCGAAAATTCTTTCTTAGTGCAATTTTTTGCTTTTTGAATAAAAAACTGATTCTTCGCACTTTTCAACATAAAAAAGCTCTCTTGTGAATTTTCGTTATAGTTAGCCGTTTTTGAATATTTCGATTTTTAACGTTCGATGCATTTTTAATTATTTATGATAAAATAACGTTAGAAAGTCAGTATCTCGATAATTTTTAGAAGTAGGCTGTGCCTGCAAATATTTTTGAAATTGAAAGCAGAATAAAGATAAACGTCAATTAGTTGACAGTTAGTTTTGTTGTCTGTTGAAACCTGAAACATTTTTTTGCAATTGTGAATGCACGAAATTTAGTTTCTTTTACCTGTTTTTTTTTAAAGTTTTATAAAAATGCCATTTTTATTCTCCAATCAAGACTTAGCGGATATTCATTTTGTGTATGGCTTTGTAAATGGAAACGCAGCAGAAGCAGCCAGAGAATACGCACGAAGATTTCCAAACAGACGACATCCAACTCGCTGAGTGGTTGTAAGAGTGCATCGGCAAATAATTGAAAATGATTTTGGAAATCTCCAAAGGGATCAAAACCTAAATGTTCGTCAGCGCAGATTTACCCGTATGATTCTGCGTAAGTTTGATAGAGATCCGACCACAAGTGTTAGGAGAGTTTCTGGTGCCTTGAGAATTTCAGCAAGCCATGTTCACCGTGTTCTTAGAAACGACCATAGACGTCTTTACCATTTGCAACCTGTGCAAGGACTACAGCCAGGGGACGTAGAACGAAGAATCACATTTTGTCAGTGGATTCTTGATAGAACTGATAATAATAGGGAGTTTTTAAATAACGTTTTATGGACCGATGAGTCATGCTTCACTAGACGTGGAGTGGTAAATTTTCATAATCAACATATTTGGTCGCATGAAAATCCGCATGCAGTTCGGGAAAGAAATTTTCAGCATGAATTTAGTGTGAACGTGTGGATTAGTATCTACCGTAATCGACTATTTGGACCCTACCTTTTGCCTGCAAGGTTAAATGCTGCGACCTTCTTGGAATTTTTAAAGGCTGAACATGCAAATATGTGGGATGATGTTATGTTAGATTTAAGAAGATTGGCCTGGTTCCAGCTTGATGGTTGTCCAGCTCATTATTCGAGAATAGTTAGAAACTGGCTGGACGAAAATTATCCAGAAAGATGGATCGGCCGTGGAGGACCAGTCGCCTGGCCTCCACGATCCCCTGACCTAAATCCATTAGATTTCTTTGTGTGGGGATTTCTAAAAGAAAAATTGTTCCAGACTCCCGTAACCATAAGAGATATGCTAATAGACAGAATCAGGAATGCATGTGATGACATAAGGCCTTATTTGAATAATGCTATACCACGTTCCATCATTCGTAGATGTGAATTGTGTATTGAACAATTGGGTTTACATTTCGAGCAACTACTTTAGATTTTGTATGTTTGTCCTAACTATCCAATAGCATTTCAGTTGTAAATAATTAATTTGTTAAAAATAATATTGGAAAATTAAACAAATTAATATTCTGTTTTTTGTGTTTATTTGGAGTTAGGAATTATTGCTGTGTTTAAAAACACAAGCTAAACGATCATCTTAATTACTTGTAATGCCCAAATCGAAAATTAAAAAAAAAAAATATTATTTTCCCATAAATAATTAAAAATGGATCGAACCTTAAAAATCGAAATATCTCAAAAACGGCTAACTATAACGAAAACTCACAGGAGAGCTTTTTTATGCAGAAAAGTGCGAAGAATTTTATTCAAAAAGCAAAAAATTCCACTAAGAAAAATTTTTCGGTCACTTTAATACTCTACAGGTACAGTAGAGAGCGCCCTCTAGCGGCTACAGTAAAACTATGCCCATGGTTCGTTTTGTCGTACCAAAAAACCCTTGTATACCAATTTTCAAGTTCTATCAAATCTTAAAGTTATGCAACAATAAACTGAAACACCCTGTATATTTCATATTTCAGCTGATTACGGATGTTTTTCGTAGGGAATTTCAATCTATTATATTCAAAATCAAGAACGATATTCATATTCAGAATATATGTGGTTGGCTCTATAGGCGATATCGTTTGTTTCAGGCTCTAGAAACGGAACCTTGCTAAATGGAAAACGGTTGTCGCCATCAAAGCAAGAAAGTGAACTGTCGAAAATTCAACATGGTAGCAAAATCCAGATTGGTTCCACAATTTTACTTTGCCATATTCATGATGGAAGTCAAACATGTGGACACTGCGAACCTGGATTACTCCAAAAACAGAGTAAGTTTTTTGGGACAATTTTTAATAGGGAATATGCACGTGATTCAAATATCGCTTAGTTATTTTTATTTACAGTCTATACAAAGGACACTAATTTATTGACTTTGTTCAAAGTAATCTCCACCACATTCAATACACTTCTCCATCCGCCAGTCCTTAAACCAGCTCTCCCAAGGTTCACCCGGGAGTGCGGCACACAGGTCCTCATCGCTAGAAAACCGTTTTCTTTATAGCTTCATTTTCATATGCGGAAACAGTGCAAAGTCGCAGGGAGCAAGATCTGGACAGTAAATAGGGTGCTCAATAAGTTTTAGTCCAGTAGTTGTCAAATACTCGGTTCAGGCTTTGGCGCGGTGATCTGGAACGTTGTCATGGTGGAGGTACCAAGGGACTTTTTGACCTTCTGGACTTTGGCTGGAGGTATTTCATAGACTATGATTTTAGGCAGGCACTGTTCCGTGTACCACTTAGCTGTGACTGCCTTCTGTGTGTCTAAAAAGACACTCTCCACAATCTTGCTCGATTTGAAAAATACTGTTCTCATTTTTTTTTCAACAGAAAGGGATTTTCTGACAGCTACGGGCGTGTCCTCATCATCAAAGTCCCAAACTTTATTTTGACCCTTGGTCGGCACATCGTAATAATAGAGCGAAGTTTCATCACCTGTCACGCTGCAGTTCACATACCGAGATTGCCCCTTATCAGACATTTTCAGCATCTTTCGGCACCAAGTCGTACGACGAGTCGATGGCTCATCCGTCAGACTATGCGGCACCCTGAGAGAACAATGTTTCCTTTCGTGTAAATGGTCATACAGAATTGAATGAATTGCTGGTGCATAAAGGTGTAATGTCTGTTCCATCTGTTGGTAGGTCACTGTCCTGTCTTCGTCAAGCATGTTTCTCACAGCAGTAATGTTTTCCATTGTTGCTGTCATTCGCGGCCTTCCTTCCCTCTCAGCGTCCTCCATAGTGAAATTCCCCCTTTGGAACCCTCTGTACCACCTGAATATTCGAGCCCCTTCCCACTTCAGTTGGCCCACTTCAAGATTTGTACCAAAATATGCCTTTATAAACTAAACATGACGAAACTATTCTAAACTATTTATTTTCTCAAAAACATTTTAGATACACTCTAGTCGTAAAAATACATATTTGAAATCACTTAGACCTATAACTAATAGAACATCTTTGGGGCATAGTGTTAACCAAGTTTTGGCAAAAATTTGGTGTAAAACAATCCCATATTTCTTGAAGCTTTTGTCTCAGTTCGGTGATTGTACGAGCAGGATGTTGTCGTAGAACCTTTTTCATCTCGTGCCACAAAGTTTCAATAGGTGACAGATCTGGACCAATTTCAAAAGTGGTTCATTATTTTCTTCCATCCATTTTATAGCTTTTTCACCATCTTGCTGAAACACAAAATCTTGGCCGGATGTTAAACATTCTTCCATCACTGGTAAAAGCGATTCTTGTAAAATTGCCGAATATTTGTTTGTATCCACATTTCCATCAATAAAATGAAGTTTTCCTACTCCTTTTGATGACATACTGCCCCAGACCATAATGGATGCTGGACATATCACTTTTTTCTTCAGACAGTCGACATGAAATGCTTCATTTTTTTTTTGCTAATAACTCTACTTGCGACTGTCACCAACACAAACTTCGAAACGGGCCTCATCACTCCATTGTATTGCACACCATTGTTGAGGTGTCCATTGTCTATGTTCTTCAGCCCATCTAAGCCGATTTTTCTTTTGCAGTGGAGTTGATAGTGGCTTTTCTTTGGCCTATAAGCAAGTTGTGCAACTTTAGGGTTTTTACTTCACTTTTTTTATATGAAAACTTACCTACCAGTTTGTGGGCCGCTCTATGAGTTGTGGACATCGAAATTCTCCTTCCAACAGCGTCACTCCACAGAGCACTTAATTGTAAATAATTAGCACGCCTGTTTTTCACGATTATTCTTCTTAATGCTCTTCGGTCGGCATTAGTGATATTACTTTTTTTCACATATCGTGGCTTAATATTAACTGAACCAGTTACGTTATATCTTCTAACAATATTTCTCACACTGTACCGCGATAAGTCTAACAAGTTGCAATTTCTGAGTTTGATTTCCCAGAATTAAAAAATTTAATTATCAGTAACCGAATTTTCTCACTAATAACCTTTTCTCTACCCATTTTGAAAACCTTAACTACCCAAAACTATTTTAAACGTATTCTGACAGCTGTGATTAATAAAAACAATTGTCATGGCTTTTATTTTTCACAGCCACCTATGCGTTATAGACTTATTTTGCATTGACATGAAAATAGGTTGATATGCTGTAATTGCAACATGTGTTATTTTTATGCTGCAAATTTGATTAGAGAGTGATAAAGTTGGTGTTTTCTACTATATATTATCAAAATACTCATTGTTAATATTTTAAACCTATAACACCCTGCTACATTTTTATTATTTGTGTTTGATAAGAAAAAAACTAAGATTCCAATAGTGGGAAGAGGCTCGTAGTCGTACGTTGAGGACAATAATTCTTCAATGCAAGTGTCATTTCTTCTAAGCACTGTTCTATATGCTTAAACCACGCGTAAAGTTATATCGCAAAACTGCCCTTATCTCACTACATGACCACTATGCCATAGTCCCCACTTTACACTGTCAATACGAACGGCTACTATGCACTCATGGACGTGTCTCAACATGCAGCCTCCTGCGTCCGTTTGTTAAGTCATATTGCAAAACTTTTATAGTACCCTTTTTACATTGCTACAGAATGACGTCTTCACCTTTACTTTATACTTGAGCGCTATAAAATTGAAAAATACGCGTTTAATTTAAAATGTTGAAACGCTACGCTATTGACGTGACGTCGATATAGGCGACGTGTGTTGATTGATCAGTCCGATCCTGTCAGTTTGATGTTCCAGATTTTCAATGTAATCTTATTTCGCGGTTTTTAGACGGTAACACGAAAAGTATCGGCATCAATTTTATACACCCTTCTCTCTCGTACATATTCATGTGCTATCTGCCTCTGTGCGCCATTGTTTGTGAGAGCTCCAGACATATGTTCTTTAGTTTCGTCTCGCCACCTCGAGTATTTTCTCACCGAAGTATGAGTATTCCTCAGGGTTGTCATGTTTTAATCAAAATGTTTGAAACAAGTGTTTTAAACACTGTTTAAAACAATGAAGGTGTTTTAAAGCAATTTGATTTAAACTGTTTAAAACATGATTTAAACACTGTTTTTTTGTCGTTTGTGAATGATTCAAGTATTTTATATTTTTTTAAGTACGATTAAAATTGATTTTATTTTGCAAAACGAAACTAAAAGGGCCATAGGCTAAAACACACAGATACTAAAAATATACTTTATTTTTTATTAATTAATCAAACATGTATCTAGGAAACTAATACTAGTGGAGAAAATCTGTTTCTTAACGAACGAGTGAACTTAATAAACTGCATTGAACTCTAATACTAGTACACTACAAGCAGCAGAATAATTGTATGATATAACTATGTATTTACTTGTATAATATTATTAAGTTACTTAACAAATTTCTATAAAAGTATACAATCTATCTTATTTAACAAGAAATTAAAAAATCCTTAAATCCATTTTTAAAATATAAAATCATGGAAAATGTACATAGAATACGTTTTTAGTTTTCACAACTTTTAACGGAACTCCAAGTAGAAAAAAGTAACTTTTTCACAATTCTCCAAGCTACTCAACTTTGAGGAAATAGGTTCGGTAGAAACATCATCATTGTCGGTAGCAGAACTATCTGATATATGAATATTTTGTTTTTCTAACAAACTTACTTGTTTAAGTTGTTTACAATTTTTAATATGCTTGCGTATATTCTAGCCACTAGTGGCACTATATCCATATTGCAGGTTAAACATTTGGCTCTTTTATTTATTTTCGAGCCAGCTTTGGCATCAGTCTCCTTAAAATATTTCCACAAAAAATCACAAAACCTGCAGATTCAAGCGGCCGGATCTTCGACTAAGGAAAGTGTTCGTATGGCGGATCTGTCAAAGCGTTGCCAGATGGGTCGGGCAGAATTTCCTTAGAACAAGCACATAAATCCCTCAGAATTGTTACCTTTTTCAAAAAGAAATCCTCTAATTACAGTTAATCAATGGAAGGGGGTAGGTTTGAATCCAAGAGCGGGGGATGCTTCTTATGCGCGGAACGTGTGATATTTCCCTCTTCAAAAAATTCCTCAACTTTGGGGGAAATGCGCCAACATGGCAACCCTATCAAAGCATCACTGGTACTCCCGTCATCAAGTTTCGGGGTCGTCTTTACAGCACGAACAGCATTGCCGTAGTTTCTCCTGGTATACAGGGTGTCCAATAAGTACCACGACAAACTTAAGAAGAAGGTAGGCTTTGGACTGAACTCCCAAATAACAAAAACTTACCTATATAAAAGTGTCACCGTTTTTGAGATATTGAATTTTTTCTTAAATTTTAAAAAAACGAACCTTTTCATCATATACAAATAAGGTTATACTTTGTTCATTTTTTCTATAAAATACTTTTAGATAGTTCCTTTATCGTATACAAATGCAATGTAGTTACAAGATATTAAGGAACCATGATCAGATAAGGACTATTTTAGGATTTACCCTATGATCAAAAAGTACCGGGAATTTAAGAATAAAACGAAAGCGGTTTAATTTTCAGTCAAATTTATTTTATCGCCTTCAAAATAACATCCATTTGAAGTAACAGACATGTGCCAGCGTTTCACCCACTCGCCCGTGCACCGCTGGTAAGTCGCCAAAGGTACCTTTAGCTCTCTCGTCGCATTCTGCTTGATGTCATCTATGGACTGAAATCTCTTACCCCGAAATGGTAATTTCAGTTTTGGGAAGAGAAAATAGTCGCACGGAGCCATATCAGGTGGATCCGCTTGTTCAATGGAATTTATTTGATGTTTGATCAAATATAATCAGTCACAATTCTGGCCCGGTAAGACTGCGCGTTATCGTCGTGTAAAACCCACGGCTCACAATTCCGGCCGTAGCAGTCTCTTTCAAGCTGGTATGACGATTTCCGAGCACCACTTCCTTCACTTTTTTGACGTTCTCGTCAGTGTTTAAGGTGGATAGGTTAGGTGGCGGAGCTTGGCAAATCCACAATACGAGCAGTTTTAAAGTCTTTATACCATTCGTATGCCTGAGTTTTCGACATTTCAGACTCCCTAAAGGCTATTTGCAACATTGTTAATGCATCAGTGTTAGCAACACAAAATTTCAGATAAACTCTTTACTCAACAAAACGATCCATATCAAAATGCGACAAAAGTTAAAAAGTTGACTGACGTAAACAGATACCAGACAGATACCAATAAGGCACTGGCGCTAAAATATTGACACGTATGTCAGTTCAGATGGTACCATCCTAAAAAAACTAAAAATCACCGTTACAGTCATGTGCAGTTTGCTAAAATTAAAAATTCCCGGTACTTTTTGATCATAGGGTATATAATCTTCTGATAATTTTTCCTCAACTTTGACCATCTGTGGTGAAACAAAAATGTACTGGCTATAACTGCATTATATTGAATAAAAAGATTGCTCATTGAATACAGATTTCAGAAAGGCTTCACACGTACTATTTGGAATAGAAAAAAGTGATAGATGCTTTTGTAAGTGACTGACACGCACTACAATGTACTTATTGGATTTAAATTCAAGTTGCACTGGTTACCGATCAGTGTCATTCTAAATAGTACAAAGGTACATTACCTGCTCCTGATATGATTTTATGAAAGTTGAGGAAACAATATCAGCAGGTTATAAATCCCAAACAGTTCTTATTTTATTCATGGTCCCTTAATATCTTTTAACTAGATTGCATTTGTATATGATAAAGCAACTATCTAGAAGTATTTTACAGAAAAAATGAACAAATTATAACCTTATTTGTACATGCAGCTAAAGACCACAGATGAAAAGGTTCGTTTTTTTGAAATTTAAGAAAAAATTCAATATCTCAAAAACGGCGACACTTTAATAGAGGTAAGTCCAAAGCCTACCTTCCCTTTAAGTACGTCGTGATAGTTATTGGACACCCTGTATAGGCTCCATGCAAACCAATCGAGTGACAAATGATGGGTTATGACGCGATGCGCGCCAAGAATGCAGTGCTTAAATCAAAGTCACTGAGATCGCAGTTTTAAATTTTTGATTAAAAATAATTATAGATATTCCCATGAATAGAATATGTATTTATGGCATTATATTAACATAAATAATCGACAGAAAATAAGAAAAAACATATTCCCTATTGCCTTTTAGTTGATTATTAGTTTTATTATTCTGTAGCATAACAAGCTACAAAATATCCCGCTTGCAATTCCCTTCTTCCACTCTGACAGCTATAAAAGAGGTAATCCATTGACTGCTGGTGGTCCTAATTTTCAATTTTCAATCACATTTCAGATCTTAGCGTAGGTGCGCCAAGAATAATATTCAGATACAATAGAGCTGAGAGGCATAAGAATGAGTTGAAAAGTCTGAAGAAACTATGCGGTATAAAACCGTACAATCAGGATTCCAAACTAGCGGAAGGATATACTGATAGAGCACAGAAACGAAGGGATACAGTGGGAAGTCAAAATCCTCATGAGAAGACTCAGGTTGCTTCAGTGGACGAGTAAGTTTATAATTTTATATTTCTCGAAAAAACTTTGAGCTTCGAAATTCAGTCATTTTGCCACTTGTGTGTATCGCATTTATCAATTACTAACTAAATTAATAATATTATTTTCTATTTATGCACCGTTTCTACTTTTTGCAGATCAATCTCAAAAGAGAATAAAGGATTCAAACTGCTGCAGAAAATGGGCTGGAAGGAGGGAGAGTCACTGGGCAAAGAGAATGAAGGAATAGTTGAACCAGTAAGTAGAGATTCTCCTCTTGGTAGAAAACGAAAGATTTTTTTTTAAAATGGCACATGTTTGTATTAAAAAACCATTCGATTTCTTTTTATTTTTCACAGATAAAAGTTACAGCAAACCAGGGGACGACAGGTATAGGCGCAGAAACATCAACTCTTCCAGGAACAAATGAAAAATCTACTGTTTGGGTCAAGACTCAAGAACGATTTAATAAACTACCAGAAAGCAGAGACATACTTGGATTAGATTCCGATTAGCGTCTTTCATTTTGAATATATAAACTCATCCATTTTGTTATTAGTAATAATTATTATTGTACAATTTATTGTAAAATGTAATTTACTGCCAATGTTAACAACTTGTTACAAAGTAATTTATTTGTTGCAGTCTTAATGATATATTGTAAGGTTTGTGTAAACGTCAAAATGAATTAAAAATGTATTGTTTGTTGAAAGTCATTATTCTATTTCCCTAACCAAAATATCTATTGTACTGGAACATTTTATGTCAAATTCCATGACATACAAATTCCAGTTTTGCATCAGCTCTGCTAGTGATTGTATACAGGGAAAACAAAATTTCTCTGACAGCTTAAGTTCAATGTATATGAGAGAGAACACATGTTAGAAAGAGATAGAAGCTGACCCGGAATCGATCCTAAACAGTTTCGACACAATTCACAATTCAAAAATGTGTACGCTCAAAATAAAACCATTATTTGGGCGTAGAGAATAAAGGAACGCACAATTTGTCAACCTTCGGAATCAACGTGCAGCGTAATTCAAGGAATTGGTGAAACATATTGGCAACGCGGCAGACTGCCGCGTCAGCGTTGCTAGGTAACGAGGTGATGAGCTTCGCTATCTAGCCGGCTTCTATATTTTTCTAACATACAAGGTGTTCATTTGAAAACTTCTCCACACGGATTTATCAAATCCACTTACTAAAAGAAAAAACGCCGAGGCACGTCAAAGGATTTGTCAAGGCAGACAACTTTTTAACCAAAAACTACTTCACCCTCGGTCCGCCAGGGCCACACTTAAAAGTTTTAAATGACAAGGGGTATCGAGTAATAGCTTGTTTAGAGGTGGTTCTGAGTCCTTTATTTTGACGTTTGATTTTTAAAATCAGTCAATTCGTTTTCGAGAAAATTTGAAAAATCTTTATCTTAATTTGTTCAGATAGACAACAAAAACACACGAAAAATTCACTTTTTATTTCAGTAAGTGTTCAAAATGATGCCCGTTAGGGTTTTCCAAATCAACTAGGAAGATTAGACGTGACACCAACCAAATAACAACCCGATTTTTTTCCGCATTCTATCAACAACACAAATATCCTGGGCGAACTGTTTATTGTGACACCTGTTTAGTTACGCGTTGCGAAGAGAAAGAAATAATTTAATTTGCTGTCAGTTACCTTTGTGACAATTTTGGGCTAGTGAAAATTAATTTAGTGATTCATATTTTACTTTCAAAATGGCTTATACACTAGCCGAAAGAGTAGAAATGCCCAAAATCAATGTGTTCGGCAAACTGCCGCCACGTTTAACGCCAGACATCCGGGGAAGACTTTGCTTAGGTATGTTTTGGACTTTGTTACTAAATTTACTCAAACTGGATCTGTTGCAAATAAAAAAACGTGATCATCAGAGAGTTAAGAATGAAGCCGCTCAAGTTGAAGTTTTGGGTCATTTTGGAATAAATCCTTCGTTATGCAAAATTGTTGCTGCGACTGGTATTTCATTAGGTTCTGAACACACAGTTACTAAACTCCATAAATTTCATCCATTCAAAATGAAAATATTGCAAGAGTTAACCGAAGATGATTTTGATAGGCGAGTTGAGTTTTGTGAACAAATGACGCAATACCATTCATGTAAAGAATATCTGTTTCAATGATGAATGCACATTTTATCTAAATGTATTTATGGATTTATTAATAAGCATAACTGCAGGTATTGGAGCAATGAAAATCCTCATGCTTTTGTAGAAGGGCATACCCAGTACCCCCAATAAATTAATGTATGGGCAGGCATTTCAGGAAACAAACGTGATTGGGCCATTGTTTATTCATGAAAATTCGCATGGAGACATTTATTTGAATATGTTGGAAAATATCATCAAACCGCTTATCACTGAAACCATTGAAAACCAAATCGAGGAAGATATAAACCCTGTACTTGATGTGGCTGAAATATATTTCCAGCAAGACGGCGTTCCTCTCACTATGTTCTTCCGGTTCGGTAACGGCTAAACGACGAGTTTCCAGATAAATGGAAAGGGCGAAAAGGGCCTATAGTAGAATGGGCTGCTAGATATCCTGATTTGGCGCCATTAGACTTTTTTCTATGGGGTCATTTCAAATCTATTATGTTTACTCCCCAACCTGAAAGATTTGATAAACTTCGTCAACCAATCATCGAAAGCTGCCATGATATCCCACAAAAATATTTTTGAAAATGTCCGTCAGGAATTTGAACATTCCCTATATCATTGTTTGGCCAATAACGGGCAATATTTTGAACACTTATTGGAGTAAAAAGTGATATTTTCGGGTATTTTTTTTATCTGAATACATCAAGATAAATAAAGATTTTTCTAGTTTTCTTGAAATTTTAAAAATCAAACGTCAAAATAAAGGAATTCGAAAGTCCTTTCAAACAAGCTATTACTCGATATTCCTGGTCATTTAAAAGTTTTAAGGGGAAGACCCTGGGGGGCAGAGGGTGAAAGGGGGTGAAGTAGTTTTCGGTTAAGAAGTTGTCCCCCTTGACAATTCTTTTGTCATGTCTCGGCGTTTTTTCTTTTAATCAGTGGTGTTCGAAAAATCCGTGCTGGCAGCTTTTCAAATGAACACCCTGTATGTGTTTATACACACTTCTCTCTCATACACATTGAACTCAAGCCGTTAGACAAATTTGGTTCGCAGTGTATGCTTTATGTTGTATACTTGTTTATTTTGGACATTCTAAGAAATCAGTAGATTTTCATTATCTATGGACGTAGCGAAAAAAATTGGAATAGGAAGCTAGAAATCAGAAAGTTCTTACTCTTCTTATTTCAAGCTGTCCTTTAATTATTGATACGAATTTTGTGTGCGCCTACAACAACAACGACCTACAAGTACTTCAGAGAAAACGTTCATGTTCAATGCGTGGGGGAGTTACTAAGTTAATCTACTTGACACCGTTTCTTACAGCTTCATGTTATGTGAATAAAGATCAGTATGAAAGAAAATATATAAATATTTGAATATTCAGGTATTATAGTGTTTTCGTTGTTATAAATGATAGGCCGTAATCACAAGGGCGCATTCCTGACTCAAGTTAAAGCAGAAATTTAATAATAAACATTTGCTCTAAAAAGTGTCGTTTGGAAAACACAGGGTGTCGAAGTTTAAAAAAAAATGGTTCTTGAAACATCTCTTCTGTCGGTTTTGTTGACATTTTTGCAGTGTAACTAACAGTAATATAAGATACTGAAGTTAGCACTAACTATAAGCTAATTCAGAATTCCAGTGGCGCCTTGGGGGTAGCCTCACGTATAATATTATATACATCAACGACTTAAATAAAATATGCTTTTTTCGGATTAAGCAACTAATTATACAACTTTTTTTTTGTTTCTCGATATCTGGCATGGCTATATATACGAGTATATCAGGAAAAGCTACGGCAATGCTGTTCATACGGTGTTATAGGCTGCATGGCTACATATCGAAAAATCAAATCAATATTGATCGTCATTAGAAAACGCTGTGTTCTGTGTGTGTGTGTGTTCTGTTGTTCATATTTTCGAATTTTCGTGACAGTTTGCTATAAGTGAGATATTATTAATTTTTTTAACCCTTTATCTTAAATACCAGACCCTTTAGGACACACGTTTATACAGGGTGTCCAGTAAGTACCACGACAAACTTAAGGAGAAGGTAGGCTGTGGACTGACCTCCCAAATAACAAAAACTTACCTATATAAAAGTGTCACCGTTTCTGAGATATGAACTTTTCTTAAATTTTAAAAAACGAACCTTTTTATCTGTGATCTTTAGCTGCATGTACAAATAAGGCTATACTTTGTTCATTTTTTCTATAAAATACTTCTATATAGTTGGTTTATCATATACAGATGCAACGTACTTAGAAGATATTAAAGAACTATGATAAAATAAGGACTGTTTTGGGATTTATAACCGTCTGCCTCGGCGTATCATATTAATAGTACACACAATATGGTGTTTCAGAACGATGTGGTGATATTTCTAGGGTAGAAAGTACATTAAAAAATAACAAAAAAGTTATCAAGATACAGGGCGAGGAAGTTTTATTTACAAAATTGAAAAAACCGCTTATATCTTCGGACCATTGAGTTAAAATATTAGTCATTCAGTGAGCACACCCTAAGCAATACATATAGAGTTTCCCTGTTCAAACTAAACAGGGACGTAGAAACTGGGGTTCCTAGACCTCTAGTAGGAAATATTGTCTGTCCTTGGCCTTTTCGGAGAAAAGAAGTGAATTTTATAAAATACCACTCAATTTGCCATGGAAGCTTACTATTCATTAAGCATTTCCTGTGCACGCCACTGGTTTTGCCGGCACATTCATTTTTGAGAATTAAACACGACTACAATAAACATCACATTTGGTACAAATTACGGGGTTATTATTAAATTTAAGTCAATTTATAAATGGGAACAAAAAGTAATGCTAAATAAATGCTATAACATCCAACCTTAAGGAGGTGTTGGAAGTCACCACCTTTGGATTCAACACAATCCCGTGTTTTACGCCACAAAGACTCTTAGGAAAGTACGCGGTGTAGTAAGAACAGTGCTGAAAGTCTTCTGTATACTTCGTCCTCATACTTATGATATCTTCACTTAATCCGAAATGCTAAAGAATTTTTAGAAAATGATAATTTCAAAAGTAAAATAATAAGCATTTCACTCAAATTGATTGGTTCCATACTTACTAGTTGTGATTTTAAACAAAAAGAAGAATCTAACATGGGTACCTAATACCAGAAGAAGTATACCCTGAAAACGAGTGGCGAGCATGGATAAAGGTCAATGAATGATAAGCGTCTTTGCTAGTGATTGATAAGGAAGACATATTATTCAGTTATTGTTGTAATGAGGTGCGATATAGCTTCCATCACGACCAAATCAAACCAGTGGCGACCATAAACAAAGTTTAATGAATGGTACGCTACTGATTGAGGGTAAGAGGTACCTACATATGTACATATTATTCAAATAATGTGAGGTGTCATAGCTTTTTTCACACGACGCATAGAGTTTCCAGTATCAAGCTTTGCGGTGTTTTCAGAATATCCAAACGTAAATATCTCCAAATCAAGTGACCTGACAAAGATTCTCCAAGGGACAAAATTTATGAAAAATTGAATGGTATTTTATAAAATGCACACTGTGTGTTTATTGCTCACGATGTGC